CCACCGCGTGAAGCCCCGTCCGTGCTGGGATGTGAGGATCTCCGGGTTTTCCAGTCGCGGTTGGAAGCGCTTTAAGCATTTAAAATCCTTCAGCCTCCAGAGATGCTGCGCTGCGCCCCTTTGTCATCCTCATTTTACAGGTGAGGAAACTGAGGCTCCAAGTTGCAAAGCGGGCAAGCTCCTGGCCACGAGGGGACCCAGGGTTAGAATCCTGACGGTCCCACTCTGACCACGACTGAGCTGCCTGCCTCCCCCTTCGTGAGCTCTCTTCACACCCCATAAGCTGGGGGTCACCTGAGACCCTGGGATCCTGATGGGGAACTCGGTGCGCAAAGGCCTCCAGTTCTGAGACTGACAGGCCCATCCCCACAGGCTCCTGACCCTCAGGCCCAGGAAGTCAGGCAGGGATGTGGGGCTCACCCCTGCTGCCCCCCAGCCCATGGCAGCCCCCCAGGACACCTCTGTGTCAATCTGTGTATGGCCACTCGTAGCCCTGACTGGCCTGCAGACTCCTCCCTACGGCCCCTGCCACCTCCTGCAGGGCTCCCATGTCCCTCCTGCCCCTGGGCCTTTGCACATGCACTTCTTGCTGCCTGGACGGCTTCTCCTCTCTCCTGGCCTGGATGCTTTCCCATTCTGCTTCATGCTTGAGCCCACACCTCCTCTGGGAGGCCCCTAGGTGCCCCCAGGCTGGGGATGGCCCGGTCAGAAGCTGTTTTATCTCGGGGCACCTCTCCTGGGTATTTCACCAGGTGAGGTCTTTCTTCATGGCTCTACCGTGAGGGCTCTATGGGCCCAGCACATAAAAAGTGCTGGGTAAATTCTGAGTGCACCCTGGGTCTCATGAGATCTGGATGTGACAGCACTGAGTGCGTGAGCCGTCTGGAGGAGACGGGTGAGCTGCTGTCATCAGGCACCGGGTTGCGGCCTCAAGGGACCTCATCCCGTCTGGTTTCCCCGCCCCCACCTGCCGCCCTGGGCACTGTGGTGGGCGCTTTGCAGGCCTGTATCCTGGCGTCCTCGTGCATCCTGTGCAAACAGCTGGTGCTCACTAAATGGCACAACCCGAGGGATGCCTGCCTGAGACGGGGGAAGGCCGACTGTATTTGTTAGCTGCTGCCGTGGAACAAATGACCCCGAAACGTGGCTGATGAAAATAACGCGTGTTCATCATCGCGGTCTCTGCGGGTCGGGAAGCCAGGCACAGCTCAGCCGGGTCCTCTGCTCCACAGCGTCTCGAGAGGCTGCGGTCACAGCGCGGGCCGGGGCTGGGGCTCGTGTGAAGCCTCGGCCAGGGCAGCATTCACCTCCAGGCTCACCCACTTGTGGATGGCGGCATTTGGTTCCTGTCGGGCTGGCAGCCGGAGGGCCCCCCAACGTGGCAACTTGCTTCTAGCCAGACAGAAGTCAGAACGGTGGGCAATCTAATCACGCGAGTCACGTCCCCACCCTGGCCGTGTTCTGCGGGTCAGAGCTGGGTCCACAGGGCAGGGGTCACACGAGGCCGTGGATACTAAGAAGCGGGGCATCACTCTCGGAGGCTGCAGACCACCCAGACCCTCAGAGGAGGCCCTCAGTGGCGGCCAGCCGGGAGCCTCCCCCATGGCTTTGGTGCCCCGGGACATAAGGGACCTCCCGGTGTCTGGCCATGCTGCCACCTCCCAGCAGTCACCCAGGTGCAACCTGGGCTCCATCCGCGAGAGTGGCTGAGGGCACCGTGCAGTCTGGCTGGCGACTCAGTGGAGTGGTTTTGGCCCCAACTTCAGCTTCCTCTTCTCTCCAAGTGGGTGGCGGCTGTGGCCCCCTCACGGAGGCACGTGAGTGACACGTGGCCGTTCCTCGTGCCGGCTCTTCTCCAGAGAGCCTGGCGTGCGCTGTTAGTATCTGCTCTTTGCAGCCTGCAGACGGAGGCTCAGAGAGGGAAGTGGCTTCCTCAAGGGTGCACAGTGAATCAGTGGCAGAGGGGACGTGAACGGGGGCATGCCCGACTCCAGACCACCGTCTTAAAAGATTAAAAAATATGTTTATTTTCCGATTAGGAAGGTGACACGTTTGATCAAAACATCGACGTGTTAGAGAGTTGGCCCAGGACAGCCTGCGGGGGAGCTGAGGCTGGTTTTTACATTTGTAAATGGTTGAAAGAAACCAAAACACTTACTATGTGGCCCTTTACAGAGAAGGTTTGCCGGCCCCGGTTACAGAGCAATGGCTCACGCGAGGTGAAATTCATTCATTCATTCATCGAGCACGGATGGAGTACCTTACTTTGGGCTCCCAGCCCCGGCCCCCTGGAGCTCAGAGCCTATTGCGAGGGTGGACAAGATAAGCAAATGACATCATGACACGCTGCATGGCATCTATGACAGAACAGAGTCCCCGTGATCCCCACCCCATGCCCAGGTATCTGCTCTACCAGACAACGTCCATGTTGCCATGTTTTTTCTGTGTATATAGTATTATATATAATTATATATATATATTTTTTCCTTTTTTGAGGAAGATTGGCCCTGAGCTCACATCTGTACCCATCTTCCTCTACTTTATACGTGGGACACCTACCACAGCATGGCTTGACAAGCGGTGCCATGTCCGCACCCGGGATCTGAACCGGCGAACCCCGGACCGCCGAAGTGGAATGTGTGCACTTAACCGTTGTACCACTGGGCCAGCCCCTATAATTATTGTTTTTAAATTAAAAGGGATTGAACAGATATTTGCACACCCATGTTCACAGAAGCATTATTCACAACAGCCAAAAAAGATGGAAACACCCCCAGTGTCCATGGACAGATGGTGGACACACACAGTGTGGTCCATCCACACACTGGAATATTACACAGCCGTGAAAAGGCAGGAAATCATGGCACCTGCTCCAAACACAGAGGGACACACACTGTGTGGTCCACTCACAGGAGGTCCCCAGAGGAGCCACATCCACAGAGACAGAAAGTGGATGTGGGGCCAGGGGCTGGGGGAGGGGTGAGAGTCAGTGTTTCCTGGGGACAGAGCTTCCGTTTGGGGAGATGGAAGGTTCTGGAGACGGATGGAGGGAATGGCTGCACAACAGTGTGAATGTGCTTCATGCTGCTGAGCTGTGCGCTTAATAGTGGCTAAAATGGGGCCGGGCCGGTGGCACAGCAGTGAAGTGCGCACGCTCTGCTTCGGCAGCCCGGGGTTCACCAGTTCGGATCCCGGGTGTGGACATGGCATCGCTTGTCAAGCCATGCTGTGGTAGGCGTCCCACGTATAAAGTAGAGGAAGATGGGCACGGATGTGAGCTCAGGGCCAGTCTTCCTCAGCAAAAAGAGGAGGATTGGAGGCAAATGTTAGCTCAGGGCTGATCGTCCTCAAAAAAAAAGAAAAGAAAAAAGAAAAAGTGGCTAAGATGGTAAATTTTACATTATGTATATTTAATCACAATAAAAATAAGTGACCTAGACTAGATTTTGTGTATTAGGTATGCATACATTCGTGTTAGGAGTCAATTCAGAAAAGTGTCCGGTGCCCTTTTTTGGCGCAACATTTGCCCAGGGAAAATGAACAGGGAGGGGAGCAAACTGACTGTCCAGTTCATCTTCTTGGAAAGATCTGAAGTCGACGTAACAAAACGCTAACGGGGTTCATTCCAGCGGCAGGCACGAGGCCGCCGGCTCCCCTGCCCTGGGCGGGCGTCTGTCGTCTAAATAACGCATGATTTTCATCACTTTGTGTCCGGCTTCCTTCCTCTGACCCGTGGACGCACGTGTGGGTCGTGTCAAGCTCTCTGCTCTTCTAGAAGCGGGCTGTGGGCGTCTGGGGCAGCTCTGCGCACCGGGCCAGGGTTTGGGGGACAAATTCCTCAAAGGGGGGCTGTGAAGCTCCCACCACGGGAAGGACAGTGCTGGCCTGCCCTCGGCTTTGGCTCACCCCGTTGCCAGCGTCACCGAGCTCAGCCTGTCCCCGCTGCACTCATCTCCTCCTGCCTCGGACGTGTCCTTCCAGCTCCCGGGGCCCCGTAATGGGGAGCCAGCCCCCCCCCCCCCAAAGTGTTACGTGCTTTGCACACTGTGAAGTGGGCAAGGCCAGGTGCACTTTACATGTTGTCTTCTGTCCCTCCTTCCTTCATTCCTGACATTCGTGTGATTGTCGCACGACGAATAAATTATCAAGAGGCAGAGAGAGCGAGTGAGGGAGTCACCCGTCAACTACACGGGTCAGCTGTTTCTTATCGTCCGTGTAGACCTGAGTTTCTCCTCCTGTGTTGACACATCGGGTAGATAATTCTTTGTCGTGGTGGTGGGGGGGCTGTCCTGCGCGCTGCAGGACGTTTAGCCGCATCCCTGGCCTCCACCCGCTAGATGCCACTAGCACTCCCCCAGTGGTGACAACCGAAGCGCATCTGCAGACATCGCCCAGTGTCCCCTGGGGAGTGGACAATTGAGGGCAGGGACAATACTCGGCGCGTGGTAGGGGTTCAGGATGTTTTCCAACCGCTGGACTTGATTCCCATGCCTCCCGAGTGACCTTGGGCAGGTGACTAGCCACTCTGACCCTCGGTCTCTTCTTCGGGGAGGCGGGGGACAACGGGAGCAGCCGAGGCGCAGGAGCGGAGCGCGGCGCCAACGCCTGGCGTGGTCCCCGCGGGCTGCGGGCGTGGCCTCCGCCCACCGCCGACCCCACGCGCCCCCGCCGCTCCCCGCTCGCGATCAAACAAGGAAGCCGCAGCCGCGCCAGCGCCCCGCCGTGCCTAGCCCGGAGCGCCCGGCCGTGCGCGCGCGCGCACGCACGCACCCCCCCCCCACGCACGCACGCCCGCGCACGCACGTGGCTCGGCCCGCGCGCTCCCCTCCGCGGGGCGGGGCAGGCGCCTCCGCGCGGGACTCCACTTCCCAGAGTACCCCGCGGCGCCGCCGAGGAGGAAGGCCGCCGCGCGACGGCCCAGCTGCGGCGGCGCGGTCCCCGCCGCACGCCGGCACGCAGCGCGCACGCAGGCGCTGACGCAGGCGCACCCCTGGCCCCGCCCCCGGAGGCCCCGTGCGGGAGCGCGCGCGGGCGTGCGCAGGGCGGCGGCGCGGGCGCGCGGGCGCGCGGTGACCGTTGGGCTGAGGGGAGGAGGCAGCGCGGCCGCCGCCGTTGCGCAGATCCGGGCCGCGGCTGAGGGGAGGGCGCCGGGGCCAGTGACCTTCCGGAGGCGGGAGCGAGCCAGGGGGCCCGGGACGCCGAGCGCCGCCGCCGCCGCCATGAACAACTCGGGCGCCGACGAGATCGGGTGAGGACGCCCGGGCCGCGCCGCCGCCTCGGCCGGACCCGCCCAGATCCGCCGCCGGTCAAGGTCACGCCGCGGGGTCGGCGGCCGCGGGCCGGGGGGGGCCGGGGGCCCCCGCTGCTTCCTGGCCCGTGGGACCCCGCACGGGAGGCCGCGGGGGCCGGGGGGGCCCGAGTGTGCTGCTGGGGGACCCCGAGCGGGAGTCTGGGGGGTCCAGTGGTCCCGAGTGTGGTGCTGGGGGACCCCACGCGGGAGCCTGGGGGTCTGGGGCGCTCTGGGCGCCCCCACCTCAGGATTTCCCGCTGTGGGACCACGCACGCGAGCCTGGGTGGTCCCGGGGGCCCCCACTGCTTCCTGGACGAGGGGACCCCGCGCGGGAGTTTAAGGGAGTCCCGGGGGGTCCTGAGTGTGCTGCTGGGGGACCCCGAACGGGAATCTGGGGGTCTGGGGCGCTCTGGGCGCCCCCACCTCTGCATTTCCCGCTGGGGTCCCCAAACGGGAATCTGGGGGGGTTCGAGGGCCCCCCACTGCTTCCTGGCCGGGGGAACCCCGCGCGGGAGTTTAAGGGAGTCCCGGGGGGTCCTGAGTGTGGCGCTGGGGGACCCCGAACGGGAATCTGGGGGTCTGGGGCGCTCTGGGCGCCCCCACCTCTGGATTTCCCGCTGGGGGACCCCAAACCGGAATCGGGGTAGTCCGAGGGCCCTCGGCTGCCTCCTCGCCGCGGGGACCCCTAGTTGCAGCCTTGGAGGGTTCAGGGGGCCCCGCCGTCGCTGCGCCAGTTTCCCGGTGGGGGGCCCCAAACAGGAACCTGGGGGGTCCTGGGTGTCCCCGCACCCTCCCCTTCGGAGGGGGGGCCCCGAACGGCGTTCAGGGGCGTTCGGGGCGCCCCGGCTGCCTCCCGCACCCGCGTTTCTCCTCGGAGATCCCCCTAACAGGAGTGGGGGGCGGCCGGCGCGCCCCCAGCTCGCGCACGGCCCAGCGGTCGGCGCACGTGGCGGCTCGGCCCGCGGGTTTCGGTTCGGCCGCCGCCCGCCTGCTCCCGCCGGGACGCGGCGCCCTGCTTCCCGCCCCTCCCCGCCGAGCTGAGGGCGAGGCCGCCGGGGCGCCTGACTGCCGCCCGCTTCGACGGGGGGCACCGGCCCGAGCCCCGCGTGCGGGACCCGGCGGGGAGGCCGGGCCGGGGCCTGCAGAACCCGAGCCCGCCCGGGCTGCCCGCGCCTCCCCGCGCCGTGCCGGCCGCCGCGCCCGGGTCTTAGTGCGGGGCCGTCCTCGCTCGCACCTAGAGCTCGCTGCCCGGAAGCGCTGCCCGGCGCGCTGTGCGAGGAGCCGCGCTTCCGGCCGGCGCGGGGGGCGGGACGCCCGGGCCGCCTGCTGTGCGAGCGCCGGTGCCCCGCGCACGTGACCGCGGCTGGGCCGCCCGGCTTCCTGTGACTCGGCGGCTCCGCTGTGCTCAGGTGCGCCGCGGGCCCGGGCCCCGCGCGTGGGGCCGGGTGAGGCTCGGGTGGGGGCGCTGCGCCCGGGCTCCCCGCACCGGGGTGGCCGAGACCCCTGATTTTAACGTTCCTGTTGTCCTGACGATCGCAGTCCGCCGGAGCGGGGGCAGCGGGGTGCCGGAGCCGCGGGGTCCCTGGTGGCCCGTGGCCGATGCGGGGGCGGATGTGCTCCCTGCGCTGCGGTGGCTGTGGGATGTCAGCCCAGAGCGGCCCCCGCGCCTGCCGGGGTCTCCCTGGGGCCCCCGCGCCCGGCCCCCTGAGAGGGCTGCCCCCCGGGGCAGAGGGACACAGGCGGCGGGACATCCTGTGCCACCTGCTGCTGTTCCATTTCCGGGCGTGGAGCTGGACGGAGGTGTGTGGAGGGTCCCCTGTGGCACACACGCTTCTGTCTGCGTGGCCTGGGACCTGGGAAGGGGCCAGCCTGGTGTTCTCGAGAGGGGAGCCGGGCAGCACGGGGTCACGCTGCTCAGAGCACCTCCTGGGGCCGGCAGTCCCACAGCCCTGATCCCTGCCGATAACGGCACTTGGAGGCCGCGGGGCTGTTCCTGGCGCTTTCAGGCGAGGCCTGGGCCAACGGCAGGCGCGTGGTCCTTCGTGGTCCCGGGCTTTCTGGACTGGCTCCTGGCAGAGGCTTTGGAGGCAGACACCCCTGAGTGGAGCCCTGGGTGGGCCTGGAAGGACGGTGCCTGGGGGCCGAGGAAGAGGACTACCCTGATTAAACGCCTGTTGTGCCAAGCGCCCGGCGAGGCGAGAGCGGTTGTTTGGCTCAGAGAAGTCGGGGTTTGCGGGTCTGCTGCTTGTGCTGGTGTGGAGGCGCTCCTCTCGGGCTCTTGTGTTGCGTCGTAGAGCTGTCCTGGGGCGGGGTCTCCCCCTTGGCACTGCAGACGTTCCGAGGCTGTCACTCAGATCCACTTGATGTCAGGAGCACCCCTACTTGTGACAATCACAGGTGTCACCAGACATCACCCAGTGTTCTCTGGGACAGGACCACCCCAGTGAGCCCCCGTCTGGGAACATCTGCTCCCTTCGGCCTGGTTCCTGGTGCGTCCCTGTCGCTTGCTCTCAGTCAAGGGCGTGTCTCCTGTGGGGGGCTGGCTCGACACCTGTGGAGTTGCCTGTGACGTTGGCAGGTGCTCTGGTCGGCCTCCCTCTGGCCTTGAGCAGGTGCCGGGCCCACCACAGGCAGAAGCCCACCCAGAGGAGCGTGCTGCTGCCACCCTGGGCTGGAGGCCCTGCTGTGAGCCGGGCTCCAACCCTTCCCTGGGCAGGGCCCACTGAGGCTTCGAAGGGGCAGGGGACTTGCCCAGGGTCACCCCCGGGAGTGGACGAGCCCAAGCTAGGCATCCACGCTCCTGGTGGCCGGCTCAGGCTCGGAGGCAGTCGTGTCCACTGTCCCCGTCATGGCTCAGGTCCTCTCAAGTTGTGAGCAGGGCCCACAGGAGGTCAGTTGCGTGTCGAGGCTCTCGCTCTGTTCCCAGGGTTGTGAATGGACACGGGGTCTGTCTGGGAGGGAGGGCCAGATTGAGGTGTTGGGAGCTAGTGCCAGGCCGTGGGCACTCGGGCTCTTTCTACATATTCAGCACAGGACACAGTGCAGCCAAGTATGGGGCCTGGGGTTCTGGGGTGAGGCCCATGCCCCAAGGGCTGCCTCTGGGACTTCGTGTCTGTCGCAGTGGAAGGGCCTGGAGTGAGCTGGTTCCTGGGCCAGGGCTGCCTCCCTCCCTGCAGGGAATCGAGGACGTACTTAGAGGGACCAGGTCCCAGTGTGCCCCTGCGCCCTGACCGCAGAGGCAGGTGCTGCCAAACAGGCTCTGTCCGGGCCACTTGCTGGACAAGCATGTTTGGTCCCGGGTCCCCTGCTTCCTGCCCATGTGAGCATCGCTCGCCCTGCCGCTCACTGTCTTTCTGGGTGCCGCCTCGCCAAGGGACACTTTCCAAAGCCTGGTGGCATGCTGCCAGGGCCAGAGGAAGCCACTGAAGACTTAGTTCCTTGGCATCAGGACCATGCGGTTGCCCTAAAGCACACACAGTGAGAGCAGGGTGGTCATCCAAAGACAGGTTTCAGCTCCAGCAGCGAGAAGACGGGGACTTTTTAAATTTTCTTTTTTAAAGATTGGTACCTGAGCTAATGTCTGTTGTCAGTCTTCTTGTTTGTTCTCTTTCTTGTTCTCCCCAGAGCCCCCCAGTACCTAGTTGTATATCCTAGTTGTGGGTCCTTCTGGCTCTGCTATGTGGGACGCCGCCTCAGCATGGCCTGATGAGCGGTGCCACGTCCGTGCTAGGATCCACACCGGTGAAACCCCAGGCCACTGAAGTGGAGTACAAACCCAGCCACTTGGCCCCGGGGCCGCTCCAGACGGTGACTGTTAACCAGAGCCTGGTGCCTGTGTCGCCGCTGCAGAGCACCTTCCAGGAGGAAGTCACTGGCACCTGCTGTCGAGGTCGTGACCCTGGGAGCGAGCGTGCTGATCACAAACGGCCTCTGTTGGGTCCCCCGGTGGTGGCATTGCCTGTCTTCTCCTTCGGAATCTGACTTAGTTACCAGGGAGGGCCTGATAGAGCCAGGAGGTCCCCCTGACTTCCAACTTCGGCTGAGTCATGACTCCTACCCATCAGAGCAGGGAGGGGCTGGAGAGGGAAGCCACGCGGTTAGCTGACCCCCCCTAATCTGCACGTGCCACATGTGCACACCCGTCGACAGCCGAGCCCACACTCGGGTGCCAAGGCAGTCTGTCCGGGCCGCCCCTGGTCGGCCGGCAGTGGGACAGGGCCGCGAGGCTCCTGCTGCTGGGGTGGCGGTGGAGCCGTGTCTGGCTCGTCCTGCTGACGGCCCGTAGTCCCAGCATTGCCGGGATGCTTCATTTCTCATGCCTACTGGGGTTGGCGCTCAGGACTCTTATTATTTTTTTGAGTAAAAAGCCTAAAGCTTAGAGGTTAAGGCTTTGTGCTGGAGATGGTCTCTGCCACCATGAGTCAGTGGGTCCTCCTGGGACCCTCTGGAACCTTCCATCTGCAGAGTGGGGAGAGTATGCTATTGGGGCAGGACGAAGGGAAATGGAAGCCGTCAAGTCCCAGTCCAGCCCTGGCATGGAGCTGCAAGCTCCTCCCTCTGAGTAAACAGGTTGTGTCACAGAAGAGGGACCTCTTGCTCTGTGTCTCAGACGTCCTACGGGTGAGACTGTTGTTCCAGAAGGAACTTCGATCCTGCCAGTTCCTCAGTAGTGAGCATTTTTCATAACTTATATTTGGTATAACTTCAGACTTAAGAAATTACAAGAATCGTAATGAAAGTCTCCACGTACCCTTTCCCCAGCCAGACTCCCCAGTGGCTTACGCTTTGCCCTGTCTGTGTGCGTCCGCCCAAGCTTGTGAAGTGTTCGAGAGTGTGTGGGCCGGACCCGATCCCCTTCGTGGAGACGCTCGGTGTGCGCTGTTTTCTGAGAACAGGACTTCTGTTCCCTGAACGAGCAGAGCTCGGCGACAGGACCTCGGGGAGCGTGGGGTCGATGCCACATTCTTATCCAGTCGAGGGGCAGGTTCCAGGTTTGTCAATTGCGCGGGCGATGACATTTCTGCTCTTCTCCCCTTAATGCCTAATTTTGGAATTTAAGTGAGGGCTGCAGCCTGGACTGGTCAGACGAGTTCCTCCCTCGGCCGTGCGGAGCCTGCGCTGCTGGGGGCCGCCCGCTCGTGGCCTTTCTGTTTTGGTTGGACACGGGGCTCAGTAGAGGCTGGTGTTTCTCTGTGTCAGTTGCATCTTGTGTTTTGGGAAAGCTTGAGGTCTCTTTTTCCTGCACAAAGCTGCTTTTCCACAGCAAACCCTTGTTTGTTCCTCTGCTGAAAGACCTCCAGCTGGCCTCGCAGCCTCCAGTCCCCTGCCTCGCTGTGCCCCTACTGGGTGCCCTGTGCCGGCTGGGGACAACAGGGGGGCCGGAGTCACAGCATGCTCTGGGCCGAGCCTGGGAGGGCCCCTGGGGAGTGGGGCACGGATGCAGGAGGAGGCCTGGCCTGGTTCCGGAGGGCTGCACGGGAGACACGATGCTGCGTTGATGAGGCCTGAGCGCGGCCTCCTGCTCCTGTCTGGTCAGTGCGCTTCCCCGACCCTCGTCCTTGCAGAGCTGCCTGCAGGCCCGGGAGGCACAGCCATGGCTCACGCTCCCGTCCAAGGCCCCTGCTCAGCCCTCCCCACCGGGACGCCTGGTGGCCTGCTTGTGTACCGTTGACACTTTGAGGACGTCAAGTGGGTCCCTGTTTGGTGGCAGGGACACTCACTCGCACACTGAATTGCTCCCTTAGGGAAAAAACAGTGTGAGACGGAGCCCTGACATTTTCCAGGGGCTGGCGCCCTGAGGCTTGAGTCGCTGTCAGAGCAGAGGCGATGGCTGTGCTGGTGGCCACACGGGGCCTGTCCTGGGGCGGAGGCCCGGGCACCCTGTCTGGTGGTCTCTTGGTTGCCCAGGGGGCAGGCGTGCAGCGGGCTGCAGGGCCGTCTGTCTTCACGCCAAGTGTGGCGTGGCCGGCTGTGATTTCGGGGACTGAGCCTGGGCCATGCACTGGCCCTCTGAAGACCCGCCAGTGAGCGCTGGGGTCCAGCTCTGAGAGGGACGGCGGTTGTGTCCTCTTTTCCTGGGAAAGCAGGCAGGACGGAGAGCTGTCCCGCTGCTGCTGGAGGCTCCCGCCCGTCTCCTTTGTCGTACCTGCCTCCACACCTTCAGGAGGCCTGAATGATGCCCAAGGGCGCGTGTGTCTCAGCCATGCTGAGAGCCACACAATGAGCACAGTCCCTGCTGGGGATGGGACAGCCACGGCACGCAGGCACATGCAGGTCCAGCTGGCCCAAGGGCGGGACACCGCGTGCGGGGGGAGGTGGATGCTGCCCGGCCCACGCTTGTTCGGCCATTGGGAGAGCCTGCCCAGGGTGTGTGTGGACACGAGGCGCATAGGCTGCAGGGACGGCAGTGGGATTCCTCTTGAAAGCTCTAGTGTGTCTGCTCAAAAGGACAGCCCAGGTGGCCCTGGGTGGGGATGTGGGCCGGGGCTCCAGTGCTGAGCTCCCGGGACCTTCCCAATGACATGTGGGTCCTTACCCAGAACCACGTGGGGAATCTGAGGCTTTGTCTGGGAGCCCGGCCCCGCTGCCTTGCTGGTGACCGGTGGTCATCTGAGATCCCGCCTCTCGATCCCATGTCTGCTGGAGCAGTTAGGGATGACCCCCGCTCCGAAGCCGCCGGGGGTTGGGGCTCCTTTTCTTCCTTGGTCGTGGTCAGCGTGCACACGGCGTTACAAAGCTCTCTTCCCCCGTGGTGGGAAGTCTGGGAGTCGTTTTCACCTCTGCAGCCGATGAGGCTGAGCGCAGCCGAGGCCACCACGCGCCATTGCCGTGGCCTCGGTGTGACTCAGTACATTGGCACGAGCTCCCTCCGTGGCGTGGGTTCCACCGTGGGCCGGGTATGGGCAGCGTCTTTAAGGCAGAGCCGTGCTGACCCTCGGTGTTTTCTCCTTGGATCACAGGAAGCTCTTCGTGGGCGGCCTGGACTGGAGCACCACCCAAGGTAGGTGTGGGTGGCCGGCGCCCTTGCTCTTGCACTCGTGTGAACCTGTCTCTGGCTAGTACCTTGGGTTTCCTCTAGTTCTTGACTTCTGGGTGGGGGGCGTTTGATTGGGAGTTGGCTGGGGGCAGAGAGGAGCTGATCATTGGCTCTGAGACTTCATTTTGTCCTGGTGCCTCACGTCAGAGCTAGGGGAGAGCTGGGGGGCAGGTCCGCAGTCCCGGCCCAGGTGGCTCTGGAGGCAGGAGGGCTGTTGCCAGGCGGTCGCCGCGCTCAGACTCAGTAGAGGAAGCTTGTAATCAAGTGGCATTCGAAGTCGTCACTTTGCCTTCCCTTCAGCTTCCTGTCCTGGGCGCCTGCTGCCGCTGCTGGGGGCAGCCGCAGCCTTTCCAACTCGTGGGAAGATGTGGTGCAGCTGTGTGGTGTGGGGCCCTCCTTCTCCGCGCCTCCCCTCTTCTGTACCCTCTTCCACCTCCCCCTAAATTCATTGATTAGCCAGTTTAAAAGTTGGTAGTTCCACACTTTCCAGGTCAGCCTGATGAACCAGGAGTGCATGGGTGTGCATGTTTGTGCACGCCGGCTGGAACACCCTGCTCAACACTCTGGTGCGTGTGTTTGTGTTTCGTCCCGATCTCTGAGCAGAGACGCTGCGCAGCTACTTTTCTCAGTATGGAGAGGTTGTGGACTGTGTGATCATGAAAGACAAGACGACCAACCAGTCTCGAGGCTTCGGGTTTGTCAAATTTAAAGACCCAAACTGTGTGGGGACAGTGCTGGCCAGCAGACCACACACCCTGGACGGCCGCAATGTGAGTGTCCTTCCTTTGGCGGAGCTCTCCCTGTGTCTTGGCACTTGTCCCTCCTTCAGCTTCCCTCTGCCACTGAGCTTTGTTGGAAGTTTATGTGGCAATATGTTTCCCCTGAGGTTGAGTGAAAAGGATTAAGGCTTTGCACTTAGACTGGCTGTCGGAATGGGAGATGGATTTGGGGTGAACTGACCCGGGGAGTGGGGCCTGGTTTGCTGGGCTACTGGCTGCTGTCAGTCGCACTTTGTTTTCTAGAGAAAATAGCCTCATATTCACAACTGGCTCTTTTGAAACTTCCTACAGATTGACCCAAAGCCATGTACACCTCGGGGGATGCAGCCGGAGAGGACACGGCCGAAAGAAGGCTGGGTAAGGGGCCAGGGCAGGGCGACCTCTGTGTGTCTGCAGCCACGGGGTAAAGGAAACACGTGCCTTTGATTTGGTGTTTTTCCTCATTAAGAGTGAGAGTGACAGAAGGGCTTCCAGTTTGACATTTGAGCAGCTGAGAATTTCTCACATTTATCCAATGCTGTAAGTTTTTTATCTGATAGCCAAGAAAACTCCTATTAATCTATCTTAAAATAAGTGGCAGCTCACACCGTTTGTCATCAAGAGCCTTCTGTTTTGTCCTGGCTGACTCCGCCGGCCTGCCCGGGGGGCCAGGAGCAGCCTCGCTGAGTGTCAGAGCGCCTGCTCGTCCTCAGCTTCGAGGCTTCCACCTGCCCGGCTCTGCCAGCTGCTCCGAGAGCCTGGCTGCTGGTTGCTCGAACAACTGAGTTCAAAATGCCCCGATGTGGGGCCGGCCCGGTGCTGCAGTTAAGCGTGCACGTTCCGCTTCTTGGCGGCCCGGGGTTCACCGGTTCAGATCCCGGGTGCTGACATGGCACTGCTTGGTAAGCCATGCTGTGGTAGGCATCCCACATATAAAGTAGAGGAAGACGGGCATGGATGTTAGCTCAGGGCCAGTCTTCCTCAGCAAAAAGAGGAGGATTGGCAGCAGATATTAGCTCAGGGCTAATCTTCATCAAAAAAACAGCCAATGTGGTGACTCCTCGGGGTTCTCTGTGAGCCGTGCGTGGCCCCTGCTGCTTAGCCAGCTGGGGCAGACCTGTCCTCTGTCACCCCCAACCCTCGTCCCCACCAGTGGCTCTCAGAGAAAACCGTCACCCAGGAGGCTACCATCCATCCTTGAAAGGCCTGGACGGAGCTGGGCTGGATGCTGCTTGGAGTCTGAGCGTGGCCCCACCGCCCCCCAGCACTTGTCCGGGTAGCAGGAGTCTGCACGGGAGCCTGGGAACCTGTATTGCTGGCAGGATCCTGGCTGCTCGTAGATGGGGCCTCAGAGCCTTGAAACAGTCCTTGTTTTTCCAACTTTGTCTTGGGAAACTTAGCAGAAACAGAAAAATTGAGAGAAGAGTACGATGAACATGTGAAATCCCCCTCCTGGTTCACAGTTGTTCACGTTTTCCCACAGCTGCCTGTGTTGCATCCATCTTGGTCCGCGTCCACCGCTCCTGAGCTCTGGAGCGCCTCCTGACAGCAGCTCCGCGAGCTGTGGCGGCCGCCCGGCCCGTGTGCACAGGCGCGGCAGGGTGCGGGGCCGGCTCACGGGCGCCTGCCTCGGCCGCCTTCCAGGCTGGCATCCGGGCAGGGCTCAGGTTCCCTTTGGTTGTCAGGGTCCTTGTCTCTGAGCAGCTTTATTCAGACAGAACAGGCGTATAGGAAACCCTGCACATGTTGACCCATGTCAACCCCGGGTGCCCCGTGAAACCCTCGCTCACTCCCAAAGAGTGAGTCTCTGAATCTGACGTCGTTGGGACGTCGCAACCCATGAGCTCCTGGGAGAGAGAAATGGGTCTTAGGGATGGGGAAGGGGTGTGGGGAAGCTGTGCTGCAGGGGCAGGAGCCACGGTCCCCTCCACCTCTGCCCCAGGTGACGAGCTGGGGGCGCGCGTTTCCCCAGGTGTGAGGTCGTCCACAGGGAGAGGGACCAGGTCAGGGCAGGTGGCAGGCGACAGGCGGGTCTTCACTTACTAAAGCTTCCCGTAGTTGTCTCTCGTCACCAGCTTAGAAGCTAGCTCCTAAAACCAGCGTCATCTTTGTCAGTTTTGATCGTTGGGGCCACTTTGTTTTTTCTTTCTTACCCTCCTAAAATCCTCAGTTTCACATTGAAGAGCTTTTAAGTCGTGTGGCTGTCGTAATTCAGAATAATTGAACACAGGACCCACAGCGCGCTCTGCCAGCGTGGCTCCCTGTCTCCTCGGTCTCGTAGGAGAGCGGCAGAGGGTTCCTGTGGCCGCTGTCTGGGGTTCTCTTTGGACTTGCGGGACTTTTGGAGCGTTTGGCCTGGCTTTTAGCTGCCTCTTACAGACACTCCGTCGCACATGACCGTGGGGAGCGCTTGGAGGGGTCCCCTCGTGAACTAACCATGTTTTCCTTCTTGAAACAGCAGAAAGGCCCCAGGAGCGATAACAGTAAATCCAATAAGATATTTGTCGGTGGAATCCCTCACAATTGTGGTGAGACAGAGCTCAGGGAGTACTTCAAGAAGTTCGGAGTGGTGAGTGCTTCCCGCACTGGCAGCCCGGCCGCTCGGGGCGGGAGTGGCCGAGCCATGTGTCCATGGGAGGTGAAGCCTGGCAGGTGTCCTCTATTCCCCTGAGCCCCGCCCCAAAAGGAAACAAACCAAACCCTCTCCTGTCCCTTGATGGCCGTTTCCCATGTGGGAGAGCATTTACGGCTTTTCCAGGCATATACGCACTTGCCAGGCCGGCCTCCTGGAAGGCCCCTCGGGGTGGTTGTGACCATCACGCTGTAAAGCTCTAGACAGTGCTGGGGAGAAGCGGGGTTCGGTCTGGCCGTGGGAGCCACCTGCTGTCCCTCGATTGCAGGAGGGGGTGTCCTAGGCCAGGTCCGCCTGGACCTCAGGCTAATTAAGCCCACCCCCAGGACCGAGACAAGGTGCCCACTGGTGGCGGCTGGGCTTGCAGCAAGGTGGGCATGGCCAGGTGGGGTTACAGAGCGGAAGACCGTTCCTAGATCCGGGTTCCAGCGGTGCGCGCCCCCCCTCTGGGAGGGAGCTGGCCCGGGCCACACCACTGCTCTCCCCAGCACCTCGCTCCGTCCCCTCCCCCTCAGTGACGCAGACTTCTCCTCAGGCTGGTTTTGTTCCCTGGAAGAGGGTAAATCCTTTAGAATCTTCCGGGGGTCGTACAGGGAACTCGGTTGTAGTGGGGCCACAGAGGAGAAGATGGGGGCAGGGCGCAGGCGTGGAGGGCCGTGCCGGTTACTTGAAGCAAAGGCATGGGTGCCCCAGGTGCCCGCGGGGTCCCACCCTGCTCTTGCTGCAGCGTGTTTGTGCAGTGGTACCTGAGTGGGCCGGGGGTCGGGCCTGTGGTGAGGGGCGCTCGGGGCCAGGGTCCCGGGAGAAAGGAGTGCCAGCGTGGGGGGTGACGGGCACGAGGGCCGAGCTGAGTGCCGGGGCAGCAGGTTGGCGGGGATGCTGACGCACTAGGTTCTGGAGTGCGCGGCTAGGCCCCAGGGCTCTGGGCCATCCCATCCGGCGTCTGAGCCTCGCTTCCCTTATCAGTGAACGGAGGGGCACCCTGTGGCTGTCTGGCTCTCATCTCCTGCAGGAGCGCGTGGCATGGCCCTGGTGTCCACACGCCTGCCCTGTGAGCGTCGGGGGCGGAGGGCGCGTGGGCTTCCGTGTGGCCTGAATCTCAGGCCTCCCAGCCCAGCAGGCCAGCCATGCCTCGGGACGGCCTGGACCCCACAGATGCTGCCCAGCGCTCGCTCGGCTCAGGGTGGCTGCAGCCGGAGACGCCATGGCCCCCGGATCCTCGAACGCCCGTCTCTCTTCCAGGTCACGGAAGTGGTCATGATCTACGACGCAGAGAAGCAGAGGCCTCGAGGTAAAAGAGATGGAGTTTGTCCTTGACCTTCCCCCTCAGATGGCAAACTATTTCACAATTAGGTGGTGGTTGTAGCGAGCATTGCCTCAGAAAAGGACGATTCGAGACAAACCATTAAAACGTAGCTCTCCTGTGCAGCTCCCCCTGCCCGGCTGTGCTTCCCAAGGTCAGGTGTCACCGGCTGTTTTTTTTGGCTTGTTCTTTTGAAGTTTTTACAACTTGACACGAATTTCAACACGGTTTCTGTTTTCCAACGGGTGCTGCAAGATGGGTGGTCTTTTAAATGGTGAGCTTGCTCACTTACGACCGTCCCCGCCTGAGGCCGCGCCAGCGTAGTCAGTCCCCCGCAGTCGTCAGGCTAGGCCTGCCCCAGCCCGGTCCGAACTCAGGCTTCCCTGTGTCCGTCCTGTTCCCTGTCGGTGGGCAGGCGGCAGCGGATGAGGAGCTGCCTCAGCGCGTCCCCGCCAGGCTCCCCGAGCTGCCCACGCGTGCACGTCCAAATTGGTTTTCGGGCTGGCACTGCGGCATGCAGTTTCTGTGCCCTTTTTTGTGTGGCTGCTGCTGTTTGTCACTACCCTTTTTTCTTTTTGGCTCATCAGCCGCTTTTGGACCACCCGTGGGAGCTGATCTGCCAGCCTGGGCCCCACGAGGCCTCTGCCCGCATCGGGGCCCCCGCGCCGAGCTGGCGCCGCCCGCAGCATGCGCCCGCCATGCTGGAGAATAGTTTGCCATTTGAACGCCACCCTCCTCCATGATTAAGTGACGTATACTCTCACTTCATGTCGATTAAGCTGTTAAGTCTTAGTCTTAATCTTAATTTAGACATACACGCTTAGTGACGTACTTAAGTGTTTCATAGTCAAGTACAGTAACGTTAAGTAAGTTGTTCTCCTTTCTCTGTGAATTGTTTGTGATTAACGATCTCTCTAGATTTCTCCTCTCCAGGTGCTAAATTAGATCACACAGGTACAGGCCAGTCCCGCGGTCAGAGGAGGGAGCGGGCTTTGCTCCAGTGGGGTGTAAACGAAGTTTCAGTGTGTTTCTCTTCCACTTCCTCAGTGGTGATGTCGCCTCTTGACAGACAGACGCGTCCCTAGACGCCCGGCCCCGGGGCTCCTCCCCACGACTCACCGCCTCTTGCGCTCTCACGGACCACGCCAGCCCTGTGGTTTCAGACACGTGCACTTTGAGAAAACGTTCACTTTTTCACATGCCGTTCATCACCCATGTTGTGTCCACCATTTGCCTCCGATCTTGTGAAGCCACAGGCACAGGAATCCCAAGGCTGCTCTTAGGTTCCCCGGCTCGGCCCCCGAGGCCCGCCCCACTGCCTGCCGTCCTTGCCCGGGCCAGCCAGCAGGCCGGGCGGGCGGGAGGGCTGGTGGGAGAGCGCCTCGGGCTGGGCCCTTGGGCTTGCCTTCCCGCGTGGCTCACCGTCCTCGGCAGCGGGCTCCCAGAGTCCCCACGAGTCCCTGGGAGTGCCAGGCAAGCTGGGAGGGGAGCGATGCCAAGAGCAGCATTGGTCCGCGGGGTCCCAGGGAGCCACGCCTGCCTTCTCACCTCCCTGACTCTTGCTGCGGCTCCACCCCTCCCCCCTCTCGGTCGGGCTGAGGCCCTGCCCTTGCCCCCAGCCCCCGCAGCTGGGCGCTGCCTCTGCTCCCCTCCCATGTCCCCGCTGCGCGCTGCTCTCCTCGTGTGTGTGTTGCTGGTGTACTTCTGCGGCCGCCGTCCTGCTCCCTCTCACGCCACGTGCAGATTCCATGTGCGTGCAGAGGGAGCATGGCCAACGGCCCCTGAGTCCCCAGTGGTCCTTCCTGCTCCTCTGTCACCCCGAGTTCTGAGCTGCCTTCTCCTGTTTCCGTCCCCTCCTGCCGCGGGTTTGCCAGGCATCTTCCCCCACGGTCCCAACGACTGCAGCCTGGCGCCCCTCTTCATCAGCTTGAGAGGCCCCCACCCCCAGCTCCGTGCATCTGCCATGTGACGCTCTGTCGCCCTGCGCCCTCCACGCCCGTCTTCAGCCCATTCTCGGCCCTCGGCCCTTTCCGTCCTCGCCCCTTCTTTCCTCTTGGCCCTCCCCCTCACCCATCTTTTGTTCTTCGGGGTCTTCTGGCAGCTGGCTGCCCGCGTGTCCCTTTGTGCTCAGAGCAGACGGGCCCCAGGGAGGCAGTAGACTGAGGACCAGACATGCCACGTTAGCTGGGCAGTCGCGCTCACCCAGACCAACCAAACTTCGTTTATACTGCCACTTTCTTGTGTTTGGGAAATGCTAAATTTTTTTCCCCTTTAAATTTCTCTCTAATGACATGGTGCCTCTTGCTCTTGCTGCTGACAGCAGAGTTTGACCTGCTGGAACCCGTTGTGGCCTGTATCTTTGTGTATTTATTTACTTAGCTACATGCAGATAGACACCTGTAGACATACGTACGTTGCCTGGCCGGGACTCCTTGGGCTTACCCAACGGCGTTGGGCAAGCTTAGCGAGGCACTAACTGGGGTAGAGACGCGCTTCCGTGGAACGCGCTAGAGCGATAGGCGGCTCCTGTCAGCACTAGCTGCAGAGCGAACTGCTCGCCGAGGGGGAGAACCCTGGGTTTCAGAGAAGCGGAAGCGCACGCACGCACCCCCCACTGCGGCGGCCCTGCTTGCGGGCCGCTGCCGCGTTGTACTTGCCAGGTCGGCGCTCGGGCCCTCCGGGCCACGCCCTGGGTGCTCCCGCGCCCCCTGGCCCGCCCAGGCGGCTTGCACGGACCCGCTGGGCCCGCAGCCTCGCACACCCGGCTTTGCTGAGACCCTCGGTCGATCCCTCGGCCCGTCCCTGATACTGTGCATCATCCTGTTTTGTGTCACAACACCCTGCTACCTTGATTCACTCTTCGTCGTTGGCTAGGTTTTGGATTTATTACTTTCGAGGACGAACAATCAGTGGACCAGGCTGTCAACATGCATTTTCACGACATCATGGGCAAAAAAGTGTGTAGTTGTAGTTTTATTTTACCTTAAGACCAAACCAAGTCTTAGGCAACCTAGGCATTTCACTGGAAATGGAAGTTCCTTAACAGGAGGGGCTGGGTGCGTCGTCCTGGGCGCCTCTGCTGGTCGGGGTCGGACCCGCGTCTGCAGAGCTGGGGTCGTCCTTCCCGAGGGACCCTGCACGCAGCTCGGCCTCTCGCCAGCTTGCCTCCTGGAGCCCCTTGCTTGGCTCACCGGGGACAGGCGGGTGGGGTGGCCGAGGGCTGAGGGACATGTCCTGGGGGGGTCTGGTGGGCTGCCTCCAGTGACATCCCGGGTTGCCTCAGGCTTGGTTTCTGTGACCACTCCTTCAGATGTCTGTCTGTATCCGATTGTCTCACGCCGCCCCGCCATGCGATGGGCGGCGAACCTCTGAGAACAGGTTCCCTGTAAAACTGAGAAACGTAAACATCCTGAAGGATTGGTTTCTTAAATTGGGTCACTTACTGTGAACTCCGGTACCAACCACATGCTCTCGATAGTATTTAACTCCATGCAGTCAAGTGACCTCTGGTTGTTTCATCTTCATACTGTGTTGCTCTCGGAGGTAAACTGTCAGGAAGTGGCCCCAGCTCCCCATTTGCCCGGTCCCCGGGGCCTTTCTGAGAAGGCTCTAGAGTGCAGAGCCGTCGGGACCTCCTGAGTCAGCAAAGCTTGGGCTCTGCGTCCTTGCAGGATTCCTGTCTCGGCCCTTCTCGAACCCGCTCAGCACACCCTGGCACAGGCCACGGCTTTTCCTCGTTCCGGGTCAACACGCCCAGCCCTTCTGAGGACACAATGGCCGTTTTTGTCAATTAAGATATTGTGGAGGGCATCTGGCACCAGCAGTCCTGCCCCCGCCCGCCGCCCCCGTCCCGTCCCACAGCCCTGCTCCCTGCAGCTTCCTAAGTGCAGTCGCGAGCGTGGCTGTTGTAGACTGGTGGCCCAGGCCCTGCTGAGGCTGCATTGATTCCACTTGAACCTGACTGAGCAGGAGACACGAATCTCCTCCGACATGCAGTCACGCTTTTAGTTTAAGATTAGCCTGCAGATTTCAAGGAACACAAGTTCAAAGGAGTCTGCGTTCAATGTTTTAAGGTCCTGTGACATTGAAACTTGGAGGAAGCAAGGTTCTGCTCCAGGGGCAGGAGGCCGTGCTGAGCGCACAGGGCTGCCCGTCTCCAGGCGGCCGCCCCTGGGCTCGTAGGACACAGCCGTGCCAGTCTGCTCTGCACGAAGCAGAGCGGACACTGAGGTGGCCTCTCGGGTGGGGCTCGACTGCCCAAGTAAGACGCCCACGGGCCGGTCCAGCCCTCAGCCCCCAGCCCCCAGCCCCCAGCCCCCACCCCCCACCCAGGCTCGCCTCTCCATCGCCGACCTCTGCTGGTGGCCGGACATGGCGTCCTGCAGTCTCGCAGAGCAGGGGGCTCAGCCCACTTGTGATTAAACCCAGAGCGCAGGGACTGCTCTGTGTTCCGATAGGAAGAGGGTAAAAGAATTTTTTTTTAAATGACAAGGGCTGCTTTGCTTTGTAAGCAGGAACCAAATTCCCTTAAGGAAAGTGTGGGAAGACTCATTAATTTGTGCTCTTTGAAACAGGTCCCTTGGTCCTGCTGTCGCATTGCCTTGGGCTAAGGGGGATTTTGTTCCCATCTTGGAGCGTCCTTGGGGCATCACGGAGATGGGGGTCTCTGTCCCGCTTCCAGTTTGTTCTCTAACAGGAAGGGGTTTAAGGGAGAACTAAGACTGAGACCCCAAGGATGACTCCGAGTGGGGCCATTGTCTCTCTGTCCTCATTACAATGTATCATAAAAACAAGAAGAACTGAGGCTGCTCCGATGCGGAGGCAGCCCTGCCTGGAATCGGGGGTTTTTGTTGTCAGTCTGCCCATATTTTGAAGGCTGCGTGAGGGAGGAGCTAGAGGGCGGCCCCAGCGCTCGGCATCCGCAGGTGGTGGCCGCCGTCCCAGCCCCCAGCGCTGCGGCCCCGACCCCAGGCCAGGAGGGGGGTCCTGGGCTGCGACCGAACACAGTATGAAGATTGCTTACTGATTCAAATGTCCATTTTATTGCATGTTTGTTTACTTTTTTGTTAGATGTAATGTAAGATTCTCTTTATCACATCCATTCCCTCTGACATTATTTTGAGTTAATTGAGATTCCTTAAGCGTTAGCCTGGGGAAGGTAAGTCTTTATCTTCCATTAGACATTTTAAGAAAGCCTAAGCGAGCACCGTGTTTCTCAGGTATGCGCTGAGGGCGCGGGGCGGGCGGGCTGCTCCCGGCCGAGCTCCCGCCAAGCGGGGCCGGAGGGCCGACCGAGGGCTGGGGTTGCCAGAGCCTGCGCTCTGTCCCGGGGTTACGGGGCCGGCGAAGGAGGGCGCTGCTGCTCTAACTGACCGAAGACCCTCGTGATGCACCCAGCGCGCCAAGGGTCCTCGCCCTCCGTTCCTGCTCGGCAGCGCACAGGGCTTCCTGTGCCTCACGCTTGCATCTGTTGTACCTGAGAAACATTTTTTAAACAAAAAAATTAAAAATTTTTAAGAAAAAAAGCTACTGGCCTAAATAAGGTTTATAGTTAAGTATTTAGTTTTAAGTCGTAATAAGATGCTAAGTGTAGTTGTAAGTTACTTGAGGGTGTGTCTGAAGGGAAGGGGTCTGGGATCCTCAGCATCTCCCTAAACCCAAGCTCTGTTTGTCTAGGTGGAAGTTAAACGGGCCGAGCCTCGGGACAGCAAAAGCCAAGCACCAGGGCAGCCAGGTGCCAGCCAGTGGGGCAGCCGCGTCGTGCCCAACGCCGCCAATGGCTGGGCAGGCCAGCCCCCGCCCACGTGGCAGCAAGGATACGGCCCTCAAGGTAAGGCTCGCGTGTCCTGGTCACACAGGCCTGGGCTGGGGTGGCTACTTCCTGCCGCCACCTGCACCCCTTCCTCTGGACTTCGCTCAGAGGCGGCTGTGCTCACGGGGCAGTGGCGTGGTCTGTGCGGGATGCAGGAGGCAGACTCAGCTCCCTGCCCGGCCATTCCGGAAGTCTCCTGCCCAGCAGGTTGGCGAGGGGCCTGCTGACGCACGGAGACGCATGCTCAGTCCAGGAGCCGGGCCTCGGGCCACGCCCCACCCGGGCACTCAGAGCACCCGAACTTTCCAGTGAGCCCCCACTGTCCACCCGCCCAACTGTCGCTGTCAGTTTGTGGACAAGGAGGAGGGCCACAAGGCCCTCTCGGTCACGAGGTCCCCAGGTTCCGTGTCACTTGGTCCGTCTTGAGAGTTCCGTGCTTGGGCCGCAGCCGAGTTCCCCTGTCTGCAGGGAGGGCAACTGAGGCTCCCTGGGGCCGGAGAAGGGCACTCGGGTGGCCACGTGGTCCCTTTGCTGCCCCCGTGGCCTGGGGCTGTGCCAGGACGGTGCCTCTAGGGAAAGGGCAAGAGGACCTGGTGGGTTTTGGAGCCCGTCACCGTCGCCTACTGAATGGTGCCTCAGCCGCCATGCCCGCCCCGACGGCGCGCGTGGCAACCAGCCCACGGTGCGGGTGGAGTCAGCATGTGTGGCCCGGCCACCTCGGAGGCTCGGAGCAGATGCTTTTGGGACGAGTGGGGTTACCGCCCAGCCGGAAGGAGCTGCAGAGTCCTGCCCCTCGGGCCCTTTGGGCTGTCCCTGTTCCCGGGCTGCGGGCTACCCCAGCCGGGCTGTCAGATCCTGTGTGTGGGGTCAGCAGACAGGTTAAGGACACTTTGCTGGGAGGGTTGGGGTGCGCAGGGGCCCCAGGAGAGGATCCAAGAGGCTCCAACCCCTTTAGAAACCGAAGAAGGGACAGCATCCAGGGAGGGGCAGGAGACTAGGCAGGCCTGTCTGCACCCAGGGGCACCTGGTGTCCCCCCAGCGCCACCTGAGCCTGCAGAGCCATCTCCACACAGCTCGAGCCTTTTGCCCTGGTCTCCACAGTTGTCCTTTTAAAGATGAATGTTTTATCGCAAAATCCAACACGGCTGCAGGAAGCCCGTTAGTAAGAACAGACACCCTCGTATCCACCAGTGGGGGAATAGCTAGCGTGTGACCCGTGGCCTGGGCCTGCCGTCCAGCCTCCCAGCCGCCGTCCCCCACGTGCCTGAGTCCCTGATCTGCGGGTGCTCCCCCGAGCCCAGCCCTGCCGGCGGGCTCTGCCGGAGAGCCCGGGCGCCGGAGCGAGGGCTTCTCTCGGGAGCCTTCCCTGTGGAGGCAGGACATGGGGCCAGCCCTCGTCCCACACCTGGCCTTCTGAGCAGCCCTGGGGGCTGCCCCGTGCTCTTGAGACGCTGCAGGGGCACCTCTGGCATCCCCCTTAGGGCTGGGCTGTCCTCCCTGTGCCCGCAGTGTGGCGGCACACAGCTTCTGTACGCGGGGCTCGGCCAGCGTGGTGGGCGGCTGTGGGGCGGGAGGCCAGGGCAGGCCCCAGTGTTTGCCGTTGAGCTGACATGGCACCCCCTCTGTTTCCCCATTTAGGGATGTGGGTGCCAGCAGGACAGGCCATCGGTAAGTCGTCGTATGTGGAAATCGGGGAGAGGAGAAAACCGGAGGGGTGCTGGGGCTGGGTGCTCTGTCTCCCCCTCACCCTGCATTCTCTGTTCCAGGTGGCTACGGACCACCCCCTGCGGGACGAGGAGCCCCCCCCCCCCCCCCGCCATTCACCTCGTACATCGTGTCCACTCCCCCCGGAGGGTTCCCCCCTCCTCAGGGCTTCCCACAGGGCTATGGCGCCCCCCCGCAGTTCAGTAAGTTCTGAGCCGGGGGGAAGGCTGGGGCCACGTGCACACACACGGCTGTGGGCTTGGGCCCCCCCTTTGTCAAATGGGAGTGCACCGTGCAGGGGACGGGCCCTGTGGGCTGTGACAGCGACGACCTCGTTCTTCCTCACGCTCACCCCTCCCGGGCGGGGCACCCAGGCTGATCTCTGTCGTTCAGAATCAAGGGGCTGAGGGTGCAGACAGCTGGGGGTCAGTGCCACGGTCCTCTCCGCTCTGCCCCGTGACGCAAGCTCGGGGCGTCCCCCCGACACCTCAGTGTGAAGGGCGGGCCGCACACTGGCCACGTGGGTCTGGAATAGTGAAGCAGTGCCTTGCCTGGCCTGCTGTGGCTGCCAGGTGGCCACTGCAGTGTGTCATTCAACCAGCATAAAATGTCCCACGATCTTTTTTCCTCCTAAGTCCTCGGGATCCGGATGTGAGTTGCCCTCGGGCCACACCACAGTGTGGGCCGGTCACATTTGTGGGCTCAGGCCACATGATGACTGTGTGGCCCTTTACAGGAAAGTGTGCCCACTCCGGCCTAGACCACCTTGGGTTTTATTTTTAACAAGACGAGAGGTAGGGAGAAAGGGCCTCTGCCCCCGCGGACGGCGTGGGCGCGACCGCACCTGCCCTCTGGCGGCTCACTGTGATTTTTGTCTTCCCAGAGCGCACGGTTGTGCTGGGGTTTCGGTTGGGTTCTGTCCTTGTGATGGTGCAGTGACTCCGTCCGTGAGTCGCTCATTCCGGCCACCGGCGGTTGGCTCTCTTCCCAAGCTGGTCCCTTCCTCGGCGGGGCCACACTGGCGAGCCCGTCTGTCCCTCTCTCCCGTTCATTTGCAGGCTTTGGCTACGGGCCTCCACCTCCACCACCGGATCAGTTTGCCCCTCCGGGGGTCCCCCCTCCGCCTGCCACGCCAGGGGCAGCCCCCCTGGCCTTCCCGCCGCCTCCATCTCAGGCCGCCCCAGACATGAGCAAAGCGCCCACGGCCCAGCCTGACTTCCCCTACGGTCAGTACGGTGAGTGGCCGCCCTCGGGCCCTGCGCCTGGCCTGTCATGTCCTGCCTCCCTCCCTCTTAGAGGCCCCTGCCGTAGGGGATGTTGGGGAGCATTTACGTGACCCAGGGCCAGGCAACACACACAGCAGGCATGGGCATTGGGGTGTTGCCAGCGTGTGTGGTAGGAACACCTCGGTTACACAGCAGGTGGCCCCAGGCCTGTGGGTTTGGGGACCTGAGGCTGGTGCCAGCGGCTATGGCCATTGTCATCTTGGTTTCCCAAGTGATCTCCGAGCGAGGGGCGGGTTCGCGGCTCTGGCCTGGGACAGGCGCTGGCTCGGGCACTGGCAGGGTGCTTCCCCCAAGGGGCCGCTCGAGCAGCAGCTGTTCCCAGGCCTGCGGCCTGAGGAGGGTGGTGCGGCGGGGGTCCTGGGGACGCCTCCACCCAGCTCAGCGGGGGGCTTCCTGTCTGAGGGTTTCAGCCCCGAGTTTGCCGCCTGAGGCTTGCTGTTCCCGCTGCGTTGCTTGAACGGGGTTTCGCCCCAGACCATGGTGTCTGTAGGGTGCAGCCGTGCTTGGCTTCCGATGCCCCCGGCGCCCCACAGTGCACACTCTTGCTCCCTGGGGCCACCGTCTCTGTGCAGGTTCTCGCCCCCGCCCGGAGCAGCGTCGCGTGTGCGAGTGTGTCCCGTCCCGGCCACTCCTGCGCCGAGGCTGCCCTGGGGCTCACCTGGGCTCATCTCACCAGGCCCAGGTGCCTGTTCTCCAGGCCCGTCAGGCCACAGGGCCCCACTTTGCTTACGCTCTTGTGGTCAGGCTGAGCCGTGGCAGGGCCTGGCCTAGGCAGGTGGCCCCTCATTCACTGTCCCTACTCTGCTGGCACCCGGGTGGTGGACGTCACCGCCTCTGCCATCCCAGGCGGGGGTGGACCTGGTAGGTGAGGATCCCAGCCGGCCGTGGGCTCTGCTTCTACGAGGCAGCATGCCTCGCTCCACCCCCGCTCGCCACAGGGAGGCCAGGGTCCTGGGACCGGTCTTTGTCCAGAGTGTGTAGTCTGGGTGGACGAGGAGCCAGGAGGTGACCGCCCCCTTTCCCGAGGCACCTTTCATGCCCTCTGGGCCAGCAGCGCAGGCTCTGGGCCCTGGGTCGAGGAGGAAGCTGCCCGGCCCAGCTGATGCAAGTCCTTCAGACCAGCGCTTGGCATGTTGTCCCAGCCCCACCCCGAGCTGGTCAGCGTCACGGAAGCCGCCGGGTTGGGTCACTTCTGCAGGGAGGGCAGTGGCCATCTAGGGGTATTCTAGAGGGAGGCACAGGGCTGGTCTGACATGGTCTTGAGTCCTGAAAGCTGTGCCGGAGTCCCCGCTGCGTTCTGTTCCAGAACCTACTTCCTAGAAGCCCCTGATCCGCCAGGGCTGGCCACATCCTCTGTTACTCCAGGCTCAAAGGCCTCAGCCGCTCAGCCCTGCAGCCCGGGCACCCAGCCCCGAGGCTTTGGGAACGGGGAGGCGGGCTGAGGACATGCCGGACAGATGGGGCTCCGAGAGGGCTCAGAGCTGCCGCTGGTTCTGTGCGGAGACAGCTGTCCAGGCTCTTGCCGAGGGTGCAGGGTGGGCTCTCGAGATGAGCAGCCCCAGGGCCTCACCCCAGGCTGGCCGCGGCCCCAGAGCGCCACACGGGAGCTGTCCCCACAGTCACTGTCACGCCCCGGCTCACGGACTCTTCCCTCAGCAGGTTACGGGCAGGACCTGGCCGGCTTCGGACAGGGCTTCTCAGACCCCAGCCAGCAGCCCCCGTCCTATGGGGGCCCCTCGGTGCCGGGCTCGGGGGGCCCCCCTGCCGGCGGAAGTGGCTTTGGACGCGGTCAGAACCACAACGTGCAAGGATTCCACCCCTACCGACGCTAGCCGGCCGGCCGGCCTCGAGGACACGGGACGCTGAGACCCGGCATTCGGAACTTGTGAACTCGTGACAATCACAAACTTGGCGGAAAAATAGCGACTCAACCTGGGGGGCGGGGGGCGGGGAGAGAGGCTTTTGGAGGCGCTGTGGGTGTCTGGACTGAAGTTTTTAAATATATTTCTTTCTCTAACCCATCAGCACAATAAAAGAAACGTCACTGGTTCAACAACAGGGTTTAAAAAAATGTCTTCAGCTTTAATTCAAAACTTCAGGTTTCTTTTTCTTTCTTTTTTTGAAATTATTTTCCTGAGCCTTTTGTTTTACCGTATATTGTAAACTTTTATGTTAAAGAAAAAAAATATACATTTACAAATTGTGAGATTTTTAAGAGAAATTTTCTACGATGTATACTGGCTTATTTTTTAATTTAAAACAGGGTTTCCGTCGGCACTGGTGGAAGTGGGGGCCGTTTTTAGTCCCCCACTCCTGGCTTTGAGGGTTGGGACTCGTGGGTCCAGAAACTCTGGGAGCTTAAAGAAGAATCTACTGAGTGTGTTTTGTTTTCTGTTTATTCCTTGCTTTTGTCGACTGACCTGCCTGGCAGTGTCTGCAGGTGCGCTGTCCGCCCCGCGTCCACCCCGGGCATCGAGGACGAGGAGAGGCCTTGTCAGCCCATCTTGCGCGCACGTGGCTTCAGGGCGTCCCCACTGGCCAGTCTGACCCTGGTTTGAATAAAGAGAAGTGCGTTTGGATTAGAAACCCATGTGGTGTCCGTGTCTTCCCTCCCTGCTCGCTCACAGCCGTGCTCCCGCCTGCCTGGGGAGGCCCTGTGCGCCCATGGGCGCCCCAGGGGGCTCGGCATCCGTGCGGGGCCTGCCTCAGCGGCTCTAGGGCTCCGGGGTTCAGTAGCCATCTGCGGACACTGAGGAAGAGGCATCTAGACAGATCTAGGGGGCACTGGCCAGGAGTCCCCCGCCCCTTGGGCAGGCCGCTCACTTTTCTGTGAACTGGGCTGTTGACATGGGTGGTGTGGGTGTCGGGACAGCCAGGCCAGGGTGGGTAAGATGCAGTGTGGCGGCTGGAGCTCCTGGAGCTGGACACCTGGCGGCACTTGGGCCCAGCTGGTCACAGCTGCTCGAGAGGCAGGCCCGGGCTGGGAGTGGATCCGCTTGCCCCAACCCTTGGGCTAAAGTCCAAGCAAGGGTGGATCCCAGAGAAGACGGGGAGTGGAGGGCAGGAGGGGATGAGTTCTGATCCCACGGCGGCCACCCCCTCCTGCTGGACACAAGTGGGCCTGGCCAGCAAAGCCCGTTGGCAGGGCCCTTCCACCCATAGGTGTTCTGGTCTCATACCCCGTGGTTTCTGTCCGTTTTCTTGACTCCCCCCAACCCCAGATGCCAGGGGCTTTGACACGCAGTGAGCCCCTGTTTGCAGCCCTGAGAAGGGAGGGAGTCGGAGCCAGTCTGCACGCAGGACTTCCTTGGCACGGGTCGGGGACGGGCTCCCAATCCCCACGAGGCTGGGCCCAGGGAAACAGCTGTGACAAAATGGGTGAATCCTCGCTCGTTCCAGTGTGTGTGGGTCTCCTGTGGCTGCTGTTACAAGTCACCAGAACTTGGTGGCTTAGAACAACACAGACTTATTGTCTCAGTCCTGGGGTCAGGAGTCCAACAGGGTCCCACGGGGCTAAATTCCACAGGAGGCCAGGGCGGGTCCTCCCGGAGGCCCCAGGGGAGGAGCGTGTCCCGCCTCCTCCAGCTTCCAGAGGCGCCGCGTCCTGGGCTCGGGGCCCCTTCCTCCGTCCGCACGGCCAGCAGCGCAGCGTCTCCATCTCGGCCTCTGACCCTCCCGCCTCCCTCTGCTCAGGACCCTGGGCTGACCCTGGGCCCCGGGAATCCAGGGTCACCCCCATCCCAGGGGCCTCGACTTAACCCGTCTGCAGGGTCCCCTCTGCCCTGTGAGGTGACATGTCTGCAGGTCCCAGGACCAGAACAGACGTCTTTGGGGGACATCATTCTGTCGTAAAGACCACATCAAGGTTGCAAAACATAAAAACAAACAGAACTGATCATCCAAAATGTCCTGGAGGCCTCCAGTGTGCCAGGCTGAGATCAAGGGAGGAAGAAAACAGCCAGAAGCCCAAGGCCCACTCAGCTCGGAGAGCCAAGAAGAGGGGGCCTTCCCCGTGGTACCCAAAAGGCGCCTCGGAGACGGCATCCCGCCGTGCAGCCCTCACACAGGGAGGCGGCCCCTCTTTCCCGTCGTCCAGTTTCCTCTCAAGCTGCTGCCACCCGGGTTCCAGAAGAGCAGGGACAGGCCATCTCCCGGCCTCGGGATTTCCAGCCGCGTGGAGCTTCCTGGACCGCTGGCGCCACACCCCTCACACCCTGAGACACAGCCATCAGCCCCAAGTCGCCCCAAACAGGGTGCTCATGCTCCCTGGGTGACAAGAGAGGGACGTCCCCCCCCAGGTGAAGTTTAATTGGCTCTCCCCACCCCCCAGGATTGAGGGCTCAGCTTCCTATTCCCTCCAGGCCAGCCCCAGCTCCCCACAGAGCTGCTGGTCTAAGCCAGATCTCACCCAGCAGGCTGGCCCCTGAGGCCGGCAGGGGGCTGGAGGCTTGGTTGGCACCTGCCCTGAAGGGAAACTGAGGCACGATGGAGTCCGACGGGGAGCCGCTGGCCTTTTGGTTCAGCAGCACCCACCTCATTCTGACCTCGAGGCCTTTGCACGCCTACTCCCTCTTCCAGGAACACGCCCTCCCTCCCAGCAGGGCTGGGGGCCTCCTCCAACCCCTGGCGTTTACCGTTGTGACCAATCAGATCTACCTCCGCCATTTCGCATTGTTTTCGATGTGCTGCTTGTCTTTCTCGTTCTTGTGCAACTCTGCTAATGCTTCCTTTTGTGTTAAATAAGTATCTCCTAGTGTTGCACTTTAATTCCTTTAACAATTTTTTTTAAACCATCTAGGGAATTTTTTTTTTTGAGGAAGATTAGCCCTGAGCTAACATCTGCTGCCAATCCTCCTCTTTTTTTTTTTTGCTGAGGAAGACTGGCCCTGAGCTCACATCTGTGCTCATCTTCCTCTACTGTATATGTGGGATGCCTACCACAGCATGGCTTGACAAGCGGTGCCATGTCTGCACCCAGGGTCCGAACTGGCGAACCCCGGGCCGCCAAAGCAGAATGTGTACACTTAACCGCTGTGCCACCGATCTGGCCCCTAATAATTTTTTTCATTATATTTTTTGTGATTTTTTTACAGAGTCCTCCATAGTTTACCATGTATGTCTGTTTGGTGGTTTTGTAGTGTGGGAAAATATAGATAAGATTTGCCATTTTTAGCCATTTTTAAACAGATAATTCAGTATATTAAGCACATTCACACTGTTGTATAGCCGTCTCCACCATCCGTCTCCAGAACTTTCCATCTCCCCAAACGGAAGCTCTGTCCCCATGAAACACTGACTCCCACCCCTCCCCCAGCCCCTGGCCCCCCATCCACTTTCTGTCTCTGTGGATGTGGCTCCTCTGGGGACCTCCTGCGAGTGGACCACACAGTGTGTGTCCTTCTGTGTCTGGCTCATGTCACTGAGCATCACATTCTCCAGGTCCATCTGCACTGGAGCAGGTGTCAGGATCTCCTTCCCCTTTGAGGCTGAATAATATTCCGGGGTGTATAAACCATTGTGTTTGTCCATCGATGGACACCCGGGTGGCTTCCCCTTTTGGCTGTTGTGCACCATGCTGCAATGAACACCAGTGTACAAATCTGTTCGAGTCCCTGCTTTCAGTTCCTTGGGGGGTACACCCAGAAGTGGGATGGCTGAGCCATATGGTACCACCTCTTTTTTTTAAGATTCTATTTTTCCTTTTTCTCCCAAAGCCCCCCGGTAGATAGCTGTGTATTTTCAGTTGTGGGTCCTTCTAGTTGTGCCGTGTGGGATGGCCACCTCAGCATGGCCTGATGAGTGGTGTCATGTCCCTGCCCAGGATTCGAACCGGTGAAACCCTGGGCCACCGAAGCAGAGCGCTCGAACCCAACCACTCGGCCCAGGGGCCGGCCCCCAGCCACACCTCTTAATGTACCAGAATCCCCTTCAGATGGACGCTCACTTAATTCCAGTGGATACAGAAACAGTACTCCCCTATCGCTCTAGTCCCTGATCCCTAGCAATTATTCTAACAGCTATTATTCTATATAATTTTGTCTATTAAGGGCTGGCTGGTCCTTATCAGGGACGCCTTTCTGACCATCTGTGCGAAGCCAGTGTCCCACCCCTCCTGGCTTTTCCTCCAGGCTCTGATATCTGTATGACCTTGTACCTTCCATGCCTGCCTCCCCCACTGCACGCGAGAGCTCCCTTGTGCAATGCGGGGACCCCAACCCCCAAACCGCGCCTGCTGCCAACAGCAGGTGCTCTGCAAACCTTGGGGACTACAGAGCACGAATATGAGGCTCCGAAAGGGGAAGCGAGGTCCTACGTCCCAATCTGAGGAAGCGGCTCGCAAACCCTAGGCGGCCGGCCCCATCCCCGGAGACACCTGCCTCCTTAGTCCTCGCAGCCTGCGCTCCGCCCTCCGGCCAGAAGAGGGCGCGCGTCCCCCGCCGGGACAGCGGCAGCGCGTGCGCACACACGGCTGCTGGGCGGGGCACGTGGGCGCCCTCGCGATAACTGCGCAGGCGCACGGGGGCGGGCCCTTTCCGGAGAACCGACAAGATGGTGAGTGCCGCGGTTTGACGTGTCTGTGCCGGACCCATCCGGCGCCATCCGAGCTCTCGCCGCGCCGTAGAGTCCGGAATCATGCCGCACGGCTGCGGCAGCCTCCTCCGGGCCTCCGGGGCCGCCGGATATGGGGGCGTGGGGCGGGCTTGGTGGTGGGTGTCGGGGCGACCCGGGGCGGGGAAGGCCTGTGCCGCCCGGCATGTCCCAGCGGAGCCCCCGTAGCCCGGAGCGGCGCGTGCCGCCCAGGGACAGGCCCGAGGTGGTGTGTCCCCGCGGGATTCCGTAGCTGGCCGTGGGAGTGGGAAGTGGGGGTCGGGCTCACAGCTCACCGCTCCCCGGCCCGGGCCCGCGCAGGCGGAAGTGGAGCAGAAGAAGAAGCGGACCTTCCGCAAGTTCACCTACCGCGGCGTGGACCTCGACCAGCTGCTGGACATGTCCTAGTAAGAGGCGGCGGGCCGGGCGGGGGCCGGGGTGCTGCCCACGCGGCTTCGATCGCGTGTCCGCGACGGGCGGGCCTGCGTGCCAATAAAACTTTATTGGGAGACGCTGAGGTTTGGATGCCCTCTGTCCCCACGTGTCTGTGGACGCGTTTCCGTGCACGTGGAAACGTAAACGCGGCCCGCAGCTCGCGGTCTTTTTGCTAAATCCCCGGGTTTGGCACGTGGGCGGGAATCTGCCGCCCCCTCCCCGGTCCAAGATGGGGCGGGGGTCGTCTGATTTGTGCTTTTTAAAGCTCTGACCCCCGGGTGCAGGGCGGGCGCGGGGTCCGGCCCCCGGAAGGGGAGGGAGGCCTGCTGACAGCCCGCGAGCACCTGTCTGCTGCAGGTGTGTCTGCATCTGGGCGTGGGGGGCCTGCTTCCGGGGCGGGGGCCGCACAGAACAGGGTCTTCTTTGCCGGGGTTGGGGGGGCGTGGAGGGGTCTCCTCGATTTTTGAGGCCTTAGGAGCGCAGCACCTTGTCCGCGAGGGTCGGCCACCTCGCCCGAGCCGACTGTCCCCCTGCCTCAGTTTCCCCTGCCCTAGACAGTGGGCGTTGGAGGTCTTTGCATTTTTGGGGGGGTCGCGCCGAGCGTTTGCCGCGCGCCCCGGCCGGGCCGTGAGCGCTGGCTTGGGGGCGCGCGGGGGTCCCCCGGGGCTCATCCGCGCCTGCCGCCCCGCAGCGAGCAGCTGATGCAGCTGTACAGCGCCCGGCAGCGGCGGCGGCTCAACCGCGGGCTGCGCAGGAAGCAGCACTCGCTCCTGAAGCGCCTGCGCAAGGCCAAGAAGGAGGCGCCGCCCATGGAGAAGCCCGAGGTGGTGAAGACGCATCTGCGCGACATGATCATCCTGCCCGAGATGGTGGGCAGCATGGTGGGCGTCTACAACGGCAAGACCTTCAACCAGGTGGAGATCAAGGTGCGTGCGGGGCCGCTGGGCCGGGTGGGCCCGGGCCCCCCGCGCTCACCTCACTAACGGGGGCCTGCTGTTCGCCTCTCGCAGCCCGAGATGATCGGCCACTATCTGGGCGAGTTCTCCATCACCTACAAGCCCGTGAAGCACGGCCGGCCCGGGATCGGCGCCACCCACTCCTCCCGCTTCATTCCCCTCAAGTAGCCTCGGCCAATAAAGGCACCGACTGCTCCAGGCCGCGTGCGACCAGTCCTTCCGGCGACCGGGGCTCGGGGAGGGGCCGGGCCTGGTCGTGGTGCCAGGAGGCTCGGGGCGCGCGTGTCCCCGGGTCTCCTGCTGTGGGTGCGCTGACAGCTGCTCTCCGTCACTTGTTCGTGCACTGAGGCTGGCCCCTGGGCCGAGGAGTGGGGTTGGGAGCTGTGAGGGGCTCGGCCTGTGACAAGTCTGGGGGTGTCCGGGGTCCTGTGCCCCAGCCCATTTGTACTGCCAGCTCTTCTGCCGTCTTGATGTGGACAGATGTTGTCTGCAGCCCAGACCCCCGTGCAGCCCCTGGCGCGTCCTGGGTGCCCTGCAGCCTAGACAGAGGCAGTGTCTCCTCCAGCCCCGTTTCCTTCTGGCCCTTCCACAGTCGCCAGTCGCAGGTGGGTTGTGCCCTCTTGAAACTCATGAAGAATGGGGACCTTTGCATGCTCTGAGCTTTCTGGCTCCCAATTTTGCACCCCTACCCAGGGCTCCTCAAGGTGCTGTCCACCTGTGCCATGCGGCCAGTGTCAGTCCCTCTCAGACACAGTGCTTCTGGGTAGCTTCTGAGAGCCTTCCGCAGGGACTCGAGCCCCTGCCCTGCAGTGCGCCTTCCCCAGGACAGATCCCACACCACCCCATAGGGTCCCAGCCCAGCTCCCTCAAATGTTTTTGGTTTGTGTTCTTCATGAGGGGGAGCTCATGCGGGGCAAGATGCAGGTGCATCAGGAGGTGGCGGTGGCTGTGCAGGCAGCAGTGAGGCTCCAAGGCAGCCCACCCTTGAGCACAGCGTGGGGAGGGAGTCGGGTGACGGCCGGGTTTGGGCCTAAGCAAATGGAAGGTGGGAGCCACCCTCAACCCGGGCGGGGAGAGGTTCAGTGGCTCCTGAGTGTCCCCAGCGGTCAGGGTGTCCCGGATCTCCGACCTCCCCCTCAGTTTGTGATGTGAGCGGTGGCTCCGTGACGAGCCAGAGTCCAGACATGGAGGCGGGAGGGGAACAGGGACGATGAGTGAAAGCTCCTGCCTCGCTTTCACCTCCTCTCCGTGGTCACTGCCACTGCCTCTGGGCCCCTATTTTCTGGACTTTATCTCTGAATTTCAATACAATTTGCTTATACTGTTACTTTTTGACTTGGAGTCAAGTTAGTAAGGGTGAATCGTCGTGTAGTTGGGGAGGGCAGTAGACACAGCAGGACAGACTGAGTGAGAGAAACACTTGGCGTTCGTCCAGTTGAGCACAAGGACCCACCGTGTTGAGTCCAGAGGGGCTGGAAGGCTGCGCAGCCCGCCCGTGCCATCCCCAGGAGACACACAGAGCTTACACACTCCTAAGGAGAAGAGCAGCCCCCTAGGACACGGGCCGTGTGTCCAGCAGGCGGAGGTCAGAATGCTCCACCTGCGGCTTCTGAGGGCCTCCCGAGGGCCGGGTGACGGATCTGGGGCGCGGAAGGAGGAAGACCAGGGAAGGCGGCCTGGGGCCCACGTGAGGGGCCTCCAGCCCACCGGAGGGGCCACGTGCGTGATCAGAAAGATGAAAGACGGGCTTGAGTGCTGTCGAATATCCAGAAGACTTTAATATCTGCTCGTGGATGGCCCCTGGACCTGAGTGGGCTCCAAACCAACCAACCAACTAGAAACTTCCAGTCTGCCGTGGAAGGTGGGAGTGTGGTGTGGGGGTGACGTGGGAGATGCAGGTCAGTTAACTGAGGTTGCTCAGTGCTTTGAGAATGGCTTAAAAGCTGTTGGTGGGCCAGCCCCGTGGCACAGTGGTTAAAAGTGTGCACTCTGCTTCAGCGGCCTGGCGTTTGCAGGTTTGGATCCCAGGCATGGACCTACACACCCTCACCAAGCCATGCTGTGGCGGCATCCCACATACAAAACAGGAAGATTGGCACAGATGTTAGCCCAGGGCCAATCTTCCTCACCAAAAAAAAAAAAAAAAAACCCTTAAGAGTCACCAACTGGAGGGTCTCTGGGTGACACTGGCCAAAGTCGCCTGAATTGGGACAGCAGAAGCCTTTGTGTGAGCCCAGCTTCAGGGAACTGCCTGGCCGGGGCCAGGAAAGCGGGAAGAAAGGAGTAGGTGAGGGCTCATTGTAGTCCCAATCGTCTGTTTTTGGAATTCCCATAATTTTAAAATGAAGTGGCTGAAATACAAGAAGCATGTTTTCATCAGATTGGTGAGGGGGAGGCTTCCCTGGGGCGGATCCCATCTGGACTGCAAGGTAGGTTTTGACCCTGAGCATGAAAAACAGTAGAAACAGCACAGCTTTCGAGCACAAGGTCCAAATGCAGGGGCAAAAAGCAAGTGCAGACGAGGTTCGAGCCCCTGCATTTCGGTGGGGCGGGGGGCGCTGGTGGGAGTGGCAGTGGGTGCTCACTCAGGAGGGTGGGCAAACTCCCACTGGCCAGCGGCCCGCCGTCTGGTTTTGTAAATAAAGCTTTGTCGGCACACAGCCACGTCCATTCACATGGGTCATGGTGATGTCACACATCAACCATGGACACTGGCCTGCGCCACTGAAATTACTGAGCCTTTCACAGAAAATTGCTTGTTTTATGAAAGCGAGTCGGTGTCACCCCCCACAGCGCGTGTCACCTTTATGTTTTTTTTTGTTTACTTATTTTGAGGACAATTAGCCCTGGGCTAACTGCTGCCAATCCTCCTCTTTTTTGCTGAGGAAGACTGGCCCTGAGCTAACATCTGTGCCCATCTTGCTCTACTTTATATGTGGGATGCCCACCACAGCATGGCTTGACAAGTGGTGCCATGTCCGCACACGAGATCCGAAGTGGCGAACCCCGGGCCTCCGAGAAGCAGAACGTGCGCACTTAACCGCTGCGCCACCGGGCCGGCCCTGTGTGTCGCCTTTTGAAGCTTCACGGGCAGCTTCCAGCCTGGCCGCCACGGGTCCGCTTGGTGGGCTCCGCGTGGGGGTGGCCAGTGGTCATTGCACTCTCTAATTTTCTGCAGTTTGAATTTTTCCGACAACCTGTTACATGGGACGAGGGGACGATGCATGTGACTGATACAAGCGAACCAAGCCGTGTCCTCTTCAGACTGAGGCGCACGCGCCAGCCACCGGGGGGTGCCCCAGTCTGGGAGCACTTTTGGGGAGTCCAGGGGGCGGGACAGGAGCCTTTGTAACCCCGCGCCACCGTGCAGCCCCTCTCCCATCTCCAGACCCTCGGGCCACGTTCCTGCCTTTGCGCCCCATCCCCTCTGGTCCCCCTGCCCTGGGTGTCCAGACTCAGACTCCACGTCCCCAAACCTGCCCGGCAGCTCCTCTGGGGGTCCGGTGTCGGCACCCCCGCTTTCTATGTGTTGCCCCCTCCCAGTCGGTCAGCTGCCTTCAGAACGTGTCCTGGGTCCAGCCACTGCCCATCACCCCCACGGCTGCCACCCTCACCAGGCCCAGGCCATCTCCCACCTGGACACCACTGTGAAATAAATACACGTCATGGTCCCCTGACTCCCCCGGACCCCAGAATAACGCCCAGCGTCCTCCAGGGGCCCGTGAAGCCCCGCCTGCCGCCTCATCTCCCCGTCCCTGGCCCGCCTGGCCCGCCTTCCAGCTGTCTCCAGACGCTCCCGGCTCCTTCCCGCCTCGCAGCTTTGCATGGTCCGCCCGGCTGCACTTCCCACTCGTTCCCGGCACCTCCTCGCTCGGGCCTGCCCTCCGTCCCGCCGCAGCAGCGCCCCTTTCTCTCCCCGCTGCTTGTTCTTTGCGTTCCCGGGACTCAGCGCAGCGCCTAGTAATACCCCCTCCGCGACCCCCACCGTCCTCCCATCCCCCCAACCTCCCCGCGTCCCCCCTTCATCCCCGTCCCTCCCCCATCCCCGCATCCCCGCCCTCCCCCGCCTCCTCCCATCCCTGCATCCTCCCCATCCCTCCCCATCCCCGCATCCTCCGCCCCTCCCCCCGTCCTTCCTCCCATCCCTGCATCCTCCCCATCATCCCATCCCCCATCCCCGCATCCTGCCCGCATCCCTCCTGGACCAGCGCGGTCCCTCCCCCATCCCCGCATCCTCCCCCCTCCCCCGTCCTCCTCCCATCCCCGCATCCTCCCCATCATCCCACCCCTATCCCCGCATCCTGCCCCATCCTCCCCATCATCCCACCCCCGTCCCCGCATCCCCCCCGCATCCTCCCCATCATCCCTCCCCCATCCCCGCATCCTGCTCGCATCCTCCCGGACCCCCGCCGTCCCCTCCCCGTCTCCCGGCGCCGCCTCGGCTGTTCGCCCCGCAGCCGCCAGAGGGCGCGGCGAGCCCGAGTCGCCGTCCCCGCTCCGCCCGCAGCCGCGCGGCCCCCACGTCCCTCCCTCGGGAGGCCCGCGCCCCCCGTCCACCGCCTCCTGCGCCCTGGCTTTGCGCTGGCTGTTCCCTCTGCAGGGACCCTCTTCCCACTGCGGTCACCACCCGGGTCTCTATTCAAGCGCCCTTCCCAGCCGCGTCTCCCCCGCCCCCCCCCCCCTGCGGCCCCCTCGGCGCGAACCTCTAGCCCGCCTATGGTCCCCGTTGACTCCGGTCCCTCACCCCCATGTCAGTTCCCCACAGGCAGGGGTTTTGACTGTTTTGTTCGTTGCACAGGGTAGGTGCTTATTATAAACGTTTGTCAAATGACTGGCTGAATGTTTGTTTACGTGCGGCGGCACCCCATCAGGACCCCTGCATGCCCCGCGTCAGCTCAGAGCCCCGCAATCAGTAGGAGCGCAGCAAATGTTTGCTGAATGACTAATGAACTGAGCCCGCAGCCGGGCCCGGGCGGACTCGGAGGAGGTGCCCGGCTTCCGCAGGGACCCTGGTCAAGCGGGCAGCTGACTACGGCCGCAGGGCTGCGCCTCCCTCGGTCCCTCCCGGAGATCCGTTCTCCGTGGGACCCCTCCTCGCCGGGTTCTCACTTCCCCCAAGCCGACCCCTCTTGCTCCCCCTCCAGGGGTCCCCCAGCCCCTAGAGCGTGAGCCCCGCCCCCAGGGACCCCCCCGTCTCTCTAGGGAGCCCCCCCAACCCCGTCGGACCCCAGCCCCTCGCCCCCTCCTTCTCTGCTCACGCGGGTCCCCCTCCCCCACCGCCCTCTCTAAGGATCTCCTCGCACCGGCCCCCCAGAGTCCTCAGTCCTACGAGACTCCCTCCCTCCGCCCCTGCGAGGTTCCTCAGACCCCTCTCACTCGCCTCCCTCCTGGAGGAGTCCCCACCCCGGCCCCGCAGTGTGACCCCTCCCCGCCGCTCGCTCCGCGCAGGCGCAGGGCGGCCCGGGCCCCCCCAACCCCCCCACGCGGCGGCTGAGGGGCGGGGCGCGGGCTGGTCCGAGGCGGCCGCGGCTCCATGGGGCTCCTGGGGCTGCTGAGCCTGCTGCACTCGGCCTTCTTCGGGGACCAGGTAGGGCGCGGGGGTCCCGGCCGCGGGCGAGGGGTCCGACCCTGGGCGCGGCTGGGGCGGGAGAGCCGCCGCCCGGGATAGGGTGCGGCCGCGGGAACGGGGGCCCCGGCGGCGGGGGGCGCACGGGCACGCGCACCGAGGCTCAAGGGTCTGGGGTCTCGCGCAGTCTCCGTGGAGACCGTTGCCGGGGAAACTGCCTCAGGATGCTCGCGGGGCTGGGGGCCCCTCCCCCGCGCCGCGGTGACCCCCTCCCCCCGGTCTGCGCAAGCGCGGCCTCGCCAGGCTCGGCCCTCGGCCTCTGAGGGGGACCCCCGAACTCCTCCCCATGTCGCGGACGCGGAGACCGGCTGGGGCGGTGGGGGCTGCGGCGGGGGCGCGCCGTGCTAGGCTCCGGCCCGCACAGGCGGGTAGGGGGACCGGGCCACGCCCTGCACCTCTCTGGGCCTCAGTTTCCCCTTCTGGGCGCCGATCGTATGGCCGACTCCGACGTTCGCTGAGGCTGACGTTCATAATAATACCCCACCGGGCCCAAGCGCTGTGCTGGCCTCCATAATCGTCTGAATCCTGGGGCTGTAACATCCCCTACGTAAGGGGAAACTGAGGCTGGGGTGCCGCGGGGCGCCCAAGGTCACGCCCCGAGCGGGGCCGGAGCCGGAGCGCGGGGCCGAGGCGCCCGCAGGGCACGCGGCTCAGAGGCCGCAGGGAGCTGTCCGCGGTGCTGACGGGGCTGCTCGCCCGCCCCCCAGCCCGGGGAAACTGAGGCCCAGAACGGTGGTCGGGGGACCCACTCGGGTCGGCATTCGGGGGCGCGGCCTGCACCGGCCGCCCCACCCCTCCCCCACCTCCAGTGGCAGTCCTTCCTCACCGGTCAGGGCCCTGCCCGGTCACCCAGCCCTCACCCCATCTCTGTGGTCGCGAGACGACCTGGTGCCTTCCTGCTCCCCTCTGGCCCCCACCCAGCTCCGAGTGGGGGGCCCCCCTGACTCCGCCCCCAGCCCCTGGCACAGCGGAGGCCCCGTGGGGAAGGGCGGGGCACCAAGGGCGCACAGACACCCGAGGTGAGGCTCAGAAGGCCGGAAGACAATCCTGAGTGACCCTACAGTGGGCCGCCCACGTGCTGGGAGGGCGGGGGAGGGAGGGGAGGGTCTTGGGGTGAGGATGAGGGGAAGCGAGCCCGTGATTCCACTTTCCCATGCAGAACCCGGCAGCGGTGGAGGATGCAGAAGATACCAGGGAGGGAGACCGGGAAGGGGCCCCCCACTGGGCCTGGGCACTGTGCCATGGGGCGGGGGAGCTGTCTCAGCCCCCTGGAGATTGGGCTTGGGGTCTTGGGGGGCTGTAGGATTTCCCGAGGCTCTTGTGGTTCTAGAATTTCCAGTGATGTCTGAGTCTGGCTGTGGCTCAAAGATTTACAGGGTCAAGGATTTTGGGGGGTGTCAGGGATGTGATGTTCCAGAGACTCGAGGACAAGGCCATCTGGCCTTGGGGTCTCAGCCCCCATGTTCCCCCAGCCTTCCAGGCTCCGGCCACACCCAGATGGGTGAGGAAGGGAGGCCCAGGGCCTGGCGAGGCTCATGTGTGAACTGGGGCAACGTGCTCCCTCGTCTGAGTCTCAGTTTCCCCATGTGTATAAGGACAGGACTGGCCATTGCCCCCCCCCCGAAGTCACTGCCAGCTCTCAGGTTTGGCTGAGAGGGGTGTGGGGTGGAGTGACATCTGAGACTGGGAGGGGGAGGTGACACTTAGTTCCATGGGGTATGGGTCCACCTCCCAGCGAACAAAACTGGAACCTGAGGCCAGAGAGAGCCATGCCCAAGGTCACACAGGGACATCGAGGTGGGGCTGAAGCCGGGGCCCTGGGCTCTGGCCTCACCCCGCCCCCATACCAGCCTTGCCCAGTCTGCCCTGCTCTCCCGTGGTCAGCTCAGCCTCATGTCTCCTCCTAACCCCCCGGTCCAGCCCCACTGCCCGCTGTACTCCTCGGCCCCACCAGAAGCCCACACCCCTGAGTGGGCGCTGCTCTCTCACGGCTCCAGGCCTTGTACAAGCTGCTCCCTCCGCCTTGATCCCGTGGCCAACTCTTATTCATCCTGAAGAGGCCCAGCACGGGTGTCCCCTTCTCAGTGCAGCCATCCTAGCTCCTGAAAGAGCCCCCCTGCCCGTTGCACCTCCTCTCTGAGCCCCACTGGCTGGGGACGGCTGTGTCCCGCTCTGGAGGCTCCCGGACAGTCAGGCCTGAGTCCTCTTGGGGCCCCCAGCTTTGCTGACCGGGACACGAGGCCTCCTGCAGCAGACCCAGCATGAAATAGTGTGGTCCCCGGGCCCTGGGCTGCCCCTCCTGTCCTTCGTCGCACCAGCCCTCACAAAGGCTGCAGCCACCTCCCCATTTTATAGAGGAGCAAACTGAGGGTCTCACAGGGAACAATTTGCCCTGGCCCCCGCCCCAAGATAGGACAGAGGCAGGCCCCAAACCCGCGTCCCCTGGCCCCAGCACCTCTTTCTCCATCCTGCACGCACGAGTGCACCTGTCGGCAACAGGAAAGTCTGAGCCACAGCTGCAGGTGTGGGCTCTGGGTGTTAAACCCTCAAGTGGCCTCGGGGGACCCATCGAGAATCTGAGACAGCTGGGGACCCGTACTCTTGGGACCCCAGGCCCTTCCCTCCTCTGACTTCCCCCTGTGAGGGTGAATTAGGGGTGCGAGGAGGGACAGAGACACAGGGTGACAGAGATTGAGAGGCCGAGGGACAGAGGAACGTGGAGAGGATGCAGAATCAAGGCAGATGCCCAAGAAGGAGCTGACGCTCTGCCAGGGAGACAGGGAGAAATAGGGAGAAATGCAGAGTCCCGGGAGCTCCCACTGTGCTGCCCATCCCCCACACTCGTCCCCACCCCACCCCCCCGCCCCCTATGCCAGCCAGGACCCTGGAAGGTCCAGCCTGCATCCCGAGTGCTATCCCGCCCTGACCCATCCGCACAAGGCCGGACAGATCCGTGGGGAGGGGCTTCCTGCCGCTCCCCGGGAGCTTCCCTCCCCCCTCCCCTAAGATTCTGATGTAACACCCAGAACTGGATATTTTACTCTCAAATTCTGCGGATCCAGCCGCGGGAGATTCTAAGAGGCCATTCCACCTCAGAATGGGGTGGGGGACACGGGGTCGTGGTCCTCGGGGCGCCCCCTTCCCGTGGTGGGGGTCACCCCCCTGCACACGCAGCCCCTGGACCCGCGCGGAGGCCCCGACGCCCCACAGCCGCCGCCGGTCCCCGCCCCGGGCCGCCATTGGCTGTTGCCATGGCACCAGCCCGTCTTCCCGCGCCGCCATTGGCCGCTGCGTCTGCATCCCGCATCCCCGCATCCTCCCCCGCTCGCGGTGGTCTCGCCCAGCGCCTGGAGCCGCGGCGCCGCCTGGCCAGGCCCGGACTGGGCTTTGTCCGCCCCAGAGCCCCCCGCCCGTGCCCGTGACACACCGGAGCCCCGGAGCCCAAGCCCCGCAGCCGCCCCGGCCCAGGAGGGCCGGGATCTGGGCGGGGCCCGCGGAGCTGCGCCGAGGGAGGAGGACCCAGGCCCACGGCGCCCCCGCCAGCCCAGCCCGAGGGAGATAAAGTAAGCGGGCGCGCTTCCCTGGGGGGAGGGCAGGGGGCGCGGCCGCTGCCTCTGCCGGGGGTCTCCATCCCAACACACTCTGGAGCCTCTGTTTCTCCCGGGTGGAGCCCCAGGGGGAAACTGAGTCCCAGGGAGGTGGACGTCTGCGGCGCTGCAGCCATCCCCCGCACACACCCACTTACAGGCTTCAACACCCGGAGCCCCCAGGGTCTGCGGGCAGGCCTGCTGTGTGTCTTGGAGGCTGGTGCTGTGCCTCTCTGGGTGTCCATTGGATTAGAGGAAAGGGAAAGGCCCCCATGGGCCACGCCTGTGCCTGCCTCCCCTGAAATGCGTCCACTCACTACTCAATCAGTCGAACCCCCAGCTATTGGTGCTTTCCTGTCGGTGATGGCGAGCTCTCAGGGAGGCCCCTGATGCAGCCTGGGGTGAGGGGCAGGCAGGAGGGCTTCCCGGAGGAAGCTGCACCACCGGAGGGATGGCAGGTGTCAGGAAAGGTGCTCCTGGCAGAACTGCGTGTCAAAGGGCTGGAGGAGGAGTTGCCGGGAGGCGGGGAGGCAGGGGGTGTGTGGAGGATTGCGTCTTACGCTGAGGGCGCTGGGGAGCCACAGGCAGTATCGGAGCAGGCGAGAGATGGACTCCGACCAGTGACTTTCAAAGTGGCAGGAGTGTGGGGAGCTGGGGGAGGGAGGGTTCAGCTGGGCAGAGCTTGAGGGGCTGGTGGGAGTGTGGAGTTGGGGACCCAGGCGGGGATGAGGGGACACCTGGTGGGGCGCCTGCTGCCAAGCTCAGTCTGATGGGGATGCAGGAGTGACCACTGGATGTGGGGGGGTGAAGGTGTCCCCGGCTTGGCCTGGGCCATTGCATAAGAGCCCGTGAGGGTGGCCTGCGGGGAGGGGCTTGGGCAGCCCGGGGCAGGGCTCTGGGGTCTGGGTTCAGGGAGTAGGAGGGATACCCAGGTAGCTGGCGCTTCTCCTCGTGCCTCCCCTGGTTGGGCACAGTATGGTGGCCTCAGCCAGGACACAGGGCTCCAGCCAGACCCCAGGGATCTGGTCACAATCCCGGGCCTGATCCCCAGCTGTGACCCCCAACTAAGCCTTGGGCGGGATCCGTATGGGGTGGGAGGTTCAGGCTGTGGTCCCCAGGCGGCCAGCCTGCCCCCCTCAACACGCTGTCTCCCATTCTGCCGTCGTGTCTGCCTTGGAACCTGTGGTTTGCACCGTGACCACAGTCCCACCGGGCCCTCACGTCAGCCCATGACACTGGGCTGGCAGACCGAGTTCTCCCCATTCCTCAGACGCACCAGCCGACGCCTGCAGAGGGGGTGGGTCCACGCGCCTCCAGTGCACCCTGGATTTCAGAGCACTTCCTGGGGGCAGTGTCTGGGTTCCAAGCACGCCTCATCTGCCCCCTGGCCTCAATTTCTCCCTCTGGGAACAGCCTAATGGTGGCCCCTGCGACTCAGAAATGTGACAAGGAGGTCAGATGACAGGGCCAGGCATGCAGTATGTCCTCCGAGTGGGTTAGGGTGGCCTGACCCCATCCCCCACCTGGGGCCAAGCCCCTCACCCCTACTCCAGACCCAACTGTGCCCGAGGGTTGTTGGGGGGGGGGGGCTTCTGCGGGTAGGAGAGACAGGAGAATAAATAAGCAGATGAATGAATGAGTGTGGCCAGGTGGGGAAGGGAGGGGGCAGGAGCAGGTGCCCTCCACCTGCCTCCCATGGGCATGGGGGTGCTGGCTGATTTGGGGAGGGGGCTCCTGGGGAGGAGGTGGCGGAGGGGATGGGCTGCCATTGGTGCGCCTCAGACAAAGGCGGAGGGAGGGGGTGAGCGCTGATGGGAAGGGAACAAAGAGGGAAGGGGGGCCGGGGGGGGGCTAGACGGCTCTGGCGGGAGAGCCAAGCCGAAGGAGGAGGCGCTGGCCAGCTGGACAGAGGGAGGAGGCTGGCCTGATCGAGAAAGGACAGGCAGACACACAAAGAAGCAGACGGCGGTGGCCGAGCCCGGGGGATGGTGCATGGGGTGCCGGGGGCCGCAGGGGTTTGCAGAGGGCTGACGGCAGGGGCGCCAGGCCACACAGGTAGCTACTCCGGTCCAGCTGCTGACGGAGGGGATGTGGGGGCTGCAGGGCGTCGGGGTTCCCGACCCCTAGGGTGACAGTGGTGAGCTTGGGTCCATCTGTCCCACTGTCCAGCTGCGGGCGGCTCCGCCATCAGCCTGTCCATTGCTTCCTTGGAGCCTTCATGGCATTCTTATTGTCCGTCGGCCGGGCCAGCTGGCGGCCTGTCCACCCTGCCTCCGGGCAGCTGCGCTTCTGCAGGGGAGGGCCTTGGCTGTCCATCCGTCCGTCTGTCTGCCTGTCTCTCTCTCTCTGGCTGTGAGTGTGTCTGTGAGCCTGGTGGCATTGGGCTGGCCAGTTCATGTGCTGATTTAGACCGTCAGGGGTTTGTCTGTCTGTCTGTTTGACTGTATGGCAGCCTGTCAGCACGCGTGTCTGGGAGCCTGGCGGTGAGGGCAGATGTCTGTCTGTGTCTGTCTGTTGGTCACTTGGGCATTTGGGCCATCTGTGTGTCTGAACACCCATCGGACGGCTCTGCCCCTCTGTCTCCCGTCCTCTGTCTCCCGTCGTCCCTACCTATGCCTGTCACTCCATCTGCCACGCCGTCTGTCCCCCGGATTCCCTGAGCCAGCACTGTTCTGCCTGCAGCGGTCCACACCAGCCACTCCTGCCTGTGATCACCCCCAGGGTTGGGTGTGAGGGCTGGGGCTTAGGTCAGGGGCTACCCCCTCCCCAGACCCTCAGGTGAACCCTCTGACCCTGTGGCCCCAGACGCTGCAGGAGCTGAAGATGACGAGCTCCGTGGCGCCCTACGAGCAGCTGGTGCGGCAGGTGGAGGCCTTGAAGGCCGAGAACAGTCACCTGAGGCAGGAGCTGCGGGACAACTCGAGCCACCTGTCCAAGCTGGAGACGGAGACGTCTGGCATGAAGGTGGGGGTGGGGGCTGGGGCGGAGGACATGGGCTGAGGTCACAGGGACAAACACCAAGGCACTGGACCCAGAGATGGGCAGGCAGGGCCTGGGGCATCCGGTGGGTGGAGTGGCCCCCCAGGCAGCCCAGGGTGGCGGCCGATGCGCCGGCTCTCTCTCCCGCCTTCACCTGCAGGAGGTCCTGAAGCGTTTGCAGGGCAAGCTGGAGCAGGAGGCCCGAGTGCTGGTGTCCTCGGGCCAGACAGAGGTGCTGGAGCAGCTGAAAGGTGAGGGGCCGGCCTGGGGGCCCCCTCTGCACACTGGGGCAACCGCTGGCCCCCCTCCAACCCCCAAAGGGAGCTGGGAGGAGGAGGGCCAGGGTGGGGTGCTGACCTCGCCCTCTCCCTCCCCGCCCACCCAGCCCTGCAGATGGACATCACTAGCCTGTACAACCTCAAGTTCCAGCCCCCAGCCCTGGGCCCCGAGCCCGCTGCCCAGACCCCCGAGGGAAGCCCAGTACACGGCTCCGGGCCCTCTAAGGACAGCTTTGGGGAGCTGAGCCGGGCCACCATCCGGCTGCTGGAGGAACTGGACCGAGAACGGTGAGACCGCGGGAACCTGACCACCCCGGGGCGGCTGTCACGTAGCTCCGCCCCCGCCAGACTCCGCCTCTGATTGGCCCACTGGCATATGCTCCGCCCACTGAGCCAGCCCCACCCACACCTCGTGAGCCACGCCCTGCCCGCGCGGCTCCCAGTGGCTCCTTGGCCTGGTTTCCTGGCCCTGCTGACCTCAGCTGGAGGACAAAGACGAGCGGGGCATTCCCAGGACAGTGGAAGGCTCCTGGGAGACGTCCCCAGGGGTCCCCGACACTCAGGCGTCACCAGGGACAGGGCTGTGTCCAGTGCCAGGGCTCACAGCCAGGCCTGGAGCCGGAGGGGCTCAAGGCGGCCTTTGTGGAGAGAGGGCTGCAGCCCAAGAAATCTGGGCCCGGGGCCAGCAGAAGGAGGCAGGGTCCGGGCCCCCAGCTCAGCTCGGCCTGGTTGTGTGGGGGTCAGATGGGGCAGTTCCAGAGTGGCCTGGAGTTAAGTTCATGCTCTGCTGTGTGACCTCAAGCAAGTCCCCTGACCCCTCCCAGCCTCAACCTTCTGTTCTGTAAGATGGGAATAGCAGTGCCTCCCCACAGAGTTGTTCAGAAGGGACAGTCTGTTGCACCTGGAGCAATCTGAGCCTGAAGCTTGCATTTGCGTAGGGTAGAGGGAGAGTATTAGCAAGTGTGGGAGAGGTGTTGGTCCGAACATTTCCGCCCCCCCCCAGAATCTTTCTCCAAGGACCAGAATTTACAAAGGCATTATCTTTTCTCCTTTTAATTAATTTTCTGCACCCCACCCGATTTATCCTGGCCCCACCCCCACCCCAGTGCCGCCGGGAGCGCCGTGGGTGAGACTTTGCCACACTGTCTATTAAACTTGCCACACCGTAAGCGCCCAACAAGTGATTACAAAAATAAAAGTTAACACCGCACATTGATGGTGCCCCTCTGGGAGCCCGCCCCCACCGACCTGCGCCCCCCACCCCCAGGTGCTTCCTGTTGAATGAGATTGAGAAGGAGGAGAAGGAGAAGCTCTGGTATTACTCGCAGCTGCAGGGCCTGTCCAAGCGCCTGGACGAGCTCCCGCACGTGGAGACGGTGAGCGCACGGGGGAGCCGGGGGCGGTCGGCCGTGCCCGGGAGCGGCGGGGAGGCCCCAAGCCGGGCGCCCCCTCACCGCGGCCCGCCCGCCTCTCCCAGCAGTTCTCGATGCAGATGGACCTGATCCGGCAGCAGCTGGAGTTCGAGGCCCAGCACATCCGCTCGCTGATGGAGGAGCGCTTCGGCACCTCGGACGAGATGGTGCAGCGGGCGCAGGTGCGGCGGGGCGGGGCCGGCGCGGGGGCGGGGCCGTGGGGCTGGGGGGCGAATCAGAGCGCAGAGACTGCTGTGGGCGGGGTCTCGGGTAATGGGTGGAGTTATTTGCCTGTGGGCGAATCAGAGTGCAGAGACTGCTGTGGGCGGGGTCTGGGGTAATGGGTGGAGTTATTTGCCTGTGGGCGAATCAGAGTGCAGAGACTGCTGTGGGCGGGGTCTGGGGTAATGGGTGGAGTTATCTTCCTGTGGGCGAATCAGAGCACAGACTGCTGTGGGCGGAGTCTGGGGCAATGGGTGGAGTTATTTATCTGAGGGCGAATCAGAGCACAGAGACTGCTGTGGGCGGGGTCTGGCTCAAGAGGCGGAGTCAGAGCGAGAGCCGTTTGTGGGTGGAGCCAGAGGAGGCGAAGGGCAGAGCTAGGGGGACAGTGGGCGGGGCCGAGTCTGAACCAGCCCTGGGCGTTGACTCAGGGCGGTGGGCGGAGCAAGACAAGGAGTGGGCGGGTCTGGAAGGATGGGGCGGGGCCAAGTAAAGAAGTAGGTGGGGCCTAGTGGGGGCGGGGCAAAGTCAGGGAGTAGATGGACCTAGAAGGGTGGGGCGGGGTCCTGAAAGTGGGTGGGGCCATATAAAGGATGGGCGGAGTCAGAGCCAGGGGCGGGGTCAGCCCTCGCATGCGCGTTGCTCCCTTGCAGATCCGTGCTTCGCGCCTGGAGCAGATCGACAAGGAATTGCTGTCTGCGCAGGACCGGGTGCAGCAGACGGAGCCCCAGGTACCAGAAGGGGCGGGGCCAGGGCCCTAGGGGGTGTGGCGTCCCCAGGCAGGGGGGACCCCCAGAGCCCTACCCAGGGTGCAGGCAGCCGTCTGCAGCCCCCACCACATGGTCAGGGGAGTGTGGCTGGTATCAGCAGCCTGGGCACTTGGTGGGGTGTTCTCAGGCAGAACCCCCAAGTATGGCATTCTCCCCACAGGCCCTGCTGGCGGTGAAGTCGATGCCACTGGACGAGGACACGGAGACTGAGGTCCCCACGCACCCTGAGGATGGTGCCCCTCAGCCGGGCAACAGCAAGGTGAGAGGGAGTCCAGGTGGGGGGCGCTGAGCGGCAGGGGTGGGAGCGGCCAGCTGGGTTGGGATGTGCAGTGAGGTGGGCCCTGCACCCCTGCCGCTTGTGGAGCCCCCTCCCTCCCCATGCCTCCATCCAGCGTCCCCAGGTGTGGGAGGGCCACCTGGGGAGGGGCTCCTGGGGAGGCTTATGGGGCCAGCACGCGGTCTGGGGCCTGGCGAGGTGGTTGGGGACACGGGTCTGTATGTCTGGGAGGCAGTCTAGACTGAGACGAGGGCCCGCCCCTAGGATGAAGCCAGTGGGGTGGGCATTTGGCCTTGATGGGCTGGGGGCATCTCCGCAGTGACCGATCCCCCCAACCGTCTCCTCCGATGTGTGTGGTTGCCCCTGAGGGGATGCATGGTGAGGGCAGTGGGGGTGAGAAGGTAATTCTCCTGGGCTGGGGGCACAGGACTCCCACAGCGTTTAGGGGGATCACCAGGGGTGTGGGTGCCCCTGGCTGGGGAGGGTAGGAGGGCTGGTTGGGGCCCCGTGAGCCCGGTGGGGTTCCGCACCCTGACTCCATCCCCGCCCCTCGCAGGTGGAGGTGGTCTTCTGGCTGCTATCCATGCTGGCGACGCGCGACCAGGAGGACACGGCACGCACGCTGCTCGCCATGTCCAGCTCTCCCGAGAGCTGTGTGGCCATGCGCCGCTCGGGCTGCCTGCCGCTGCTGCTGCAGATCCTGCACGGCACCGAGGCCGGGCCTGGGGGTCGTAACGGGAACCCCGGGGCACCGGGAGCCAAGGACGCGCGCATGCGCGCCAACGCGGCGCTGCACAACATCGTCTTCTCGCAGCCTGACCAGGGCCTGGCGCGCAAGGAGATGCGCGTCCTGCACGTGCTGGAGCAGATCCGCGCCTACTGCGAGACCTGCTGGGACTGGCTGCAGGCCCGGGACGGCGGGCCCGAGGGGGGCGGCGCCGGCGGCGGTGAGTGCGCGGCCTCGCCAGCCACCTCCGTGCAATGGGCACACAGCCTGGGCTTCCCGGGAGAGAGGGCGACATTGGCATCAGTAACAGCGGCCACCGGCCTTTGCTGTGCACCTTGTCTGTGCCACGTGCCGGCTGAGGCCTTATGGGGACCTTGTCCGGACAGATGGGCAGAGAGATAGCCATGGGCGACCCTGGTTGTGCCTGATGCAGGGCAGGTGCTCAAGAAACAGTGACTAAGCGCGTGGATGGATGTGGGTAACACAAGAAACTGGGCGCAAACTTTGAGATTCCTAGTTTTTGCAGCTGACTGCAAAGTTAACCGATGACAAAGGTACCCCCTAAAGATGCTGAGCCCCAGGCACAGCCTCGCCTCCCTTCGCACCCGGAGTGAGGCAGGCCCCCCCTAGTCATTTCAGAGAGATTGGTGCAGGAGGCCGGCTGGTCTGGAGGGCCCCCCGCGTGCCCAGCATGCGCCGTTTGCAAAGCTCTGAGGTCTTTGCAGGCCTGCAAGGTGAAGGAGGCAGGGAGGGGCAGGGACCCCCCAGGGACATTCCTGGAGTGGGAGGGCTCTGACCCCGTCCCCTTGCCCACAGCCCCCGTCCCCATCGAGCCGCAGATCTGCCAGGCCACGTGTGCCGTGATGAAGCTGTCCTTCGATGAGGAGTATCGCCGGGCCATGAACGAGCTGGGTGAGTGTCCCCCTCGTCTCCTCCGTGAGTTGCCCCCCGATTTGGCCCCGAGGCCCAGAGCAGGCTTTCAGCCCAGATGGTCCTGGGGCTCCAGGGACAGGCAGGCAAACAAGCCAGCTTAATCCACGGAATGGGACCTATTGGGTGGTTTGGGGGAGGGGTGACCTTGCACAGTTCCAGCTTTGGGAGCCTGACGACATCTCTTTTTCCATATAAAGTCATCGGAACGTGGACCAAGGAAATACCAATGGCCAAAATCCATATCCATCTGCTCAGTTTTCCTCGAATTATTACAAACTGAGAGAGCACTTCTCACCCAACAGATGGTCAAACCCTCCAAGGTTCTGTGAGGTCCCCTGTGGTCTGGCTGCCGAGGGAGAGCGCCATTGGGGCAGCCTTTCCGGAGGGGCGTTTGGCCACACGGGCACTTACAAAAGGGCCCTTTTGAGTCTTTCCTCCCCCAGCTGGTACCCACAGAAAAACGGGGGAGGCAGCAACCAACCCAAATAAAATGCCCAATTCTGGAAACAACCTAAGTGTCCAACAGGAGGGGACTGGTTAAATGAGGGGCACATTATGCAACCACTTAAGCTCCCAAGGCGTCGCTGGGCTGCACAACGCGTGCTGAGGCTGCGGTGTAGACACAGGAGAAAAAGGACGGCTCCTGGGCCGCGCTTCCCGCCGGACGACGCGGGGCAGGAAAGGAACATTTCGGCTGTCATTGCATCCCCTCCGACCTTAAACATTCACACTATGAATTTATATCACTTTCATGTTATAAAACAGCGGTTCCCAAAGTGCGGCCCAGGGAACCCTGGGGGTTCCAGACGCCCTTCTAAGAGGTCCACAAGGTCACGGGTGCGTTGAGCGTAACTGGAGGGCAGGCTCTGCCTTTTTCAGTCTCCTGTTTCTCCAGTGCACGTGCATTCACTGGGGCCTTCGGGACCCTGGGGTTTAAAACCACTTTCATTTCTAGGGTGGTAAATATGGAGGGCTCCGGCCCACATGAATGAGAACTCTTTGGGGTCCTCGAAAAATGCTCAGTGTACAGGGGTCCCGAGACCCAAACGCCTGCACAGCACTCGTGTCTGTGAGGACCCCCCGGCTGGGCTGTCCCTGGTTCCGTGTCAGGCCCGCGCACTCCAGCTCCCAGACCTCCCGCCCTCTTGTATGTTCTTCCTTCCCGGGGGCCCCAGGAGCCGAGTTTCCACCTTAGGAAGCTTGAAGGCCTTCGAATCTTCCGCCTAAAACTGCCAATAATGTGTTAAAAAGTTTTTAATCATGGTAAAATATATATAACATAAAATTTACCATCTTAACCATTTGAAGTGCACAGCTCACTGGCATGAAGCACGTTCACGCTGTTGTGCAACCATCCCCTCCATCCGTCCCCAGAACTTTCTCATCTTCTCAAACTGAAGCCCCGTCCCCATCAGCGTCACTCCCACCCCCTCCCCAACCCCTGGCCCCCACGAGCCCGCTCTCTGTCTGTGGATCTGCCTGTTCTGGACGTTTCACACCAATAGGATCACATACCACATGGCCTTCTGTGTCTGCTTCTCTCCCTGAGCGTCGTGTGTTCAGGTCTGTCCACGTGCAGCTGTGTCAGGGCCTCCCTCCTTTTCACGGCTGCGTAATATTCCACCGTGTGGGTGGACATGTGTGTGGATCCGTCACCCATCCGTGGACACTCAGGTTGCTTCCACCCTTCAGCTGCTGTGACCCAGGCTGCTGGGAACATGCTGTGCAGGTTTCCTTAGGAAGTTTTTGGACACGGGTTGCTAAGTCCCTTCCCCACACTGGCGTGCCCATCAGCACACGTGCTGGACCGGCCCAGCCCCGAGAAGGCCCGCATGGCCTCTGTGGTCTTTGCTAAGTGAAGAGAGAGAAGGGCTCCCCGTGTTCAGGGGGCAGGTTCTCTCCCTCCTCACGCTGGCCATTCCCCGCGTTCCTTCACTGTCTTGTAAAGTCTCCTAGCTTCCTGGGGGGGAGAACTGTGTGTGTCACAGTCATCGGCCAGGAGCCCGAGGGCACAGCCCGCCCGGCCCTGCCTGCAGCAGCTCGCGGTCTGCTGGTTTTGGGGGGCGCGGTTCTCGTTGGGCTGTCAGGGGGTCTCCTTGAGGAAGTGACTCTTGAGCTGGGAGCAGAAGGGGAGCCAGGAACCTGGGCAAAGAACAGGAAAGAACATCCCAGACAGAGGGAACGGCTCGTGCAAAGGCCCGGTAGCTGGAGGAAGCCTGAAGCGAGGCTGAGGGCTGCAAGGAGGCAGGTGGGGAGGTCAGAGGGTGTCCAGGAGACCGTGCGGGCAGGCTGCCTGGAGGAGGTATCCTCGGAGTTGGGCCTCAAAGGTGGACTTGAGGGGGCAGATGGGGGGCGGGATGCGGGGGAGGAGGCATGAGGGGAGAGGCCGGGAGGAAGGTGGGAGGGGTCTCGGGGGCGCCCGCCCGCCCCCAGCCTAGCGCTCTCCCGTGTCCCCGCAGGCGGGCTGCAGGCCGTGGCGGAGTTGCTGCAGGTCGACTACGAGATGCACGGGATGACCCGGGACCCACTCAACCTCGCCCTGCGCCGATACGCCGGCATGACCCTCACCAATCTCACCTTTGGGGACGTCGCCAACAAGGTGCCCGGGGCGGGCGGGCGGGCTTGGCGCTCCCCCGGGCAGAGCCTCGCTCCACCTCATCCCAGCTCGGAATGGCCTGAGGGCTGGGAGGCTGGGTGTCTGCTGTCCGAGCCTCAGTTTCCTCATCTGAGCAGCAGGGTGACTGTGCTCCCTCCCCTGCGGGGCAAAGATGAGGCTCCGGCTCCAGCACACAGTGGGTGCTCAGTTACTGCGGGACAGAGCCGGAAGGTGGGGGGGCCGCCCTCGTGCCCTGGCCCCGCCCACCATGGTGTGGCTCCCGTGTCACCTGCAGGCCGCACTGTGCGCGCGCCGGGGCTGCATGGAGGCCATCGTGGCCCAGCTGGCGTCCGAGAGTGAGGAGCTCCACCAGGTACGGGGCTGGGGGACCTGTGATGGCGTCTCCCCCCGAGTCTCTGCAGCCCTGCCACACGCGGGGGGTCGAGGGCAGGGGTGTGGGGCCACCTCGGGAGCCCAAGCCCCGGTCCACGTCATCTGCCCTCCGCCTGCCCAGGTGGTGTCCAGCATCCTGCGCAACCTCTCCTGGCGGGCTGACATCAACAGCAAGAAGGTGCTGAGGGAGGTCGGCAGCATGACGGCCCTGATGCAGTGTGTCCTGAGAGCCACCAAGGTGGGCCGGGGGTGGAGCGGGGGAGGGGGGAGGGGAGGGGGGAGGGGGAAGCAGCCCCAGGCCCAGGGAAGAGGGAGCCGCCCCGGCTGTTTAGTGCAAGTCACAGGGCGGGGAGACACTCATGACAGGTGGTGAGTTCTCTGTCTTGGGAGGAAATCAAGCCAAGCACGTACAGCTAAGCAGGTGGTGTGGCTTCACGCAGGCCTGGGGCTTCCACCCTGGCAACCCTAAGACCTCGTGAGGGGCAATTTCATCACTTTTTACTTTGATCAGACGATGTATCTGGTGCCTTGCCTTCTGGCCTCTGTTGGCACCTCGCCTGAGAGGGCTGGGGGGGGCCGCTGCCTGGGCCTCACCGCTGACCCCCTCCCCTCACCCGTGCCCAGGAGTCCACCCTGAAGAGCGTGCTCAGCGCCCTGTGGAACCTCTCGGCGCACAGCACGGAGAACAAGGCGGCCATCTGCCAGGTGGACGGCGCCCTGGGCTTCCTGGTGAGCACGCTGACCTACAAGTGCCAGAGCAGCTCGCTGGCCATCATGGAGAGCGGCGGCGGCATCCTGCGCAACGTGTCCAGCCTCATCGCCACCCGCGAGGACTACAGGTCGGCCCCTGGTCACGGGCGCAGAGGGCATGGGGTATGGACACTCAGGTGCGGGCTGGGGCCAGGGCCGGCCGGTCCACTCGGTGGTCCTCCTGCACGTGGATGTCCCCGATTTGTCCCCTGGGAGTAATTGTCTTAGTATAAGTGTATCCCAAATGTTGCGTGGGATGTACTTACACTAAACTTTAACTTATTAAAATGAAAATACGTGGGGGCTGGGCCAGTGGCGTAGCGGTTAAGTTCGTGCAGTCCACTTTGGCAGCCTGGGGTTTGCAGGTCTGGATCCTGAGCGAGGACCTACACAGCACTCATCAAGCCATGCTGAGGCCGGGTCCCACATAAAATGGAGGTGGATGGGAACAGATCTTAGCTCAGGGCAAATCTTCCTCACCAAAAACAATAATAATAAAAAAATAAAATAAAAAAGAAGATGATTGGCACAGATGTTAGCTCGGGGCCAATCTTCCTCACCAAAAAAATAAAATAGAGAAAGACTGACACAGATGTTAGCTCAGGGCCAATCTTCCTCACATACACACAAAATATAAATAAATAAATAAATAAAAACATTGTTTTCTAATAATAATACTTCTTCTTTATTAAAATATTTGCTAAGTAATATTAATAAAGTATACTTATTCTTTATTAAAACAACTATTTACTAGATAACATTATGTATTAGTTAATAAATAATATTTACTAAATAACGAGTAATGCTTCTGACATACGAAAATACATTACATTTATATTTATAAGTATATTGCATATATTGCATCATATATATTTGTGCTAAGGACTTTATTTATTGAAATAAATAAAACATTTATTTATTAAACAGCGCTAACAATTAACAAATACTACTTAGCATTTTTAAAAACAAAATAAAACCTGCCTTTAGTATAAGTATATCCCAAATATCACACGAGCTACACCTGTGCTAAAACGAGATCTACTCAAAGCAAGCCTTATTTCAAAAGTTAGACATGCTCAATTTATTAGTAGGATTATTTAATAAATATTTTGCTTGATTCAGTGCATAAAAATTTAGTGCAAGTCTCCCCCATTCAGTATGTGGGATATACTTATGCTGTACGTGGACTCCTCTCTTCTGAAACTGGCTTTCCCTGGGAGCCTTGGGTTGCCCTCGCTGCCCCCGGTCTTGGGGGTGGGGGCGGGGATGGGGGGGATGGGGACCGGGTGGGGGGCGGGGATGGGGGCGGGGCTCGGGGCCCGGGTGGGGGGTGCCCACGCGGGCGGCCTCGCTGACGGCGTGCCCTCAGGCAGGTGCTGCGGGACCACCACTGCCTGCAGACGCTGCTGCAGCACCTCACGTCGCACAGCCTGACCATCGTGAGCAACGCGTGCGGCACGCTCTGGAACCTGTCGGCCCGCAGCGCGCGCGACCAGGAGCTGCTGTGGGACCTGGGCGCGGTGGGCATGCTGCGCAACCTGGTGCACTCCAAGCACAAGATGATCGCCATGGGCAGCGCCGCGGCCCTGCGCAACCTGCTGGCCCACCGGCCCGCCAAGTACCAGGCGGCCGCCGCCGCCGTGTCCCCGGGCGCCTGCGCGCCCAGCCTGTACGTGCGCAAGCAGCGCGCGCTCGAGGCCGAGCTGGACGCGCGCCACCTGGCCCAGGCGCTCGACCGCCTGGAGGCGCAGGGCCCGCCAGAGGCCGAGGCCGCCGCCAAGAAGCCGCTGCCGCCGCTGCGCCACCTGGACGGGCTGGCCCGCGACTACGCCTCGGACTCCGGCTGCTTCGACGACGACGACGCGCCCTCCCTGGCCGCCGCGGCCGCCACCGCCGAGCCGGCCAGCCCCGCCGTGCTGTCCCTCTTCCTGGGCAGCCCCTTCCTGCAGGGCCAGGCGCTGGCCCGCGCCCCGCCCGCCCGCCGCGGCGCCCCGGAGGCCGAGAAGGAGGCCGGCGGTGAGGCGGCCGTGGCGGCCAGGGCCAAGGCCAAGCTGGCGCTGGCGGTGGCGCGGATCGACCGGCTGGTGGAGGACATCTCGGCCCTGCACACCTCATCCGACGACAGCTTCAGCCTCAGCTCCGGGGACCCTGGGCAGGAGGCGCCTCGGGAGGGCCGCGCCCAGTCCTGCTCGCCCTGCCGGGGGCCCGACGGCGGGCGGCGGGAGGCGGGCAGCCGGGCTCACCCGCTGCTGCGGCTCAAGGCGGCCCACGCCAGCCTCTCCAACGACAGCCTCAACAGCGGCAGCACCGGCGACGGGCCGGGTCCCCGTGAGCACACGCGGCCCTGTCAGCTGGCCGCGCTGGCCGAGTACCGCGAGGGGCCCCCGTGCACTCAGGCGCGGCCCAGCCGCCTTGACCTTGACCCGCCGGGGGCCCAGCCCGAGCCGGCAGCCCAGGACGCCGCGGCCGCCGACGCCCGCGTGCGCACCATCAAGCTGTCGCCCACCTACCAGCACGTGCCGCTGCTCGAGGGCGCGGGCAGGGCGGGCTCCGGGCCGCCAGGTGCAGGGTCCCGGAAGCAGGCCTGGCTGCCCGCAGAGGCCCTGAGCAAGGTGCCGGAGAAGCTGGGGGCGGAGGCGGCTGCGCTCTGCCTGTCCCGCTGCAGCTCCCTGTCCTCGCTGTCCTCGGCCGGCCGCCCGGGGCCCAGCGAGGCCGGGGACCTGGACGACAGTGACTCGTCCCTGGAGGGGCTGGAGGAGGCGGGCCCCAGCGAGGCGGCGCTGGACGGGGCCTGGCGGGGGCCGGGGGCCGCCTCCCTGCCCATGGCCATCCCGGCGCCGCGGCGGGGCCGGGGCCTGGGGGTGGAGGACGCCACGCCGTCCAGCTCCTCGGAGAACTGCGTGCAGGAGACGCCGCTGGTGCTGAGCCGCTGCAGCTCGGTGAGCTCGCTGGGCAGCTTCGAGAGCCCGTCCATTGCCAGCTCCATCCCCAGCGACCCGTGCAGCGGGCTGGGCAGCGGCACGGTCAGCCCCAGCGAGCTGCCCGACAGCCCCGGGCAGACCATGCCGCCGAGCCGCAGCAAGACGCCGCCGCCGGCGCCCGCGCCCCCGGGCGAGCGCGAGAGCACGCAGTTCAGCCTGCAGTGGGAGAGCTACGTGAAGCGGTTCCTGGACATCGCCGACTGCCGCGAGCGCTGCCGCCTGCCCTCCGAGCTGGACGCGGGCAGCGTGCGCTTCACCGTGGAGAAGCCGGACGAGAACTTCTCGTGCGCCTCCAGCCTCAGCGCGCTCGCCCTGCACGAGCACTACGTGCAGAAGGACGTGGAGCTGCGGCTGCTGCCGCCGGCCTGCCCCGAGCGGGGCGGCGGGGGTGGCGGAGGCCCCGGCCTGCACTTCGCCGGGCACCGTCGGCGGGACGAGGCCGCTGGCCGCCTCGAGGGGCCGACGGCCGCTGAGCAGGAGCTGGAGCTGCTGCGAGAGTGCCTGGGCGCGGCCGTGCCCGCCCGGCTCCGCAAGGTGGCCTCGGCGCTGGTGCCCGGCCGCCGCGCGCTGCCGGTGCCCGTCTACATGCTGGTGCCCGCCCCGGCCCGCGAGGACGACTCGTGCACTGACTCGGCCGAGGGCACGCAGGCCAACTTCTCCAGCACCGCCTCGCTCAGCGACGAGACGCTGCAGGGGCCCCCCAGGGACGCGCCCGGCGGGCGTGCGGACAGGCAGAAGCCCGCGGGCCGTGCGGTCCCTGCCAGGCAGGTGGTCGGGCACCGGCACAGGGCGGGGGGCGCAGGCCGGAGCTGGGAGCAGGCCCGGGGCGCGAGCAGGAGCCGGACTGGGCTGGAGCTGCCCCTCCGCCGGCCCCCGAGCGCCCACACAGACGGGGATGGCTCCCACGCGGGCCGGGCGCGTGGGGACGGCGCCCTGCAGTCGCTGTGTCTCACGACGCCCACCGAGGAGGCCGTCTACTGCTTCTACGGCGACGACTCGGACGAGGAGCCGTCCAGGGCGGCGGCCACCCCGCGGCGGCCGTCCGCCATCCCCCGGGCGGTGAAGAGGGAGCGTCCAGCGGGCAGGAAGGAGGCGCAGGCCGTGCCCAAGCCTGTGCCCAAGCCTGCGCCGCCCGCCCGGGCCCAGCCCAGCCTCATCGCCGACGAGACGCCGCCGCGCTGCTCCCTGAGTTCGTCCGCGAGCTCCCTGGGCGAGCCCGAGCCCCCAGCGCCAGCAGCGAGCCGGCCCCGAGCCCGCGAGGTGGCCGTCACCAAGGACCCCGGCCCGGGCGGCGGGCTCGCCGGCTCCCCCAGCCCGAGGGCCCAGGCGGAGCTGCTGCGGCGCGGCATCGGCTCAGCCCTGCCCAGGCGCCGACCCCAGGCACCAGCCCCGCGGCGACGCAAGCCCCAAGCCGCCCAGCCGGACGAGCGGCCGGCAGACGGGGCCCAGGAGCGCGGCGAGGAGGCAGCGGGCTCAGATCACGCCTCAGACCTGGACAGCGTCGAGTGGCGCGCCATCCAGGAGGGCGCCAACTCCATCGTCACGTGGCTGCACCAGGCGGCAGCGGCAGCGGCCACCAGCGAGGCCTCGTCTGAGTCTGACTCCATCCTGTCCTTCATGTCGGGGCTCTCAGTGGGCTCCACCCTGCAGCCCTCCCCGCACAGGAAGGGGCCCCGGCCACGGGCGGAAGGCCAGGCCGGCAGTGGGGTGCGGCCAGAGAAACGGGATGCGGCCCTGGCCCAGCGCGGCAGCGGGCCCCGCTCATCCTGCGGCCCGGAGAAGCCACGAGGCGCTCAGAAGACTGTGCCTGGGGTGCCGGCTGTGCTCCGGGGCCGGACGGTGATCTACGTGCCCAGCCCAGCCCCCCGGGCCCCCCCAAAGGCCGCCCCCAGCCCCCGTGCTGCACCCAGGAAGATGGGACCCCCCAGCCCCGCGCAGCCGGCAGCCCCCACCAAAGCCCCCGGGCTGGGGCAGCCGCGGTCTCGGAGCCTGCACCGGCCGGGCAAGATCTCGGAATTGGTGGCGCTGAGCCCGCCGCAGAGGAGCGCCACACCACCCGCACGCCTCGCCAAGACCCCCTCGTCCAGCTCCTCCCAGACCTCCCCTGCCTCCCAGCCCCTGCCCAGGAGGTCACCCCCCGCCACCCAGGCTACGGGGCCCCTGCCCGGCCCCGGGTCCTCAGCACTGCCCAAGACGCCGGCGCGGGCCCTGCTGGCCAAGCAGCACAAGACGCAGAAGTCGCCCGTGCGCATCCCATTCATGCAGAGGCCCGCCCGGCGGGGGCCGCCGCCCCTGGCCAGGGCAGCGCTGGAGCCGGGCCCCAGGGGCCGGGCAGGGGCCGAAGGGGGGCCGGGCGCCCGAGGGGGCCGCCTGGGCCTGGTGCGCGTGGCCTCGGCCCGCTCCAGCGGCAGCGAGTCCTCCGACCGCTCGGGCTTCCGGCGGCAGCTGACGTTCATCAAGGAGTCGCCGGGCCTGCCGCGCCGCCGCCGCGCAGAACCAGCCACCTCCGCCTCCACCTCCGCCACCATCCCCGCCTCCCAGGGCGGCTCGCCCCGCCGCGGCCGGCCCGCGCTGCCCGCCGTCTTCCTCTGCTCCTCGCGCTGCGACGAGCTGCGGGCAGCCCCGAGGCAGGCCCCGGGCCCCCATCGGCTCCCTGCAGCCCGGCCCGGCCCCGGAGAGCGACCGCCGCGGCGCACCAGCTCCGAGAGCCCGTCGCGCCTGCCCGTGCGCACGCCGGCCACCCGGCCCGAGACAGTCAAGCGCTACGCCTCGCTGCCACACATCAGCGTGGCCCGCAGGCCCGACGGCGCGGCCCCCGCACCCACGGCCGACGCCACCCGCCGCAGCAGCGACGGCGAGGCCCGGCCACTGCCCAGGGTGGCCGCACCAGGCACCACATGGCGTCGCATCCGGGACGAGGACGTCCCGCACATCCTGCGGAGCACGCTGCCCGCCACTGCCCTGCCGCTGAGGGGCGCCTCACCCGAGGAGGGTCCGGGCGGCCCCCCACAGCGCAAGACCAGCGACGCCGTGGTCCAGACGGAGGACTTCGTGGCCACCAAGACCAACTCCAGCACGTCCCCGAGCCTGGAGAGCAGGGAGCCCCCCCAGGTTCCGGCCAGCGGCCCCATCTCCCTGCTCGGCAGCGACGTGGACGGGCCCACCCCTGCCAAGGCGCCCGCCGCCGCCACCTTCGTCCACGAGGGCCTGGTGGTGGCCGCAGGGGGCTTCCCCGCCAGCCGGCACGGCTCCCCCAGCCGCTCGGCCCGCGTGCCGCCCTTCAACTACGTGCCCAGCCCCATGGTGGTGGCCCCCACTGACTCGGCCGTGGAGAAGGCACCGGCCGCCGACCCCGCCAGCCTCCTGGAATAGTGGCCTGGTCGGCCTTCCAGAACATCCTCTTTGGCCCTGCGGCCATCGGGCGGCCCCGAGGGTGGTCCCAGCGCCCACCCGAGCACCCTCCCCAGCTCGCATGGGCCTCCCATCTCACCCGCAGATGCTTGCTTCTGTGCCACGGGGGCTCCGGAGGGACAGGGGGCCGTGGGCTGGACCTCGAGTCCCAGCCAGGGAGGCCCAGGTGGGCGCCTGCCCCAGCCGGCCCCACGCAGAGACCACCCTCAGCCCCTCGGGCCCAGGCCTCAGCACGGCCTTCCCTCTGGGGAGGCAGAGGGAGGTGACAGCGCCCGCCCGAGGTGGGGGCCGGGGCTGGGGAGGGTGGCACCATGGAGCGCCTGCCAGAGCCTGGAGGAAGCCGGCAATTACAGCGGCGGCCGGGTAATTTGTTAATGACCGCTTTGCGGGTCTGTCTGCCTCCTCAGCCCCAGCGGGGGAGCCGGGGGAGGGGGGCGGCTGCGCCCGGCAGAAGGACAGCCCCACCTCCAAGGGTGCATTCAGGGAGCCGGGGACAGAGAGCAGGGAGGGCAGAGCAGCCTGGCCCCTCCCGCGCCCGCAGGAAGGAACAGGGAGAGCCTGGTGTGTGGACGATGAGAGGTGGCCACCCCATGTCCCTGCTGGTGGCCCAGGAGGGACCCCTGCTGAGTGGAGTCAGAACTGGCCTGGTGGGCAGGAGGCCGAGGAGAGTCAGGGAGCCCCCGGGCGCAGAGACCGGGCCCTGGCCTCTCCCTCCGCCCGTGCAGAGGGACGGGGACTTCCCCATGGATGGTCCTTCCTGTCTGTTTCTTTCCTTGGCGACCACGGAGCACTGGGCTCTGCGGCTCCCTGCCAGGCCCATGCCGCTCGCTCCTCCCCTCTGGGACAGCACAGCTGGGGACGGGTGGAACCCGTGCCTGGGAGGAGGTTTGGGGCCTGGAGCCCCGAGAGCCAGGTCCAGAAGCAGCGGCGAGATGGACGGGGACCACGAGGCTGGGGCAGCCGCTGGGAAGACCCCCTCTCCTGCCCTCCCCCCTCCCCTCTCCCCTGCTGGTGTGTGTGTGGCCCGGGCTCCGCTGGGGGACCCGGGTGCTCGTGCTGGGTCTCGGCCGAGGGCGCCCTCCTGCAGGAAGAGCCAGCGACCTCTTTCCTGCGGATCCGGTTCCGGGAGCAGCTGCTCCGGGCGGTGGAGCTGCCATCACAGCCCCGCTGCAGACCTGCCGAGGCCGAGACCGTGGGAGGAGACCCCCGGCCAGCTCACCCCCCTCTCTGGGAGGAGGGGAGGCGGGGCTGAGTCGGGGGAAGGAGCTGAAGGAGCCCATGTCCCGCCATGTCCCCCACTGTCCCTCCCTTTGCCCCACCCGCATGGAAGGAGCTGCCCTGAGAGCAGAAGTGTGTCCCTGGTGGGACTCTCCTCACTCAGCGGACCCCGAGCGCCCACGGACAGCGTGCTGCTGCCGACACGAGTGTCCCGCTGCCTGGCACCCCCGAGCCGCCCGTCCCGCAGCATGGACGCCAGGGCGGCCAGAGCGCCACAGTGGACCCAGCGGCCGGGCAGGCACCGCAGACGGCCGCATCTCAGCCGGTCCCCGTCACTGTCGCCGTCTGTTCGGGCCGGGACCGGGTGGTCTCCTGAGCTGCTTTTCAGATTTGGGGGCTGCCGGGCACTGTCCACTGTCCCACTCGCCACGGACGAGCCGCCCCCGGAATGGCCTGGTGCGGGGAGTGGTGGCAGACCCACCACCAGCTCACCTGGCGCAGCCACGCACTGTGAGACCCTGGGTGGTGCTCCTGCCGCTCTGTGCCTCAGTTTCCCCACGTGGGCCGTGGGGAGAACTTCCAGAGCTACCTCTCGGGCGGTGGTGTGACTGTGAGAGAGGCCCCTCCCCGCCCCGGGCCCTGGGCAGAGCGCCTTCCTGGAGGGCGTCTCCATGAAGCCTCGATCCCCTGGACGCTGCTCGGCCACCAGGCCACCCGCCAAGGGCACACAGGCATGGGGGCTACATGGGGACCCGTCGGCCTCCGGAGCACTCCTGGGTCAGCCCAAGGGGGACACCTGGCACCCCCAGCCCGTGACCTCGGCCCAAGGGCGATGGACACCCCCCAGCTGGGTCCTGAACTCGGGGCGCAGCATTGCCTCCCCCACTGCCCGTCTGTCACCCAGCCGGCGCCCACAGCCTGAGCCTGGCTGTCCTGGTCTGTTCCCTCCGCCCCCCGCGTCCGTGCCCGCAGTGTTACAGGACAGTGTAAATAGCGACAGCCCCGTCGGCCGCCCCACTATGTGTAAAGCCATTGTCCGCGGGCGGCGGCTGGCGCCGGCTCACGTGCGCCTTCAATAAACTGAGCTGTCCCATTGCGCTCCCGCTCTGGCTGCAAATGGGGGGACCGGGTGGGGCCCTGAGGTGGGCTCTGCGGGGGGCTCTGCAGGGACCTCCCACCCCAGGCAGCTCGGCCCCAGGTCCCTGTGCTGACCCCAGAGCCCCGCTCCCACCAGCAGCACAGAAACCAGTGATGTAGCTTTGAGGGGACGCCTGAGGGCAGGTCCATGGGTGGGACCCTGAGCCTCAGGACGGCACTGGGGGACGGGGCCCCGCAGGGGAAGGTCAGGGCGGGAGGCCGACAGCTCGTCCTCTCTCTCGGGAGCCCAGGCTGGGGCCCCATCTGACGGATCCCACAGCCAACAGTTCGGTCCTGCCCCCCGACGTGAACCAGACAGACCCGCGCCCGTCCTGGGGGGCACGATGTCTTAGATCAGGCACTCGGGGCCCTGAGGGTGGCACCACCGGAGACCCCATCTCAGATGTGGGCCCTCCGCGCAGTCACTCCTGACACGGCCACAAGGGGAGGAGGAGGGGACAGAGCCCCATCCTCTTCTGGAACCTCGGGGGGGCCCCAGTTCACACAGAGACGGGCAGAGCCAGCGGGGTGGTCCTGCCAGCTCAGTTTAATGGGATGACGGGGAAGCAGGGTCACAGAGGACGGGAGGAGAATGGACAGACCGGCCCTCGGTGCTGGGACCCCCGAGAAGTGCAGTCTGGGCTCGACGGTGATCAGGGTCCCAGGAGGGAAGCCCTGGGGGGAGCGCATCTGCAGGGTCCCGGACCCGACCCTGGGGAGGGTCTGTGCCGCCAAGGCAGGTGCACCCGCCACACACTGAGCCGTCCCTGCTGCACCCACAGCCCCCGCGGGCTCTGTCCCTTGGCTTCTCCGGGGACCAGGGTGTGCCCAGGCCACAGAACAGAAAGCCTGGCATCCGCTTCTGGGGCTCAGGGCCCATGTCCGAGGGGCGGCCACTCAGGTGTCCTGGGGAGGGCGGCAGGTTCCGGCGAGCCGTGGGGGCTGTCCCCAGAGAGCCGGAGGCCAGGTCAGCCCAAGGAGGCGGCCGCAGCCCCCCGCAGCGCCACCTGTTTCACGTGGCCGACATCCGCCTGCAGCTCCGCGCCCGCCCGCCGCAGGCCCTCGCACTGCGCCTTCAGCCCGTCACCGGCCCGCTGCAGCCGCTGGTTCGTGGCCACGTAGGCCCGGCTCTGCTGGTAGAGCTGCTCCCGCCCGGCCTCGCCGTCCTCGGCCCTCTCGGAGGGGCCTGGGGGGTCTGGGGACAGGACACGGCCGGCTGGTCAGGGAGGGGACTCAGTTGACCCCCCAGCCGAGCACGGGACTGGAGGGGGCGCGTCCCAGAAAGCCCCGCCCGGGGGTGGGCTCCCGACCTTTGGCCCCGCGATGGGAGCCCCGAGCAGGCCAGCTCTCACCCTGCTCTCGAGCCCAGAGATGCACCGTCCCGCCTCCCGAAAACCTGCCTGTGCCCGTGCCACCTCGTGAAACCCACACCTGGGGAGTCGGGGGCGGCAGAGGCGAGGAAGGTGTGGACACGACCTCACGTCTAAAAACCGCACACCCGGGGGGGTAGCACAGCTTCGGGGCCTCCCAGAGACACGTCCAGGTCCCCTCCGCTCTGCCTGGTCCCCTGCCCCGGGCGGGGGCAGCCTGCGGTCACAAAGACCCCGAAACTCCGGCGTTCGGTTCAAAACCACTTTTTTTATTACCTGCTTTAGTTAGAAGACAGGAAATGCCAGACAGCCCTCGTGGAGGCCGAGGGCGGCCCCAGAGAACAACCCGGGCCGGCAGGGGAAGCCCCCTTCTCCCGGAGAGCCCGTGCCTCAGTTTCCCCACCCTCTGAATGCAGGTGCACCTGGACCCCTGATTCTCAAGCCGGGACTCAAGCAGCCTGGCGCGACTCAGCCGCGAGTGGGGGACAAATACAGCTGCGTTCCCAGGGCAGCCCGTCCGACAGAAGTTTCCAGGGGATGGAAAAGGCCTCCGGCTGAGCCGTCCAACACGGCTCCTGAGCACCGGGACGCGGCCAGACGGAGCAAAGGACTCAATGTTTTACTATTAAGTAAAAAAAAAGTTCCCACCGAGTCTGTCCTCTCCTGTCACCCCATGTGACATGTTAACGGCCCTTCCTGCGGGACCGGCCGGAGGGCCAGCATCCCAGCATCCCCTCCTCTGTTGCCTCCCTTTTCCCCTTCAGCGCTTAGAACAGGATCTGGGCATCACAGGTGCCCGGTGAAGGTTTGCAGAGTGACTAAATGAACCGCACTGCTTGCCAAACCCCTTAGTCACGGACCTGCTCCCATCTTCCGAATCAGGAATCCATAAACATTTTTTTTTTTTTTTGCAAAATGATGCATTTTTGGCTCTGCGGGGCCAGGCTGCCCGACGACTCGGCTCTGCTTTTGTACCAGGAGAGCAGCCCGAGTGCGATGCACCTTCAGGGACCCCGAAACCGGGATTTCACATAATTTTCATTTGTCCCGAAATCGTCTCCCCCCAGAACGAAAAAACGTAAAATCCGTTCCAAGCTCCCCGGCCTTCCGAGAACAGGCGGGGGGCGGGGGGCGGGACTCGGCGGCGACCCCCGTTCCCGATGTCGCTCTGAAGATGCCCCCGCCTGACCGCGGAGAGGGGCGCAGAGGACCCGGATGGCGCCGGGGTCTCTGCTCCGATCCCGGCTGGACCTGGGGTGCGTTTCCCCCGCCCTGGCTGCCGGGGTCCCGGGGCCGCCCCTCCCCTGCCCGTCCGGGGCTCCCCTACCTTCCAGGGCCAGGGCGGTGAAGACGGGGTCCGCGGCGGGCGCCCCCCGTACGTCCTCCAGGATCTGCTCCACCGTGGGGGGCGCCGGACGGGTGGGCAGCACCACGCGTTTCTTGGCCTTGGAGCCCATGCCTGGAGGCGGGAGAAGAGGGCGCTGACCCGGGCGCCCACCGCTCCGCCCTTTCCCTGGGCCGTTCCTCCCGCCCAGCGAACTCCTACACACCCGGCGGAGCCCCGCCCCCGCAGAGGCCCGCCCCGCCCCGCCGCTCCGGGCTCGCCCCGCCTCTAACCCTCCCGGCGCCTCACAAGCCGGGACCAAGGGCCTTCAGAGCCCCGCTCGACCTGGGCCTCAGTCTCCCCGCAGGGCATCCGCCGCCGCTGCCGCAGGTCGCGCGCCCCCAGGCGCCGGGACAGCCACTTCCGCTTCCGGTAGGAGCGCGGCCCCGCCCCCAGGAGCGTGACGCACACTTCCGGCTGCCTCCTGCACCCGCCCACCGCTTAAAGGGGCCGCGCCCGCGAGGGTCCCGGAGCGATCCGACAGGAGGAGCGGCTGGAACCGAAGGCGCTCCGGGCCCGGACGCGCACGGGGTGGCGTGGGGTCCACTCCCGGCCCCCTTCGCTGCGTAACAAAGTATCTGAGGGCCTGCTTTTCTGCAAAAGGGGGACACAGCCCGCAACCCACGTGGCTGTCGTGGGAAGAAAGTTACTGTCCACGCGGGGTGGCCCGGTGCACGGTGGGCGCTCAGGGAGGGCCAGCTGCGCCAACGACCAGCGAGGTGGCAGGACGCACGTCAGCGTCTCGCCTGCCAGATCGCGGTCAAGGTCGCCTCTCCGTCTCTACACCCCTTCCCCACCCAAGGTGGGACACCGGGCGGGCGGCCTCTGGACCCGTCATCTTGCCTCTCCGCTCAAGGATGGGGAGACAGGCTCAGCGCAGAGGGCGGGTTTTGTGTTTTTAACATCTTTACCGAATGTGATTTATAAACCATAAAGTTCACCTGTTCGAAGTGTACGACTTAATAGTTTGGGGTTATATATATGTATTTTCAGAGTTGGGCAACTATCAGCACAGTCTAATTCTAGAACATTCTCATCATCCCAAAAGTAACCCCGTCCCCCATTAGCAGTGACTCCCCGCCCCATCCCCTGACACCCACGCTCTCTGTCTGTGGATCTGCCTGTTCTGGACGTTTCATGTTAATGGGATCACACACCGTGCGTGATTCTCGAAAGCATTTAGTGGAGCAGGTTTGGTGCTGGTGCACAGGTGAGGCCCCCGCGGCTCCGAGAGCGAGCCTGGCCCTGGACACGCAGCCTGACCCTGCCAGGGCCGGGCTTGACCTCAGGCCTAAGCCCAGAGCCAGGGGCCGAGCTGGGTCCCCACCCCACTGGTGTGTGTGAGGACAGAGAATGGACTCAGTAGTTGTCTCTGCGGCCCGGCGCCCACTTTCCCACCTCCCCCACCCCCACCCCTGAGGATCCCCTTTTCCTCCGGAGAGGTGGAGAGCCCAGTGTACGGACGGGGAAGTCCAGGCTGGGGGGTGAGGGCAACATGCCTCCAGCCCACGATTCCCTCCGTCCCCCCAGGACCCTCGGAGGACAGAGAAGTACAATTATCGGAAACTTGCAGGCCTGCTGATGGGTGGAACAGCCCTGCAATTTGTCGTTTGCAACTCACACTTCTGTTCGTCCCCGTATTGGAGAGAAACTCGGCCGACGGGCTGGAGGAGGGCGCCCAGGGCGACCTCGGGATGAGGTGGGGCAGCAGGCCGTGTTCTGGTGTCACTTGGGGACCTCGCACCCCAGTGCCGCCCCCCTTTGTGGGCTCTGGGTCCTTGGTAGGGCTGATGCCCGGGAAAGGCAGTTTCCGAGTGGGATACAGGGAAACCTCCCCACCGAGTGGTGGGGACGGCGGCCCACGCGTGCCTCAAAACAGACAGCAGCCTTGGCACCTCCTATTTAACCTTTATTTGCAAACTCTGAGGTGAGACACAGTGCCGAGGCCCTGGATGGTCTCCTTTGTTCTCCCCTCACCTTCCCGGGGGTTCTGGAGCCGGGAAAGGGTGGTGGTCATGGCTGGCCTCTGCCCCATCCCACCCGCTCCCCACCCCAAACTATGTATCTAGACTTTTCTCTGTCTCTTTCACCTGGACCTGCCAAGGCCGGGTTGCAGGGTTCCACACGGCCCAGCCAGGGGCTGCTGGGGGTAGGTCCTGGCCCCTGGGGGGCCGGTCTGGACGCGGGAGCGCAGCAGTGGTGCCCACAGGGCCCTAGACCGAGGGGCACATGGGCTCTGCCAGTGCCACGTCTCAGCGTTGCAGCCAGCAGCTGGGCCTGGGGTGGTGAGGGGGGCTTCCCCGGCGCGGGGGGCTCACACAGGGCGGGGGGCAGTCTGCGGGGAGGACGCCGCGGAGGAGGGGCCTCCAGCAGGCCACGGCCAGCAGGGCCAGCACCAGGGCCTGAGCCAGGCGGCGGCAGCGGTGGGGGCGATGGGGGCGTTGGGGGCGGGGGGCGGCAGGGCTCGGGGCGCGGGGGACGCGGGGGGCGCGGGGGACGGGGCCGTCGGGGGCGCGGGCCGCGAGCAGGAGCCCCGAAGCTCGTCCAGCACGGAGCGCGGGGGGCAGGCGGTGCAGTCGAGCGGGGAACCGCCGCGGCACGTGTCGCAGCTCGGGTGGCAGGCGGAGCAGACGCGCAAGGCGGGCGTGGCGGGGCGCCCGGGCCCGGCGGTCACTGCCTGCCGTGTGTGGTGGAAGTAGCGTGGAGGGCAGTCGGCGACGCAGAGGTGGCCCAGGAGGTAGGCGGGGCTGTGGCATTCTGCACGGGGACACGCACACACGCGACGATGAGCCCGTGGCCCCGGCCCCGCGCCCCATCCCCGGCCACACACGCACACTGCCCGCCCCCTCCCAGCACTCACCCTGGCACAGCCCCTCCGGGTCCCGCTGCACGCACGCGCTGCTGGTCACCTGGGGGCTGGGGGCCCGCGCCATCATGTCCTCGGTGGTCCCGTATAGCAGCAGCGTGTAGTGGTACAGCATCCCTGGGCAGGGGTCGCGGTGGGCATTGGAGGAGGGGAGAGGCTGTTGGCGGCCCGTCCTGCCACGCTGCGCCCCTCCCCCCAGCCAACCCCCGCACCCCCAGGCCCAGACTCGGATGTGCCGTGAATGCTGCACACCCACTGCGCGCTGGGAACTGGACACCTGCATCGCCTGGCAGCTAGATACCTACTACGTGCTGGTAGTCGGACACCTACTGCGTGCTGGCAGCCACACACCTACTGTGTGCTGGTAACTGGACACCTACTTCTCCAGGGTAAAAACACACCTACTGCGTGCTACCAGCTGAACACCTACTGTGTGCTGGTGCCTGGACACCTGTTTCTCCCTGGGGATTGGACACCTACTGTGCACCAGGCCTGCTCAGTGTCCCAAGGAGACCCCTCTGCAGTGGGATAACTGAGGCCGGCTGCAGAGCCCGCGGCAGAGGTTGGAGGTCGCGCCCCCCCAACCTGTGCCTGCTTCTCACCCGTGTTGAAATAGTAGCCCTTGTTTTGCAGACCCAGGATCCACAAGCCTTGTGGGTCCTCGTCCCAGAAGTGGGTGGACATGAAGATCCAGTTGTTGTAGCCTTGGCTGCTGACATCCAAGGGTCTGGGACAGACAGACGGGTGGGGGTACCAGGAGAGGGTCTTTGCAACCACAGTCGTAACAGGTCGCTGAGCTACAGTAGGTGTCTGACTGAGGTGCCAAGTGCTAGCCGAGGGACCGGCCCCCATGGGGGTCCAGCCTGTGCAGGCCACACCCGACCCCACGGTGAGCTTGGCCCCTTCCTGTGCAGGCCCACAGGGCCAGGGCCCTCCCGCACCTGATGGCCACGAGTGTGGAGCGGGTGCCCATGGGGCTGGTGAGCGAGATCTCCAGGTCCCCACGGCGGCTGTAGGACAGCGACAGCTGCACCTGCACGTGCTCCAGCGAGCGAATGTGGTTGGCGAGGCCGGCGCAGGCCGACAAGTTCTTCCCCACGCGCAGCAGCGGCAGGATGGGGCTGGGGGCAGTGTGGTGGGTGAGGGCCCCTCCTGCTGGCCTGCTGGGGGATGGGCGGCCAGCAGGCGGGGTCTGGGCTCAGATCACGAGGCCTGCCCTCTCACTTTACAGATGGGCAAACTGAGGCCTCAGGGCCCGCCTCCCAGGTGTCTGCCCCCCTGGGTGGTAATGACAGGTGTGGGAGGAGGCCTGGGGGGGGTGGCTGGGTGGGGGAGGGCCAGGAGAGGGTGGCAGGGGTGTGGGAGGGCCAGGAGACGGTGGCAGGGGTGGGGGTAGGGCTGAGGAGGTGGCAGGGTTGGGGGGAGGGCAGGGGACATGGCAGGTGTGGGGGGAAGGCTGGGGAGTTGGCGGGTGGGCACGGTGGCTGGGGCTGCTGGTGGGCATACAGATGGTGGCGAGGAGGGCGCTCACGTGGATGTGTGCACGATCTGGATGGCGCACTTCTGCTGGGGCCTTGTGGGCAGCCACGTGCGGGCCATGTCCACCAGCTGCCCGGCGTCCAGCAGCCCGTAGCCATAGTGGTGGCTCACTGTAGGGGGTGCAGCCGTCACCTTCCTGTGCGCGTGGCGTCCCCGCTCCACCCGGCCCGGCCGCACCTTGGCGCCCCACGCCATTGGTCGTCCAGTCCTCGGCCTGGAGTTGTGCTGGCCTGGATGCACGGACCACGAGGTGCTGCATGTCCCTCCAGGTCAGGAACGGGCTGGGGGCGGGCGAGGGCGTGAGCTGGGGCCACGCCGGGGGGCGAGGCGGCAGGCAGGGCCCCCACCGTCACCTACTTGGCCTCCAGAGCCAGGGCGATTATGCCCGCGGCCAGCGGCGCTGAGGCCGAGGTGCCCGTGTGCTTGTCCGTGCACTGGTGGTGCAGGTCCGTGGTGACCTGGGGGCAGAGGGGGCTCAGGGGCTCGATGCCCACGAACACCCGGCCCTCGTTCAAAAACACCCCGGACTAAGCTCAGGAAGCACCAAGGTCGCCAAGAAGACCCACAGAGTGGACGCCGGAGCAGGGGCTGGGGACGCAGGGCCCTGGGGACACGGGCCCGGGATGGTGACAACTCGGTCCTGGCCTCGACCCGTGTCTGTGTTCCAGGCACTGCAGGGGCAGCCGGGGCAGGAGAGAGGGTGGGGGACAGAAGGGAGGGTGGGGGGACAGGACGAAAGGTGAGGGGACAGGAGGAAAGGTGGGAGTACAGGAGAGAAGATTGGGGGACAGGAGGGACGGGGAACAGGACGAGTGGGGGACAGAAAGGATGGGGACAGGAGGGAAGGAAGGGGGAACCTGAGGGGCGGGGCCGGGCGGTGCGGGGACGGGGGCCGGGGCTGGGCGGGGCTGGGCAGGATCAGGGGCGGGGCTAGGTGGGGGCAGGTGCAGGGGGGTCGTGGTCGGTGGGCGGGGCCCGGCGGCGCGGGGCGGGATCAGAGGGTGGGGCCAGGCGATGCAGGGGCGGGGCCGTGGTCGGTGGGGCGGGGCCAGGCGGAGCGGGGCGGATCGGGGGCGGGGCGGTGGGCGGTGGGCGGGGCGGGGCGGCTCGCTCACGATCTGCGGGTCCGGAGCCGCGCCGCTGCTGTAGGTGGTGGTGAGCGTGGAGGCGCAGGCCTCGCTGTACCAGGGCACGCGGCCGCGCCGGGTGGCGCTGCCCACCGAGAGCGTGTGGATGCTGTTGGTGTAGCCGTCGCAGTTGCAGTTGTCGTAGTGCAGCCCGCCGTTGCCCGACGCCCAGACGAAGAGCGTGCCCCGCCCGCCGCGGCCCTGCGGACGTGGACACGGGGGACACGGGGACCGGGCGTCGGCCTCATGTGCGCGCGCCCGCCCGGCCCCCGCGGCCCCGCGCCCCTCACCTGGGTCACGCCGCGCCGGAAGGCCTCGCGGGTGAGCACGCCGGGGCCGTCCACCGTGCGCCCGTCGTCCTCGGGGCCCCAGCTGGCGCTGTAGATGTGGATGTGCTGCGGCTGCAGGCTCAGCGACTGGGCCTCGATGACGTCGGTGATGGTGCCGTCCAGCATGCGCACGCCTGCGGTGGGGGCCTTTGCCGCCAGCCCGCCCGCGCCCCCCCACCTGGAGCGAGGTGTCCTCCCGGGCCGGCTCAGCTACCCCACCCTCAGCTTTCCCCCCACTCCATCGGCTGACGCACCCCCCACTGCGTTCCCGGCCACCCAGGGTCACCCGGGCCGACCTCTGTCCCCGGGCGGGAGGAGGGGGATCCGGTACCTCCGATTCGGGCGTTGTAGGCCACTCCGGTGCCGCAGAACCTGTTGTTGGCCATCGCGGCCACCTCCCCAGCACAGCGGGTCCCGTGCCTGGCGCCAGGACAGAGAGGGGGGGCCCCAGTCAAGCCCCGCAGCCCCCCGAGGGCCACCCTCATGTGGGACGCGCGGCTCACCGGTTCTCATTACTGGGTGTGTATCGCGGCTGGGGGTCTGGGTCGTAGTCGTTGAAGTCGTAGCTGGCCAGGGGGTCCTGGGGGCAGGGTGGGGACGTGAGGGGGTGGGGGCTGGCCACCAGACCTGGGGCAGCCCCTGCCCGGCCCCCCACGAGCTCACGTAGTTGGCCCATAGGTCTGGGTGGTCCTTCTCGATGCCGTCGTCCAAGACAGACACTACGATGCCCTGGCCCGACAGTCCCTGGCCCCAGACCTGCTGGATGTTCAGGTCCGGCTGCACCTCGTTGTTCTGGGGGGACAGGGGGTGGGGATCAGTGGAACTCCAGCCTGGGCCACCCCGCCTGCCCGGCCGGCCGCTCACCATGTACCACTGCCGTGGGAACCAGGGGTCTGTGGGCATCACCAAGGAGCGTTTTACCCGCCGCCGCAGAGTCTGCTGCTGGAACCACTGCACCTAGAGGGGGACGAGCCACTGCAGGGGCTGGACCCGCCGTCCGAGGGGACCTGCCCCTTCCCGGCCCTTCCCGCCAATTCCCGGTCACCGGGCCCTAGTCTGCCTCCAGGGCCTGCGCAGCCTCCTCCCGGGCTCCGTCCGTGGGGCAGCAGTTGGAGTGGGACATGTGTCTGGGCTGTCCGCTGTTTGTCCCAGGGTCTTCATGATGTGGGCAGGGGCCAGGACCCCATATTTGCTGGGGCTGCTCTTCGGGGTCCCCACATGCCTTGGGCTCTGCCTTCAGAGAGGCCGAGGCCCTCGGTGCACCCAACCCCAGGGTCCACAGATGTGTGGCTGCTGCCCGGGGTGGCTGGGGCACCTGGGGTCCCGACCCTGCCCCTTCCCCTGGCCCTGTTTTAGAATCCCTCTGTCCAAGACCTTCCCACTGCCCCCTGCATCTCTGCTTCCCCAATGCAGGACACCCCTGCGTGGCCATACCCACCTCCTCCCTGGTCCCCCATCTGCCCCCCTTTCCTCTGCAACCTACTCTCAGCACACTCTCTGTTGACACCCTTCTGTGGCTCCCCACCACCCTCGCCAGGGCCACAAGGCCTCCTGCTGTCTGGCCCCCACCAGCTCCCTCTGCTGTAACCACAGCAGCTGCCTCACCCCAGGGCCTTTGCATATGCTGTTCTGCCTGCCCAGGGTTTCTCTTCCTCAGACCTTTGCCCTTCCTCCTTCTCCGTGGTTGATCTCCCTCCCACCCCACAAGCCAGCTCATGTCCCCTCAGCTCCCATCTCAGCAATTGGGGCCATCATCTCCCCATTTGCTTGGCTCCAGACTTGGGAGCGGGCCCTGATTTTTCTCTCTCTATCGCACACATCCAATCCATCGGCCAGCCCTGACCTCTCCCTGCAAACTGGAACACACTACTTCTCTCTGTCCCTACTGCTCCCGGCCAGTGTTTCCAGCTGTCACGCCTCCAGCCCCCCCACACTCCTTCACGGCTCCCGAGGCCTTGCAGATTCAGCCCCAACTCCTGGCATCTAAGGCCTTTTCCCGACCTGGCACCTCTCGGAGACGGGTTCTGGCCCCAGTTCAGCCACAGCCTCATCAGGTGACTTCAGACAGGATTCCAATTCTCTGGAGCCGTCTCCTCTGTTGTAAAACCAGCCAATTCCCTCCCCTCCATCCCATGGGCTAGAATGTCATCTGCCCCTCTTTATGGGGTACTGGGGACCTTGGTCTTTCAGAGTGAGCTCGAACAGCGAAGGGGGAGTGACCAGAAACACCGACTGTGTGCCAGGCTCTGGGGCGAGCGCCTTGCGCATGCATGATCTGTGGCTCTCCCCATCTGGGTCCCCACTGTATACAGTGGGGGGATAAGCGGACACCAGGACTCAGAAAGAGCAGATGACTTGCTGAAGATCACGCAGCCATTCCTGACAATCACAAGAATAACAGGAGGTGACCGAGACCTCGAGGGGGCAGCCCTGAGGCCGGGCTCACCTTGGGGTCTTTCTTCAGCCGCAGGCGGTGGCCCCAGTGGGGGCTCAGGGACTGCTGGACCACGCCCCGGTGCCGCAGGTGGAAGTATTCCCCGTCCGAGAAGATCTAGCAATGTGGGGGAGCAGTCGCAAAGCTGGGACCCAGCTCCCTCAACGGAGCCCCCCAAGGACAGGGGCCGGGCCCCTTGCTTGCATCCTCCCCTAACCAGGTGCCCAGGTCGGGGCTTCAGGGGTCCCAGCATCGGAAGTTGGTCGAGACAGGGGTGGACTGTAGGCTCTTGACATCAGGGGACCAGGGGGGCCTCTTCTCGTCTGTAGGGTCTGGGGTCGTCCAGCCTCTGCCCCCTCCGATTCATCCGGGGCCCACCCACCTGCCCCAGGTTAACGAAGCCGAATTTGCGCGCCAGGCGCTCGGCCTCCTGGTAACCCTGGGACACCCGCACGGCCCAGCTGCTGACATAGATGGGGGCCCGGGCCGAAGCCCACCCCACAGCCAGGGGGCCAACGAGGGCCAGGCCCAGGGCCAAGGCCAGGCGCAGCCAGAGAGCTGTCCCTGTGGGCCGCATGGCGGCGGGGGCGGGGCCTCCGGAAGCCCCTCCCCATGGCCAAACCGCCGAGTCGGCCCAAGCGCCCGCCCCGCCCCTGGCGCCATGGCAACCCAGATGGACTTCAACTCCCAGGGGGCTTTGCGGCTTCCCCCCTACCCCCCGCCCCCCGCCCGCGGAGGAGCGCGAAGATCCGACAGCAGTGGGGGTCGACATCAGCCCACACTGGCTTTCCGCAGACCCAAACCCTATGGAGCCTCAGTCTCCCCATCTGTACAAGGACCCAAACCTTCCGTCCCAGAAGACCTCTTCACTGACGCTATAATTGGCCCCGCCCCTTTACCTGCCCCCGCCCACTTTCCTACACACTCTTCCCTCTAGAAGCAGCCCTGCCTCCTCTCTGGTCCAATCAGAATTGTCCTTTCCCAAGACATTTAGCCCCGCCCCTCATCTCAGCCACGCCTTCTTTATTTTAGCCCCGCCCCTCCTCTGTTCTCGCCAATGAATCCCTTCCGGTTCCTCCAATCAGTTCTGGTCCTCCTCGGGCCCCGCCCACCAGCTCCGCCCCCTAGCACGCGTCTCTCCTCCCCTCCAGCTCCACCCCCAACAACGGCTCAGCCAATAATCCCCCGGCCATGACCCCGCCCCTCCAATCAGCTACGTCTCGCTCCCGCTCGGCCAATCGGCGGCCTCGGCCGCCACGCCCCGCCCCCTCCGTGCGGAGTCGCGGCTGCGGGGGCCGCGGCCCGCCAGAGGGCGATGCGGCGGAGGAGACGGGGCAGGCCCCACCTCCTTTGTCCGCCCTGCCCTCCCATTGGCCGGGGCGGGGGGTCGGGGGCGGAGACCGGCCCGGGGGCGGAGCCGAGCTCTTCGGGCGCGGGGCAGGTGGCGCGCGCGCGGCGGGGCCGGTGCGCGGGGCGGCGGTCGAACTGGGGCTGCCGGCCCCGGGCCCGCCGGTGCCATGGACGGCCTGCGCCAGCGCCTCGAGCGGCTGCTGGAGCAGAGGAACGTGGTCACCGAGGCGCTCGGGGCGCTCGAAGCCAGGACTGGTGTCGACAAGCGGTACTTGGCCACGGGTGAGCCGTCGCGGGGCGCTCGGGGCCGCCGCCCCATTTCGCCGACGGGCACATCCCGGCCTCCTCGCACCTGCCTCCCTCCGGCCGGCCCGGGCTGCGGGGTCCGGCTCGCACGGCGGGGCGCGCCCCGTGTCCAGCGCGGAGCCCCGGAGCCCCGGGAGGGCTGGTGGGACCCAGGGTCTGCCCGCAGCCCCTCCCCTGCCCCCGCCGTGCGACCCCGGGCGAAGGCCACCCCCTCTCTCGGCCCCTGCGGCACCCCCACTCCGGCCTCGGGATCTGGCGGCCGTCCTCTGCCCCCTGCCTCGGGGCCCTGGGTGCCCGCCAGGCCGAAGTCCGGTTCTTCCAGTTGCCCTGCCGGCCCCAGGGGAAGGGGGGACGAGTAGGCAGCCGGTGCCGGTCTCTCAAACTATCTAGTGAGCGCCCCTTAAATGCCTTCCTTTCCTCTTTTGCGGTGCTCCAGGCCCATCGGCTCTGTGGCCTCTTCCAGGAAGCCCCCCTGGAATGAATGACAAGGACATTTTGTCCAGACGCTGGAGTGGGGGGAGGGGGGCTCTGAGTGAGGACAGTGCATACGTTTTGAGCACTTTCTGTGTGCAGATCCTGGAAGTCTACTTTCTTCCCATTTTCCCACCAGCTGGGGGGTTCCTGTGCCAGGCAGCCCAAGGAGGGCCGGAAATCTGTCCCCCCCAGGTCCCCGCTGCTCAGCCCATGTCCACTCAGCCGGGGACCTGCCCCTGGGAACAGGCCCTGACCTCCTCCCTGCTTTTCCACATCCCTGGTACCAGTGGGCGGGGAATTTAGGTCATAGAGCATTGGGGAGGGGCCCGCTCTGGAGGCTGGGGCCACAGGGGGAAACTGAGGCCAGAGAGAAGGGAGCTGTGTGGGAGGCTGGCCCTCCTCCTGCCCTATCTGGAGCCTCCGCCCCCCCCAGCCCCCGGGGCCCATCTGTTGCCCATCTCTGGGGCTGTGCCCCGCCCCCCCACCATGTCCAAGGTCATCCTCTAGTTGCTGAGGCTGCAGGAAAAGGGATAAAGGGGAAGGTGCCCTCCTGGGACAGCCACTGCTCCGGGACCATCGGACCATCAATTTCCAGGGAAGGGTGGTGTTCCCCCACCTCCTCACCCGGAACTCTTGGGCCCCACCCACCCCACGTGAGCAAATCCCCTGCCCCAGGGAACAGGTGTGGAAACCCAGAGGAGGCGGTGACGGCGCCTCCAGGGCCAGCTGGGGTGGCCCCGCCCCCTCCTGACCCCAGGCCTGGCGGATAAAGAGGAACGCAGGTGGAGGGAGGGGGAGGTACTCTGCCCTTTGGTCCCCCGGTGGCCTCTATCATTCTGCAGATAACACCCTCGGGGAGGAGGTGGGAGGCTGTAAATGCTCCTGGGAGCCCAGAGGCTCCCCGAGTGACCGTGGGGGAATCCCCCTCCCCGCAGCTTCCGTGTTGCTCGGGCCCTTGTGGGAGATAGGGTCCCGCACACAAGAAGCGGTTCATAAATGCAGCAGCTGCCAGGATTGTTCCCAGAGTGGCTCTTGCTCCCAGCCCCCTGGCCCTCACTGTCACTCTCTGAGCCCCCCGGGGCCAGGAGTGTGTGTGCGACCGGAGGCGCTCGGTACCTGTGTGGGAAGGCGGGCTCCTCTGTGTCAGAGAGTTGTGTTTAGCTGACCCCACAGCAACCCTCGAGGCAGCTGGGGGCCAGGGATGCAATGCTGCTCAGCCCCCACAGTGTCCAGGACAGCGCCCCCCACAGAGTGACCCGGCCCTGAGTGTCCACAGCGCCAGGACTGAGAAACCCTTGTTGTTAGCGCCATCAAGTGGTCCCGACTCCTCGCGACCCTGTATCCCGCGGAGGGAGCCCGGCCGGTCTTTCTGTGCCCCCCTCTCCCGTTCCGGCTGTGTCAACAACGCTCCGCGGCCATTCACGGGCTTTTCATGGCCAGTTTTTCCGGAAGTGGGCGGCAGGTCCTTCTTCCTGGTCCGTCTGAGTCTGGGAGCTCTGCCGACACCTGCCCACCGCAGGTGACTCTGCTGGTGTTTGAAATCCCAGTGGCACAGCTTTCAGCGTCACAGCCACACGTGGCTGCCACAGCGTGACAACCGACAGACGGGCAGTGTGGTTCCCTGACCGGGAAAGGAACCCGGGTCTTGGCGATGAGAACCCCGGATCTCACCCCCTCGAGCATCCGAGCTGGCTTGAAAAGCACCACACTAAGATTAAGAAAAGCTAAAAATGCTGTGCCTTTCTCTGCTCGCCAGGAATCACAGTTTAGTGACAGGATGGCCTCACTTTCAGGTTTTTCTCCCATTACTTATATTCAGACGCTGGCCTCTTGTGCCCAGCCCCTCCCATAGGACCGAGAGTGAGTTGGGTATAATCAAAGATGATCACTTATTCATTCAACAAATGTTTATTGGGCATCTACTCCGTACCTACCAGGGCGAGGTCCCTCCTGGCCTGTGGGGGAGACCGACATGTTGACTGGTTGCTGGCATGTGACTTGGGGTTCAGGGCCATGGTGGCGGTCGCCCACGTGCTATGGGGGCAACTAGCGTATCGGAGAGGGGTTGCTGAGGCTTCTGGGAGGACTGATGCCGGCAGACCGCGGGGGCCAGGCCAGGAGGCAGCCCCGGGCGCTGCGGTCTGGGCGCAGAGTCCCCGGGGCCCAGCTCACAGCCGTCTTTCCCGCAGGAGCCGCCACTCTGCTAGGCCTGTATCTTTTATTCGGTTACGGGGCGTCTCTGTTGTGCAACCTCATCGGCTTTGTATACCCCGCATATGCCTCGTGAGTGCCGCTGGTGGTCCCCGCTGGGGGGCGGGGGGTCGTCCGGGCGCTCCGGCAGCCCCTGACCTTGTGCGCCTCTCCCCAGAGTCAAAGCCATCGAGAGCCCAAACAAAGACGACGATACTGTGTGGCTCACCTACTGGGTGGTGTACGGCCTGTTCGGGCTGGCCGAGTTCTTCAGCGACCTGCTCCTGTCCTGGTTCCCTTTCTACTACGTGGGCAAGGTGGGTGCCGCTGCAACGCTCGGGGACTGCGGACTCCTGGGGGGGGTGCGGAGGCTCAGCCCCTTCTCTGGGGAAACCAGCCTGGCCAGCCGGGGGGTGTCTGATGGGGGAAGCCCATGTCCATCGCAAGGGGTGTCTGACCGGGGAGGCCGGGCCCACCCCAGCACAGTGTCTCACGGTGGAGGCCGGGCCCACCCCAGCACAGTGTCTCACGGTGGAGGCCGGGCCCACCCCAGCACAGTGTCTGACAGTGGAGGCCGGGCCCACCCCAGCACAGTGTCTGACGGGGGAGGCCGGAACCACCGCAGGGGGCTCAGAGTGGCCTAGCGTGACCACCTTGTGCCCGCAGTGCGGCTTCCTGTTGTTCTGCATGGCCCCCGGGCCCTGGAACGGGGCGCACCTGCTGTACCATCGAGTCATCCGCCCACTGTTTCTAAAGCATCACGAGGCAGTGGACAGCATCGTGAGCGACCTCAGCCGGCGAGCCTTGGACGCGGCGGCCGGAGTAACCCGGGACGGTGGGTGCTCACAGGGTGCGGGGGTGTCCGTGCATCTCAGTCTCTGTCTGTCCCTCCGTCTGGGCGTCCGCCAGCCCACCCACCCCGCTCACCTTCACTCCTGCCCCCGCCTCTCTCCGCCTGGTGACATGGCCGCCGGCGCCGCGCCCCTGTCCTCACTGTCCACCTCTCTCCCGCACGCTCTCGGGGACCAGTCCTGCAGACCCTGGCCCGCAGCCGGGCTCTCGTCACCCCAGCGGCTGCGGCGGGAAGCCCCCCGCTGCCCGCGGAGCCGACCGTACGTAACCCCACCCCCTGGGAGGTAGGGCCTGTGTGTGTGCGCCCGCATGCGCATGTGCGGGCGTGCATTTATGCGTGGGGTGCACGCATGTGTGTGTGTGCCTCTGTCCCTGCCAAGGGTAGCCGCTGGCCCCTTGAGCTGGCCCCACGCCAGCCCCCCCCCCCGTAGCTGAAGACAGCTCTGGGCCCGAGGGCTCTGCCAGACCTGCCTCCCTCTCTCTGCAGCCAAGGCCACCGTGAGCCAATTCCAGAAGGACAAGTGAAGCCCCCGCCCAGCCCGGACACAGACCTGCCTGCCAGCGAGCTGGAGGAGACGTCCCCACCCAAGTCTTCCACGGATCCCTCGCCTGACTCCCCAGCGGAGCCCCCCACCAGCCCCGCACCCCCGAGCCAGCCGGCCCCCGGGAGCTCCTCTCGCCCCCACGCCGGCCAGCCCCAGCCTCGCTCCCAGGCCACCCACTTTGCCAGCAGCTCCCAGGCGCCCAGCAAGGCCCAGGGCCGGCCTAGGATACAAGTTAACACCCCCCGCCAGCAGCACCCCCAGCAGCGCCCCCCGACCTCCATCACTTCCTTGGGCCCCTCCTGGCAAGCCGACACCCCCCGCCAGCAGCGCCCCCAGCAGCGCCCCCAGCAGCGCCCCGGGCCCTCCGTCACTTCCTTGGGCCCCTCCCGGCAAGCCGACACCCCCCGCCAGCAGCGCCCCCGGCCCTCCATCACTTCCTTGGGCCCCTCCCAGCAAGCCGACGCCCCCCGCCAGCAGCGCCCCCGGCCCTCCATCACTTCCTTGGGCCCCTTCCAGCCGGCCCACCGGCCCTCAGGCACCGTGCAGCATCACAAGGTCTCCTCCAGCCAGGGAGCCCCCCTTGTGCAGTCCCCCAGCGGCACCGCCATCCCCAACAAGACCCCCAACGGGCCAGGGGACTCGGCCCCCAGGGCCTCCAAGGCCAGCAGGCCACATGAGAAGCAGTCGCCGCCAGAGGCCACGGGCAGCACTTCGGTGCCCGAGCTGCCCGCCTCCTGCCCATCCGAGTCCTCTCTGGACTCCAGCTCCGAAGCCACCATGGAGGTCACCTGCCGGTGGCCCCACCACAGGCAGGGCCTCCGCTACCTGCGGCGCTGCTGGCGGCTGAGGCACATGGCCTGCTAGGGAGACCTCAATAAAGCCCATCTGGACCATTCTCGGCTCCGTCTGTCCTGGGCGGGGAGGGGGAGGCTGGCGGGGGCTTCACAGAGCCGCCTCCTCTGATCAGGAGCTGATTCCGTGCAGCCCGCTTGACAGAAGAGGAAACTGAGGCCGGGGGAGGCACAGCCACCCACTCGAGATTGAGCCAGATCCAAGACAGGAATTTGGGCCCCTGTCCCGTGTCGGGGAGGGGTCCCAGGAACTGGAGTGGGGCGCCGGCTGGAGATGGGAGGGAAAGGGAGCTGAAGAAGGGGGTGTGGTCCTGCCAGTGAGGCCCGCGGGCACCCGGAGCATCGTGGGCGTGGGGAGCTCCAGGAGCCACTGTGGACGCACCCCCCCCCCCCCCCCCCGGGGCTGCAGGAGCCGGACTCACCCGCCAGCCTGTCAGGCACGGGGAGTGGGTCGTGCGGTCCACCCAGTGCCCCCTGCAGGCAGCGCAGGGTCAGGCCAGGGAAGCCGTCACCGCCGAGGCCTGGGGGCTGGCGGTCCAGGGAGGCCAGGAGGGGGTGGGCCCTGTCCCGATCCGATGGGATCCAGCAGCCCGTCAACCAGCAGAACAGCCCCTGCTTAAGTTGGGGTCCCAGGAAGCAGGGCCCGAGCGGGAAGCTGGGGGCGGTGGGGCGCTGAGCAGGGAGGTCGTGTCGGCGGGGGGACCCTGGGTGTGAAGTGCGCCTGGACTCGGCTCTACCTGGAGCCCAGGGGCCAGGGTTCACGCCCCCCTCTGCCCCCCCGTTGGCTCCTCACTCGCTGGCTTCAGCCCACCCCCAGCTGCACCCCCGTGGGTGTCTCCAGGGACGGCCACCACTGGGGAGGCCTGGGGTCGCAGTGTCCCTCGCGGTCCCCGTCCACCCGGGCTCTGCGTCCCCCCACAACTCGAGGTGGAAACACAAGAGCTGTCCCTGGGCTGTAACTCAGTGGTTCTAAGCTGGGGGCGATTTCGTCCTGGGGGGTCAGGCGATGTCTGGAGACACTTGATTTCTGTCCGAACACGTCAGCCGAGTCCCACAATCTTTTGACACGTCACCCCTCTCCCCCGCCGCCAGCTTTTAGCCGGCCAGCTTGTCCCCAGCCGGTGGTGGCCCCGTCCATCAGAGGTGGCTTTCCCGCAAAGGAGGCAGCCCTGTGTGGCCGCCAACCGCATGGCCCGTGTCCTCGTCCTTGAGATTCCCCCAAGGGAGGAGGAAGCACCAGGCGCTACTGAGGAGCAGTGGGTCTAATTCACTTCTTTGATCCCTCAGCAATTATCAGGCGCCTGCTGTATGCCAGGCACTGCTCCAGGAGCCAAGGGCAGGGTGACGACCCAGAGAGATAGGAATCCCTGCTCCCAAGCATTTGGAGAGGCAACAGTAAACATATAGCACGTCAGAAGGAGGGCCCCATGAAGGTCACAGGGGAGGGGGGGAAATGCGGCCAGGAGGTGGGGGGTGGGGGCTGCAATGTCGGGAAGGGCTGGAGAGGCCTCTCTAAGGAAGTGACGTTTCAGCAGAGAAATGACAGAGATGCAGGGGTGAGTCTTGCAAATCCCAGGTAGAGAGAGGCACTCGTGCAAAGGCCCTGAGGCAGGACCACACCTGGCAGGGAGGGCCAGGGCTCAGAGGCCGGCGTGGTGGAGCGGAGCGAGCAAGGGGGCGAGGGGAGGCAAGTCTGGGGGCTGGACGGCCTGATGAGGACTTTGCCTTTTTCTCGGGAGCGGAGGCTTGGCTGGGAAGGAGGGACGGAGGGTAATCATTAATGAACCCCCACCCTGCTGAGAAGTCCAGGGAGCACGGGGACGAGGGCACACACCTGTGTCACCAGGTGGAAATCATGACCTGTGGCCCACAGATCCGTGTGACCAGCATTCAGCGCTGGGAACCCACCAGGCCAGCCCCTCCCAGTCCCTTGCCCCCCTCCCCAGGGCAGCCCCATCCTGACTCTGTTTACTTTGTCCTTGGCCGTCACTCGTGTCACCCACGCGTCTCTGTCCTTTCCTGTCTGACTCACCAGCCGCCGCGGGGGTCTGGACGTCGCTCTTCTTCCTTGCTGGGTAGCGCTCCGTCCTGCGGGTCGGCCACAGCCCATGCGTCCCATCCCCCTCCGGGTGGGCATTTCAGTTGTGTCCAGTGTGGGGCTATTATGACTAAAGCTGCGGAACATTCTAGAACCGGCCTCCGGTGAGCAGAGGGCTCCTTTTTCTGCCGTAGCAAATGACTGCAAGCCGGGCCACTGAAAGCAACGAGGATTTATTCTCTCACGTTCTGGAGGCCGGACGTCCCAGATCCAGGCGGGCAGGGCTGCTCCCTCCCGAGGCTCCAGGGCAGGGTCCGTCCTGCCTCTCCAGCTTCTAGGGGCTCCAGGCGTCTCTGGGCGTGTGGCCACGTCCCCCAGTCTCTGCCTCCAGTGTCCCGTGGCCTCTCCTCTGTGTGTCTCTTATGAAGACATTTGTCATTGGGTTTAGGGTCCACCCAGATAAGCCAGGATGACGTCATCTTGAGACCTTTAACTACATCTGCAAAGACCACTTTTCCAAATAAAGTACCCTCCCGGGGTCTGGGGGCTGGGCCGTGGAGCGCGCCGTCCTCCCGGAGTGGACACACCAGACTGTCTTCCGACGCGGTCATGCCCACGTCCCCGCACGTGCCCGTCGCCGTGGGACCAGCCGGGGCCTTTGGCAGCTCCGTGACCCGCCCCCCGTGCACTCCTGCAGGTCAGCCATCCCGGACGGGGTCCCCGAGAGAGAAGGGCGGCAGCTGCAGATGACAGGGGCTTGCTGTCCGCCAAGAATTAGAGACGGGAGCAAAAGCAAGTGCGGGGCGGGTGCAAACCGTCTTTTTCTGGGCTAAGGAAGAAACTGTGCCGTTACCGCCGTTCCACTGACACAGACGCGGCCTTGACCTTGCCCAGTTTTACGTCTCTATAAACGTCGCCTCCTGCGGGAAGTCGGTTGGGAGAATCCCCATTTCTGGAGTGAGGACTCCGCTCCTCGGAGAGGACGTGCCCTCCGGGGTCCCCGTGGTCCCCGGGGCGCTGTGTCACGCTCTCACCCACACGGGCCCGTGCACCCTCCTGGGACACGGTAAACAGCACAAAGAGCTGGGGCCGGAAAGACGACAAAGCAGAATTCAGTCACTTTGTTGCCATCACTCTGTGTCACCGCCCACAGTTTTTATTCGTGTTTACATGTAAAGCAGCAAACAGCGCACGGTCTCGCTCGGCCAGCATGAACTCTGGTTCCGGGTGACGTTTGTTGCAGAATTTGAGAATCTTTAGAATTGCAATTTCTTCTCTCTTTAAATTGTTTTTAAAGCTAAAGAGCAGATCAGGAAACCTTGTGACATCCAGGGCCCACTGTTTCCCCCCCCCCATCACTAACTGGATACAATGTTGCCTTCCCGGGGCTGGAAAGAGCCAGGGCCACAAGTCCCCCACTCAGGGGGCGCCAGGCTGGCCTGCCAGAGCGGACCCCGCGGCCAGAGGGTGAGGGGCGCCCGGCTGAGAGCTGGTGGCGCGGCTGCCCAGGATCCCAGAGCTGAGAGGGTGGACACGTCCCCACACCTAGCATGGCTGAGGGCCCCCTCGGTCTAACAGTGGGGGGCAGGGTAATGGTGGCAGGGGTGGGAGGCGGGGCCGGGTGGGCACTGGTGAAGGAGGCCAGCGGGTGGTGAGGGGCGGTCCCGGGACAGCAAACGAGAGAAGTGGGTGTCATGGGGCCAGTGGACTTGCGTCCCTTGTGGGCTGCAGGCCCCATGGTAGGGACGGGGCTGGAATCCCTTCTCCCTGTGTCCTGCCACCAGGGGGGCCCTGGCCCCGCGCCTCTCTCCAGACCTGCACCCCGCTTGGCCCCCAGGAGTGGGGCATCCAGGGGTCCTCCACCTTCAGCACTGGTGGCAGATGACAAGGCCAGGCCTGGGACGGCCCAGGCACTGCTGGGTTCCTGGCATACAGTAGGCGCTCAATAAATACTAGCTGGAAGGATGCGTGAATGAAGGCGCGGCTAGGGAAGGCGCTAGGAAGAGACCGGGAGGGGCTGAAAGGGTACTTGCAGATGGGGAAACTGAGGCCCAGAGCGGGCGGGGCCTGGTCCAAGTCACCTGCAAGGTCAGAGGCTGAGCCCATCGAGGCCCACACATCTGCACCCTGTCCTCACTCCCTCCATCCCGCAGCCCAGAGAAAAAGGACCGCGGATGGCACAGAAGAGCAGATCGTCCCAGTGACAGCGCGAGCCGCCCCATCCAGGGTGGGGAGGCAGAAGGGCGGCCCCTCGGGGGCACCCCACGGGGAAGGTTTGCTGAGTGACTGTGTGACACCCCACAGACCGCCCAATTCACACGCCGTCGAGGTCTGCCCTCCCAGCTCCAGAAGAATACACGAGGAGAAGAAAGGCACGAGGACAGGGGACAGGCTGAGAGCAGGGGTCCCTTGGGAGGCCTGAGATGAATGGTCCCCAAGGGGGCACAGGGAGGGGACTCGGGGCCTATGAAGCCCCGCTGACTCCTCTCCTCCCCCCATCCTCATATATCCCCTGTCCCCCCTCCACACACAGGGTCAGACACGCTGAGGGAGGTGGGCTGGATCAGGAGGCGGAGGGGACGGGGTGCGCGTCACCACACCTGGATGCGCTGTGAGAGCGCAATTATGGATCCGACTACCAGCGCATCCCCAAGGCTCTGTGGCCAAGTACGTGTCCTTGTTAAAGTGCTTGTAAAAATTAAATAGGAATAAAAACGGGGGAACGGGGGGCCATGCCTGTTTGTGACGGTGTCTCTGAAGACGTGAGGGTACGTGTGTAAGTGGCAGCGAGAAGGGAGAGCACAGAGCAACAGAGAGTTAAACAGTGATGAGCTTCCTGGCTGCCAGAGCAAGAAGGGGAACTGACACATCACAGTGTCCTGTTAGTCAAGCCTTCCTCTGGGCCATGCTTGGTTTGTGACAGTGTCTCTAAGTAAATGAGTGTGAGGCAAGGGGAATAAAAGCAGACACAAAATTTCTGAGTGTGAAATAGCAATGAGTTTCCTGGCAGCCAGGGTGAGAAAGGAAATAAGAGAGTCTGTTCAGTGTGTCCTCACCAGGGCCTGCCTGCTTATGACAGTGGATCTGACTGTGTGCAGGGGTGTCTAAATGTGTGTGACAGGGAGTCACCCAGCTTCGAGCAGGAGATATTTCTGAGCTCCCTGGAAGCCAGGGCGAGAGGGGAAATATGTTGAGTTTGAGCCCGGTCGGGTGTGTCTTTCTTGCTGTGCGAGGCAAGGGCCTGGTCCAGGCTCTCAGACAGGGCAGCGCCGGGCGGCCAGGCGCACGCGGCTGTCCTCGGCGGGGCTCCAGGGCCGGGCATAGCCAGCATGGGGGAGCAGCAGCCGGTCCTGAGTGCCGTCGGGGCTGACGAGGCGCTGCACGGCCAGCAGGTACTCGCGGTGCAGGGCCAGCGGCGGGCAGGGGCAGCGGCCCGGTGCCCACACGTACTCGAGGGCCCGCAGCGGCGAGCGGTTCTTGTAGACGAGCTGCACACGCACCTCGTAGCGGGTCTCCTGGGCCTGGCGCAGGCGGCCCAGGACTTGGGCCCGGAACACTGTGGGCAGGGCGGTGCTGAGGCTGGCCAGCCGCTCCATCCTGGGCACCCACCCACGCGCCCACCGCCAGACAAGGGTGACCAGGGTTCAGGGGGCCCTGGGGGCCCCCGAGGACTGTGGAGACAGGAACTGGGGTCAGCCGAGGCCTGGGGTCAGGGTCAGGTCCAGGGTCAATGAAGGGTTAGGGGTCAGATTAGGGCAAAGGGTCAGATCAAGGAGTCCAATGAGGCTCGGAAGAAGGGGTCAAGTTGGAGTCGGGTCAAGGAACTGAGGGTACGTTCGGATAGGGTCAGAAGTCAGCAGGACAGAGGCCAGGTGAGGGTGGGGTCGGGGTCTCTCACCGAAGTCGCTGCCGCAGTAGTGGAGCAGCCGGTGGGCGCGACCGCGAGAGTCGGGGCAGGGTGGGCAGGGGTCTGTGGGGGGGCGCAGTCAGGGACACAGGCCCTGCTCCCTGCTCCCCGCCCCCCAGCCGGCCCCACCTCACCTGGGGCAGGGGTCAGGGGCCGTGGGGGGCCGGCTGCGGGGGCCGCGGGGGCCATGGGGGACTCTGGGGCCTGAGGTTCCACCTCCCGAGGCTGCGGCTGCCGCGGGGACCAGCCCAGGGCCTGCGCCCGTGCCTGGAAGGGGCCATAGAGCTCCCGGGGGAGCCAGAACTCGAACTCGATGCCGGGGTTGGGCTCCTGCAGGAGGACCTGGGGGGGGTGTCACACGCCGGGGAGCCACACTCAACCATGGCCCTGCCTCCCCCCTCTGACTCTCCATCCCCAGCCTCCTCCCTCTGACCCTCTGCCCCCAGCCTCCCCACTCTGACCCTCTGTCCCCAGCCTCCTCCCTCTGACCCTCTGTCCCCAGCCTCCTCCCTCTGACCCTCTGTCCCCAGCCTCCCACCTCTGACCCTCTGTCCCCAGCCTCCCACCTCTGACCCTCTGTCCCCAGCCTCCTCCCTCTGACCCTCTGCCCCCAGCCTCCCCACTCTGACTCTCTGTCCCCAGCCTCCTCCCTCTGACCCTCTGCCCCCAGCCTCCCCACTCTGACTCTCTGTCCCCAGCCTCCCTCCTCTGACTCTGTCCCCAGCCTCCTCCATCAGACCATCTGTCCCCAGCCCCCCCAACTCTCTTTCCCCAGCTTCCCCCCTCTGACCTTCTGTCCCCAGCCTCCCTCCTCTGACCCCTGCCTCCCCCCAGATCCTTTAAACCGCCCCCTTCCGCGCCCAGGCGCCCCTCAGAGGCCGCCCGCACCTGCAGGAGGAGGTCTTGGGAGGTGGGCCCTGCCGCGTGAAGCGTCTCCTCCGGCCCTGCAGCCCGGGTGTAGACCACGCGGGTGCCCGCCACCTCGTAGGTCCCGGGCGGGCTGACCGCCCAGTTCCCGTTGAGCACGTAGCGCCCGTCGCCCCGCATCAGCGCTGCAAGGGAAAGGTCAGCCGGGCTCCCAGGGACGGCCGCCAGCCCCCCAACGCCCCAACCCTGGAGTCCCCGGGCCTCAGTCTCCCTGTGGCGCCTCCCCCCTCGGACCCTGTGATACCCAGGTGGTTGCGGCTCCGGTGGGCAGCGCGGATGTGCCTGGCGCCCTCGGGGATCACCGTCACGTTCCAGTACCCGGCGAAGGTACCTGGGCGGGAGGACAGGACGGTATTGGGGTGCGGGTGGGGTGTCTTTGAGGGAGGACTTGAGGATTAAAAGAGCTACTGTGGGTCCTGGCACACCGAAAACGCTCCACCAGCGTTTGGGGTTATTATTAGCGCTTAAGTGCAGCAGCGAAAGGGTTAAAACCCCATCTGCTCTGGGGAGGGCGGGACAATCTTGCAATGGCCAATCAGAACGAGGAGCGAGAGGGGGCCGGGCCGCACACTGCCCAATCAGCACGGGCCTTGGCTTCCGGGTCCGCGGCTGGTTAAAGGGCTCGCGCTGGGCGAGCGGGGAGGACGGGGCGGGCGGTCACCGGCGTCGCGGAACACGCGCTGCACGAAGAGGCACGAGTCGTTGGCGCCGCCGCAGCGGCCGCAGTGGTCCTCGCGGGCGTCCGAGCCCAGCAAACCGTCACAGCCGGCGCTCTAGAGGGTGGGGGGACACGCGCACGTCACAGGCAGTCCCCATCTGGCACCGCCCTGGGGGCGGGGCCTCCGGTAAGGGGCGGGGCTCTGGGCACTGGGGGCGGGGCCTGGAGTACAAGAAATTAGGCCTGAGGGCGGGGCCCAGGGTGAGGGGCGGGGCTTGGAGTGAAAGAACTTGGGCCGGGGGCGGGGCCTGGAAGTGAAGGACAGGCTCTGGACGGAGGGTTTGGAGGTGGAGCCTAAGGAGGGGCGTGACCTTGGGTTGGGATGGGGCGTGGCCTAGGGGAGTGGGCGAGGCCTAGAACTAAATGAATATAGTCTGGGGGCGGGGCCTGGAGGGATGGGCGGGGCCTGGAGATCCTTACAAGGCAGCGGCCAGCCACGCAGAGGCCCCGGGTACCCGGGCTGCAGGGGGTGCCGTCCAGCACGCGGCCGAAGGTGTGGTAGAAGGCGTGCCCCTCCGCCAGGCAGTTGAGGTCGCACTGGTTGGGCGCTGGGAGGAGGGAGGAGTTGCTGGGCTGGTCCAGGGACCTCTATCTGAGTTCCAGCCCCCTCCCTGCCAGTCTCCCCCAGGCAGCCATCCCCTTGGGCAGGTGAGGTCAGAAGTCCAACCAAAGCCACACATGGTGGTTGAGGCAGAGTCAGGACTTCCACCTCTAGCCCCCTGGGAGTGTCCCGGGGCTGCGTTCATTCATCCGTGTTAAGTTCTAATCTTACGAGTCCTTACATATCCGTTCCTAACATCGCTACCCATTCTTCATTCATTCGTTCATTCCACAAGCACTCACTGAGCATCTACTGTTTGCCAGACACATCTGGGTGCTGCTGACTCACTCAGCACTCGGGCCCAGCACCCACCAGGTATCCAATCAGGAGCGTTTGTGCAGTGCTGACTGAGTCCCATGGAGCCTGGGTGTGTCGCTGGCCCTCCCCGGGCCATAACGGGCAGATACCCGCAAGCCCACAGCCCTCGTCCCTGCTCCTCTGGCTCAAACTCCCTCTGGGTCCCAGCTCCCTGTGCCTGGCTGGCAGACCCTGCCTGGCCCGGAGGCCAAGCTGGCCCTGGCGGGCCTCTGTTGGGGTGGGATGGAGGCAGGTTTCCTGCAATTCTTAGAGCAAAGGAAAGAAACACCCATGAGGTGGACGGATGGAACTTTCTCCGCTCTGGGCTTTTCTTATCTGTGTCTGCCCCCACCACGGCGTCTGAAGCCGCACGTCTCCCGTAAATCTGGAGGCGCGCTGCCCTGGGCACAGAGTTATATAACTTGCTATTTTCAGCTCAGTGCGGCAACATTTCCTGCTACGGGGGTAAGTTTGAGAACTGTCGGTCTCCGGCTACAGCTCCAAGTAAATCCTCAGCCTGGCATTCAACTCTGTGCAGAACACACCCTGCCTCCCTCTGCCCCCGCTTCACACCTTACACACGCTTTGTCCCCTTCGCTTCACCAACTCCTACATATCCTTCAAAGCCCCAGTGGTAACGCCCCCTTCTCCTTGAAACCCTCCAAGTCCCCTTTCGTTCTGGGCAGCCACTTCTCCCTGCCAGCTCTGGGTTGTTCCCTCCGGCCCAACAGGAAGGCAGACTGCTCACCGCCATAGAAGGGCACCCATCGGTAGGCCTCCTGGGTGCCCAGGACAGGGCGGCCATTGTAGAGGGCACACTGGAGGTCTCGGAAGGGCACGGCCCCCGGGGGACAGTCCTGGGGATGGAGAGGGGTGGGTCAGAGGCTGGGAGACCCTGACAGAGCAGCAAGTGTATTGGGGGCCTGGGGCGGGGGCGGGTGAGCTTCAGGGCAGATGGGGGCTGGGAGGGGCAGCATTTACTGGCAACTGGCAGAGGCGGTACTCGTGGCTGTCCCCCCAGCACGGCTCTTCCTCAGGAAACCTGGGGGGAGCAGGGCGGCCCAAGTGTGGTCAGGAACCCCCTCCCCAGCACCGGCCTGCCCCCCCACCCCGTCCACCCCCGCCAACCGCACCCACATTCCAGCTGGCTCAGTGGGGCTCAAAGGCACAGCATGTGTGGGCAGGCGGAGGGTGTGGCCAGGGTGGGGCCCGGTGGCAGTGGGGGGGGGGGCTGGGGGGGGCAGGGACCCCACTCACCGGATGCACCGGCGGCTGCGCACCGAGAGCCCCCGCCCGCAGGAGCTGGAGCAGCGACTCCAGGATCGCCACGGGGTCCACTCGCCCGGACCCTACTTGGGGAGAGAGCAGCCGGGTCAGCCTGGAGGGAGGCTGGCACCCCCATGCCACCGGCTGGGTCCCCGTGCCCACTGCCCCCTGACTTCATGTCCCCCCCTTACCTGAGCACTGCCCCCCAAACCACAGCTCAGGAGGGTCCACAGCAGGAGGTTCCAGAGGGGGCGGGGTCTGGGGGAGCAGAGGGGGTCGCTGCAGTGGGGGCTGCCAGCAGACCAGGGGGCGAACTCCACTCTGCCCTGACTGGCTGTGTGATTTGGGACAGTAACTTAACCTCTCTGAGCCTCCCTTCTTATCTCTGAAAAATGGAGTGATAATAGAGCTCCCCCTTACAGGAAAGTTTTGAGGGGTCTGTCCCATCAGGTAAGGAAAATGGGGGGCACAGAACCTCATATGAAGAGGGAAAGCTCAAAAATGATGATTACTATTACTGGTTGTTTACTGTTTTACAATGCACACAGCAGGTGCTTATTCAGTGTCCAAGGATGGAAGGAACCCCTCCAGGATAGTGCACAGTTGTCTCCAGGCGGGGGCCCCCTCCCCGCTCCCCACCATCATCGCCTCTACCTTCCAGTGTGGCCGGGGGCCAGCCGCTCCACCTCCCCAGGCCTCAGTTTCCCCATCTGCGCAGCGGGGACCAGCTGGGCTCAGTCCAGGACTCAAAGAGACCTTGTGGAGGGTCGGCCAGTGGGGGCAGACTCAGGGGCAGGGGCCCGGGAGAGGCCCCCCCCAGCGGCACCCCGGCCTCCAGGGCCCCCTCAGCCCCCGTACCCTTGGCAGCAGGGAGCCCCTGGGTGGGGGGATGGGCAGGGAGGGGTGACCTGGCCTGGATCCACTCGGCGCCTCATGGCCTCATGTGCAGAGGGTGTGGGAGGGAGCCCAGGGTGGCCTGTGGAGGGAAAGGGGCCACGGATGGAATGACTCGGGACAGAGGTGGGGGCTGGGGGGTAGGAGGCCTGGCAGGGGAGACTCTGCCTCCCCGGGCCTCAGTTTCCCCATCTCTCAGGAGAAGGATGAAGTCACTTGCCATCCACACCCTCCACGCGACCATGGCACCGCGACAAAGGGGGATGGAGTGCTCCTCGGACCAGGGCCAGGCTGCCCAGCGGTCAGCAGTGCGGAAGGACATGCAGGACAAGCTGGAGTCCCGCAGCCCGGAGGTCCGGGGCGCCGGATGAGGGAAGGCCAGCCCCACAAGTCCCGGGAGCCTCAGTTTCCCCGGTTCGCAGGCCCTCCCGGCTCTGACATTCGGACCTGGGCACCAGGGGTGGGCCCGAGGTGGCTCCAGGTCCTGAGAACCTGGGGGGCGGCAGGGCGGGTCCGCTCTCTTCCCAGAGCTGTGTGCCAGCTCCATCCCCGCCCCTCTCTGCGCCGGCCCAGGAGGCAGGAAGTCTGGACCGGGGAGCGGGGCCCTCTGACACCCCCTCTGGGCTCAGCACTGTTGTGGGGTGGGGGGTCTAGGTGATGAAAGATGAGGGGCTAGAAAGTCCACCCTCCCCGCTCCCCAGAGCCCCCACCCCGGAGCCAGACACTTACACTTGTCCGTCTGGAGCGCACGACAAGCCATGCCTCTAGGCCTCAGTTTACCCAGGAGGTAGTGGGAGCCAGCTTTCTCCCGCCCTGGGGATTGCCGTCTCGCCAGCCCCGAGCCCGCCCCGGGCCGGGGAGGGGGAGGAGACGCCCGCCGGCGGGCCGGGCTAGCGGGGGGATGGGAAGAGGGACTTACCGGCGACCCAGAGCCCGGGCGCTGCGTCTGGCTCCCTGGGCGGCCCCAGGGCGAGCGGAAGCGGCGGGGCCCGCGGGGAGGGCGGGGGAGCCCGGGGCGGCCCCTCCCACGCGGCCTCCCGGGGCGCGCCCAGGCCGGGGTCCGGAGGGGCGGCGGCCCCGTGCGCCCCCGCGCGGCCATGGCGCCAGGGGACTGGTGGCCGGCGCGGCTCCCGGCCCCCCAGGGCCGCGGCCTCAGTCCAAGCGTCCGCGTCCCCGAGACCTTGGGAATCCCAGGGCGAGGGAATGACCGCCCCTACCCCCACCCCGGGGCTGCTATTCCGGGCGCGGCGCTCAGGGCCCGGGAATGCGCGCGAACCGAGGTCGCCCTGCCCGGTGCCAGGAGGCCGCGCGCTGCGCCCTCTCCACCGACGCCCCGATGGCGTCCCGGCGAGGGTCCCCTTTCCCAGCCGCTGCCCCCCTCCCCTAGTTCTTTCCCCCTACCCCTCCCTCGAGGCCACCCTCCTCAGGACCCCGCGCGCCTGGGCTCCCATCCTGGGGTTCCCCCCCCCAGCGCCGGGCCCCAGCGCGCTGCGGAGAAGCGCAGCCCCGGGGGCCGGGCGTGGGGGGCGGGCGCAGGGCCCCCTCCCAGCGGCCCGCGCATTCCCGGGCGCTGCTGTCAGCGGAGGACGCGCCCCACCCCGCCTCCCGCCCTCCCCGCCCGGCCCGGCTTCGGAGCCAGGCCCGGGTCCAGAAGGTCCTTTCCCCGGGCGCGCAAAGGTCCCACCCTCTCCGACCTCAGTTTCCCCATCCAGGCAATGGGGCAGGCAGGTTTCCGCCCGGAAACTTCCAGCTGGACCCTGGCTCTGCGCGGACTGGCGGGGACAGGGTCATGGAGGGCTCCCACCACCCCAGCCTTACCTGGCTTCACGTCTGCACGCTGCCCTCCACCCACGTGGGGACACAGATGGTGCCCTCTGCCCGTCCCCTCTCGGGACTCCTCCCTGTCACCCCATGGTGCTCCCTAGTGGGCGGGTTGAAGATGTGGGGGCACCAATGGGCCGATGGGTGGACTGCCCTCTGCCCCCTGGGCTCAGCACAGGCTCAGCTTTGAGGGCCCCTCCTTGCAAGCCAGTAATGGGGTCTCCCAGCCCTGACCACAGGGAAAAGGTTTGTCTGTCCAGCTCTGTCTGTCCTCCAGCAGGGAGCAGCTCAGAGCAGGGTCACCCAGTGCCAGCGGTCCATTCGACATTTACTGAGCTCCTACTGCGTGCCGGGACGCTGTGGACAACCAACCCGTCAGGCTAACAGGGAAAGTGGCCCCCTGGGAGCGTGAAATCCCACCTTCTGATGGAGACACGCAGAGGAGACAGCCCAGGCCCGCTGCCAACGGGGTGGGGTCAGGAAGGCCCCCACTGAGGAGGCGACTGTCACAGGAGGGCAGCCAGGCAGAGGGAACAGCAGGTGCAAAGGCCCTGAGGCTGGAATCGGAGAATAAGGGACAGTCGGGAGGTGGCCTGGTGGGGACAGAGATGAGGTCAGAGAGGGGCTGTGGGGCTGGGAGCCACTGGAGGTGGGAGCGGATGCTCTTGTTTTGGAAAAGCCGCCCTTGGCTGCTGTGATGGTGGGAGTGGGGGCCAGTGGGGAGCAGTGGCGGGTGTCCTGGGGGTAGGGGCTGTGCCAGGGGGCGGGGAGAGGGAGCTGTCCCCTCTGCTGAGGGGGACAGCTGGGGGCGGTGGGAGAGAGAGAGTGAGACCAGAGGTCCCTCCTGGATGCCAGGGAGAGGCTGGGAGTCTGGGGACCACGTCCGGCTGGAGATGGCCGCGTGGGCGTCCTCGGCGCCCGCGATGTTGACAGTCATGGATGAGGTCACAGGATGTGAGTTGAGTGCGGAGGGAACAGAGATGGGGCCGGAGTGCCAGCCGGGGTGGAGTGGGGGCGGCCCCAGAGTCCGCGGGAGGACGGGCTCCTGGAGGGCGGCGTGCAGGCAGCGTGTGTGGGGAGATGACGGGAGAGTGACCCGGGGGTCAGCATCCGCGGAGGTGGTCATGACCTTGAGGAGGTCAAGGTTGGACACGGCAGGAGAGGGAGTGGGGACGGCGCATGCAGGCCCCCTCTGCTGAGCGCCTGCTGTGTACTGTGTCGTGGACTGGGGTCTTGGGGGGCATCAGAAATCACCCCGGCTTGGCCCGGGGGCCCCACGCCGTGGACAGTCGCATCCCCCACGGTTGTGCCTCCTTTCTGAGCCCCGGCCCACAGTGCCGGGCAGGGCGTGCAGACAGCGGGCGCCGAGTCCTGCAGAAAGCGCACACTGTAGTCACCATGCTCTGTGGGGAGAGTACACAGCGGGGACTGCGCCGCGTGGTGGCCGTGATGCTCATGGGATGGCCAAATAGGGACAGCGGGTTGGGGGGGAAGGTGTGGGGTCCCGGGCCCACCCCGCCCATCCCCCAGCCTCTGTTTCCCCGGGTCTCAGCCTCCTGCCTCTGTCCTCCATGGGCCTCGGTGGGTCCCGGAGCAGCAGGAGACACCTGGCACAGGCAGGGCGGGGGGTTGTGGGGTTCAGAGGCTCCAGGTGCAGGGATGTCCCAGGCCCCACCCTGTGCCCCGGCTTAGACCCCGGCCAAGGGCTCAGCGGGGTCTCCTTCCCTGAGCTCCAGCCTGGACCCCTCCCTGAGGCAGGGCCAGGACCTGGGTCCTAGGGGATGCGGGTCAGTCGATGTCCTGCTCCCTCTGTGGTCGCACAGCCTTGGCCTCCTTGTGTCCCCCTCCCCAGCTCCCTGCGGCCTCCCATGATCCCCTAGGCCTGGCCATGTTGTCCGCAGGACACGTCAACCTCCCGAGTAGACTGGATGGGAGTGGTCCTGCCACCCTTGCCCCAAAGCCCCCAGAGTCTCTGGAGCTGCCCAGCTGTCCCTGGGCACGAGCATAAATGGAGCAGGAAAGAGGACCCATCACAGCCAGGGTCACCCATGTGACCTGGGATTGCTGGTGTCTTCCCTGCCATCCCAGGAAGAGATGCCAACAGAGAGGGAGGAAGCGGAAAGGGCCAGATTTCTGAGATGGTTGTTTGAGTCCCTGGATCGAGCCATACCTGAAGCCATCCACCCATTATTTTTCACTTGAGCAACATTGGGTTTCTGTGGCTTCTAATCAAGAGGCTCCTACTAATGGGGAACAGCAGCCTTTCCACCACCCTCGCCCCCAACAGTTCCCTCTCCTCACACAGCTGATCCAGTGACTGAGTGTGTCACCTACTTCGAGTCACCACTGCCTTGGGGGCTGCGCTATCTGATGTGACACTCCCAACTGCCTCCTGGGAGAGGAATCCTCCCCCTCACCTTACGGGTCGGGACACTGAGACACAGAGGGGCGAAGTCACGCACACCGAGACCTGGAGGTCCTGGGACGGCTTCAGACCCACGTCCGAACTGGTGTCCTGAGCTCCTTTTGGGGCAGGGGTCCGGGGGGACTGAGGCGGGGACACTCGAGGCAGAGCCTGGAGGACGAGGGGGCACTGGATGGAAGAGGGTGTGAGGGAGCGGGTGTTCCCAGCAGAGGGAACAGCACGTGCAAAGGCCAGGCGGCTGGAGGAGCAGGAAGAGGACCAGGCCCGGCGGGGAGGCCCGTGTGGCCTGAGCGCAGTGAGCACGGGGTTGACTTCGAGGCCGACCGGGGCAGGGGCCTCCCATGGCTTGGGGGCCGGGAGCAGCTGGAGGTCACCGGAAACGGCAGGTCATCCGAGGCACGTTGTAAGGTGAAAACTCAGAAAAACGACACACGATGTGGCCTGACGTCATTGACAGGAGAGAAATTACACACGTTCCCGCCAACCCGGGACACGACAGGAACGAACCCACGACGACCTCGGGGTGGGGTCACGGGCGCCCCGAGTCCTGGCCTTACGGGCGGCGTCTGAATTTGTTGTAACGATCTCCTAGTGCCGGTTTTGTTTTCTTAAGAAAAGTTTTATTTGGGATAATTTCAGATTTATAGAAAGTGGCAAAGACACTAGAGAGAGTGTCAGTCGACACTTTGCTGTCAGTAGTATAGGGAGGACCCTGCGGACGTGTGTGTCACCTCACGAGGCAGAGGGGACTCTGCAGACGGGTTAAGTCGAGGCCCCTGGGATGGGGGTGACCCTGGATTCCCGGGGCCCAGGGTCACCCCGGGGTCCTGAGCAGAGGGAGGCGGGAGGGTCAGAGGCCGAGATGGGGACGCTGCGCTGCTGGCCGTGCGGAAGGAGGAAGGGGCCCCGAGCCCAGGACGCGGCGCCTCCGGAAGCTGGAGGAGGCGGGACACGCTCCTCCCCTGGGGCCTCCGGGGGGACCTGCCCTCTGCACCCCTGGGTTCAGCCCCTGGGACCCCGTCGGACTCCTGACCCCAGGACTGTGAGATCCTCAACGTGCTTTTTTAAATCACTGAGTTTGTGGCAATTTGTTACAAGAGCCCCGAGGAACTGCCATCGTCACGTTACTGTTGCGAATAAATAATATCAGAAAGCATTGTTTCTGTTGACCAAACTCCAAGTTTTATTTCGGTCCCACCAGTTTTTTTATTTTTTTCCAACTAGTTTCCTTTCTCGGTTCCAGGATCCCCACGGACGCCAAGCTGTCTCCCTCGGAGTCGGCAAAACGGCCCGAGCAGGTGAAACACGCACGGGTCCTGGGGGGACCGGGCCGGCTCGTTGTCCGCACAGCGCCTCGCACGCAGCCCGAGTCAATCAATGTCCCTGATAGAGGTCGACGCAGCGTCCGGCGGGCGGGAGGTCACCAGGGGAGCGGTCCACCTGGAGCAGCAGCGCCCACTGGGATTTCATGCTGTGAGGGTCCCACAGAGGGAATCACGGGGGGGAGGGCAGCCTCCTGGGTGAGGGTGGCCCTAGCCTGCATCCTAGAAGATGAGGAGGAGCCACTGGTGAAGACTTGGGGGTGGGGAGGGCTTTGGGCAGACAGAATGGCATGTGCAAAGGCCCTGAGGTCAGGATGAAGTTGATATGGGATATGGGACTGACAGAGAGACAGGGGTGGCTGGACCCGGGTGAGCGAGTGTGTGGGTGGCAGGGCCACAGAGGCGAACCAGCAGGCTTTCATTTGGACGTGATCTGATCTGCTTCTGGAAGGCTTCTTGCTGACTGAGGAGGTGGAACTTCCTGGCCCCTGGGCCCAGAGCACCCGCTGAGCCCAGCTCTCAGCCGCCCCCCGGTTCTGTGAGCCTCCAAGGCCCCAAACCCTCCGTGTCCCCTGACATCCCTGACGTTTCCAACCCTGGGCCCTGGCGGGTCCTGAGCAACGTGCTGGCCCCAATCGTGTCTGCAGCCCCATCTCCTCCAGATCCCCCTCGGGTCCCCCACCAGGCGTCTCGAGAGCAGCGTCCCCTAGACTGTCCTCTGGGTGCCCCTCCCCACCCCGCCCACCCCCAACCCTGGCCGTGGACACGTGTTCTAGTGTCACCGGTCAAAGGGCGGAGTCGAGCTGCTGAGCCCAGGAGGCTCTGCTCTGGGGGGGTGTCAGCTCCCTGGGTGCCCCCCACACACCTTCTCATCCCGCGTCTCACCCCATCGCTCCCGATTGGCCGTGTGGACCGCCTGCATGAGCTGTTCCCTGCTGGGTGGTACAGAGGCCCCAGCCAGTGGGGGGGTGGGCGTCGGAGGGCCACTGCCGTCCTTGTCCTCATCTTGGGCAGGCAGATGTGAGGGCTGTTCTGCCCAGTTCCGCAGGGGTCCATGGTGGTCACCAGCTCCTGCCCTGCCATGTCCTCCCCACCCCTCACTCCTGCTCTGCACTAAACCCTTGCCTCAGGCTCTGCTTTGGGTGGAGCCCAGACCAAGACAGGGGAGGAGGAACACGTGGCCCACTTTGGTCTCCCGCTGGCCCGGAGATCACTGAAGAAAAGGGACAGGGGCCTCAGCATCGAGCCCCGGGTACCCAGAGAAGAAGGCGGGGCCTCGAAGGAGAACGGAGAGGATCTGGCGAGGAAGGTGGGGTGAGCTGGAGGGCGACAGAGGGCAGCCGTGGGTGCTGACGGGCTGGGGCAGGCGAGGACAAGGTTTGGTCCTGGGGCGGGGTCGGCGGTGGAAGCTGAGTCCGGGTGTCCCCCACCCGCCCACACTGAGCCAGTCTCGAGGCAGCTGCCACCGCAGTCACGGGGTTTCTCGAGCACAGCAGTAGGGTCCCCTCCCGTCCACTCTGCTCACGGGGCCCTGTCCCTGGGGAGCTGTGAGGTGGGGCCAGGGCTCACGGACGCGGCCCAAGGTCACCCTGGGCATTTCAGAGTCGGGGAGGCCAGAGAGGGACCTGGCCACTGGCGCGCCCCTACCCCGGCCCCTTTCCGGCAGGAGGGGCTGCGCCCCTCTGACCCCGCCAGCCCGGGAGCCGGGGGCCCGCATCCCGCGCCCGCTGTCTCAGCAGCCGCCCTCCACCTGCCGCAGGTATTTTGGGCGAAGCTCCCGGCTCTTCTCCCGGGATTTCTGCTGAGTCTGGGGAGTCATCTCAGGTCGCGGAGACAGCAGCCCGGAGGGACGGGAGCCCGCGGCCTGGATGTGGGCGCACGGGGCTGGGCGGCCAGGCCTGGCTCCCCGGGCAGGGGTCAGCACAGAGATCGGGCCGCCCACGGAGCCCCGCCCCTCTGCAAAGCCATGCTCCCTGTTCGCCACCCAAACCGTGCCTCAGTTTACTCGACTGTGAAATGGGGGTTTTAGTAAGCCCCCTGAGGCTGAGTTCTTTGGGGGAGGTGGGGAAACTAATATGGTTTTCATTTTTTTTAATGTGATAAAACACACAACATAAATTCACCATCCTCACCATTTTCAGGGCACAGCTCAGCGGCATGAAGCACATTCACATTGCTGTGCAGCCATCCCCTCCATCTGTCTCCAGAACTTTCTATCTCCCCAAACTGAAGCTCTGTCCCCAGGAAACACTGACTCCCACCCCTCCCCCAGCCCCTGGCCCCCCATCCACTTTCTGTCTCTGTGTATGTGGCTCCTGCAGGGACCCCCTGTGAGTGGACCACACAGTGTGTGTCCCTCTGTGTCTGGCTCACGTCCCTGAGCATCACGTCCTCCAGGTCCGTCCACGTGGGAGCAGGTGTCAGGATCTACTTCCTTTTCATGGCTGCGTAATATTCCAGGCTGTGGGTGGACACATTTCATCCATCACTCATTGATGGACATTAGAGCCATTTCCACCTTTGGAATGCTGTGAATGATGCTACTGGGAACAGCCACGTTCATCCTTTTACTGTAAAATGTTTTGTCTCCAGAGTGCTGGCCGAGGGGTCCCTGCCTAGGGGGCGGCAGACCGGGAACAGGTGGTCTCCCAGCCCCGCGGCGGAGGCTGTGCCAGGAAATCAGCGGGCGGCCGGGAGAGGGCAGAGCTGGCGTCTGTGCTGAGGGCGACTGCTGACAGGTGACTTCGAGGCGCTGGGCCAGGAACCTCGACGTCTTTCCCCCGGGGAGCTTCCGGGGGTCGGCGAGCCCAGCCGCCAGCCCCAGTGTGAGGGCTCCGCCAGCCCAGGAAGCCTGTGGGGACGGTCCTGGGGGAGGCAAGGGCCCCACGCCCACACCGACCGGCGCTCCAGGCGGGCTCGGCCACCATCCGGCGAGCCTGGGCTTGCATGTGCCTTCCTGAGCCTCAGTTTCCAAATCTGCAACATGGGGCTAATAATAGCTTCTACGGCAGGGACAAGCCACTGCCCGGAAGGGGCCTGGCTGACTCACATTGGCCGCCCCGATCCCCCAACGTGGTTCACTCTGGACCGTCTCCCAGCAGTTGTCTGACGAGGCCGGGTGAACCCGTGCCGGGCGGGCGGGGGCCAGGGCGGGTTCCGCACACTGTCGAGCGCTCAACAAACGCCACTCGGGTGGAGTGTCCTGTCGAGAAGGAAGCCGATTTCTGGCCATCAGCTTCCAGGGAGACCGTGGCCTGACAGCTGAGATGCACGGAACCCCGCTGCACCCCTGCCGTCACGCTGCACCTGCCTTGCATCAGCAGGGGACCCCCGCTCCCCGGCCACTGCCAGCTGGCCCCCCATGCCGGCCCCGAATGCTCAGCCCCAGAGCTGAGGCCGGCCCCCGAAAAAAGCGCCCAAGCCTTGTTCCATCATAGGCACGGGGCCCCCTCAGGGTCCCCCACGCCCTGGGCGCCCCATTGGACATGCCAGGAGGACATGTGACAACTCAGGAGGTATTTCCTGTCCCTGGTGGCATGGCTGGGCCAGATTCCGAAATCTGGTCTCTGGAAAATTCCGAGGCCTGATTCCAGCCACACGGAGCCCTGCCCGCCCCTCCCCATTCATCGCGTTATGTAACATTCGGGGATTAATCCCGAGGCCTCCAGAGGCAGCCACCTGGGTTCAAACCCACTGCTGTCCGCTCCCAGCTGGGAAAGCCACTTACCGTCCCCAGGCCTCAGTGCACTCACCTGGAAAATGGGGACAAGGCCAGGTCCCGTGTCCCAGGATGGGCGTCAGAGCGAAATGAGAGACCACAAGGAGAGGGCTTGGCGCTGAGTCTGGGGCCCGGCTCAGAGATGCCCTAGTGGCTCCCAGGGGACCCCAGGCCCACCCACTGCCCCCTCATCCCACTGCCTCTCCTAGGCTGCCAGGGCTGGGAGTGACAAACCCCAGTGTCTGCCCATTGGTCCCCAAATGCTGTCCCTTCTCACTGCCAAGTGTCTCCATATGTGACCCCTCCCTAACCTCCAGCTGTACCCCATCCAGGGTTCCTCCCCCAGGCCACACTCCCCTCCCCACCAGCCCCAGAGATATTGGGTTTCTTTCTCTCTCCTCCTCTGAATCCTGCTGTGGCTCCCCAGTGCCAAAGCGATCAAACCCCACCTTATCATGTGGGCCTCGGGGACTTGGCTTCGGCGGGGAAACGGACCGTCACACGTATTCCTGACTTTGGGGGGAGCCGTGCCAAGCCCCCCCCCCCAACCTCCCACCCGCCTTTCCCTGGGCGGCCTCGGAGAGGAGGAGATAAGCCCTCTGGCCTCAGTTTCCCGCTCCGTGAAATGGGCGCGTTGCGGTTCGCAGCAGGACTGGAAGAGCGAGCGGGCCAAGCGCGCCCCGGGGGGAGCTGCGGGTTGGGGCGCGGGGCGCGAGCGCCACTCTGGTCCCTGGAGCCCGCGCCAGCGCGGCGCCCCCCGCGCGCCCGCCCCCTCCCGGCCCCGCGCGTCGGGACTCCGCCCCCCGCCCCGCGGCCAATGAGACGCGGCCCCGGAGCGGCGGCGCGGTGGTCCGGCCCGAGGCTGCGCCGGTGCCCGCGCCCTGCGCCCGCCAGGCCCCCGGCGGGATGGAGCCCGGGCCGCGGCGGCGCGCTTGCCGCCCGCTGGTCTCCGTGTTCCTGCGCGACCCGGGCTCGGGGCGCGTCTACAGGCGCGGGAAGCTGATCGGCAAGGTGGGGAGGGACCCCGGCGCCCCGAGTCCGCGGCCAGGGGGGCCGGCGCCGGGCGGGGGGTCCCGGCGGGGCCGGGATGGGGAGGCGTGCGCGCGCGATGGCGAGCTTGGCGCCAAGCAGCCGCTGTGCATCCCGGCGCCTGTCTCTGCGGGGGGCGTGTGTCCGCGCGAGATCGGGGTCCGGCGTTGGGTTCCCGCGGGGTCCGAGATGCGTTCTGTGGCGGGCCCGGCGTTGGGCGCGTTGTGCCGAGCGTGTGGGTTGTGCGTGCCGGGGTGCAGGGGGTGCGCCCGTGTGTGTTACGGGTCTCGGTGCCGCGGTGTAGACTCGGCTGTGTTGTCTCCAGGTGTGTGTGCCCGTGAATGCGTTATAATCTCCCGCTTCGCGTGTTGGGATCCTGTATTGTGGTCGTGGGCGACACGTGTCCACGTCGGGATGTGTCTGAGTCTGTGCCCCTGGGCCTTCGTGTGTGTCCAAGTGTTGCCTTGTGTGTCCAGGTATGAGGGTGTGAGCTGCGTCTGTGCGTCTCAGGTGTGTGTGTGTGTGAAGCGGCTTGGCCACCTGTCCCCACGTGTGTGCACCTGTCCCCACGTGTGTGCACCTGTCCCCACGAGTGTGCATCTGTCCCCGCGTGTGTGTACCTGTCCCCGCGTGTATGCACCTGTCCCCGCGTGTGTGCACCTGTCCCCACGTGTGTGCACCTGTCCCCACGAGTGTGCACCTGTCCCCGCGTGTATGCACCTGTCCCCACGTGTGTGCACCTGTCCCCACGAGTGTGCACCTGTCCCCACGTGTGTGCACCTGTCCTGCCAGCTGGTGAATCCCGCTCCCCCACAGGGCGCCTTCAGCCGCTGCTACAAGCTGACCGACATGTCCACCAGCACCGTGTTTGCCCTCAAGGTGGTGCCACGTGGCAGTGGCGGTGGCGGGGCCGGTCATCTGCGTCCCCGTGGGAAGGTACACCCGCCCGTCCGTGCCCAGGGGCCCCCACACCTGCAGCGCCCCCAGAGCATTCCTGCCCTTGGAGGGGGAGGTGTGTGCCCCGGGCCGGGATACTACTGCGGGGTGTGTCCACGGGGGGCCATGCCCACAGGTGGAGCGGGAGATCGCCCTGCACAGCCGCCTGCGACACCGCAACATTGTGGCCTTCCACGGACACTTTGCTGACCGTGACCACGTGTACATGGTGTTGGAGTACTGCAGCCGCAAGGTGCCTGGGGGGGCAGGGGGCAGAGAGGGGGCCTGCATCCTCCGTGTCTGCTGTGCTTGTCTGCGTCCACCCCGTGTGTCCGTCTGTGCTCACCTGTCTCTGCCTGTGCCCACACCGGGCCCATCTGTGCTCATCCTGTGGGCAGCTGGGCGCCCCTGAACTCACCTGAGCCTACCCGTGCTCACCTGGGCCCTTCCTGCATTCAGCCAGGCCCCCCCACCCCCGGGCCCAGGTGAGGTTGGCTGTGCCTTCCTAGCCCCCTGAGCTCATTTGGCCCCCTCCGGTGCCCCTGAGCCCACCTGAGCTCAGCATCCACCCACTCCGTGTTCCTCTCTGACCATCGGCCCTTTGCAAGCTCACCTGCGGCCGCCCAGGTGTGTCTGCCCTCCTGTGTCCCCCTCGGGCTCCGCTGAGCTCATCCGCGTTCGCCTGTCTGACTCCCACAGTCCTTGGCCCACGTGCTGGCGGCGCGGCGGACGCTGACGGAGCCCGAGGTGCGCTATTATCTGCGGGGCCTGGTCAGCGGCCTGCGCTACCTGCACCAGAGGCGGATCGTGCATCGCGACCTGAAGCTCAGTGAGTCTGGGGTGGGTGGGGGGGAGGCTGGGGGGCCACAGAGCTGGGCCAGCCACACCCCATGCCCCTGCACCCCCCTACCCGCCCCCCGACAGGCAACTTCTTCCTGAACAAGAATATGGAGGTGAAGATTGGAGACCTGGGGCTGGCCGCCAGGGTGGGGCCCGGGGGCCGCTGTCACAGGTGAGGTTGCAGGGGCACAGGTGGGCCCCGACTGGCATGGGGGCCTCGGCCTTCCTGAGCTCCCCCTGTGTCGCCTCCCAGAGTGCTCTGCGGGACCCCAAACTTCCTGGCCCCAGAGGTCGTCTCCAGGGATGGGCACTCCTGCCAGTCGGACATCTGGGCTCTGGGCTGCATCATGTGAGTGGGACCCCGGGAGCCCCGGGCCTGGGGGGGGGAGCAGGAGGGCCCCGGGAGGCCAGGTATGGGCAGGCGGGAGCCCCCACAGGCAGGTAAGGACAGGTGTAAGTATGTGGGGGAGGGGAAGGCAGGTGTAGCATAAATACAACAGATGTGTGCAGCTGTGTGTGCAGGTGTGGATGGGGCGTTTGGGGGGACCACGTGTGAGGGAGGACAGGTTTCAGAGCGCACAGAGGTGTGGACGGTGCATGAGGCTGCTGGGGGCACAGGCAGACCGGGTCATGGATGTACAGGTGGGAGGTCCAGGCACGAGTGGAGCAGGTGTGGACAGGTCCGTGCAGGTGCACACAGCTGGGAGCCAGGTGCAGGCAGGTGTCCAGCCAGGTGCTGGCGTCTGCCGAGCGGACGGGAGTGGATGCACAGCGGGTGCTGGGAAGCAGGTGTGGAGTGTGGAGGGAGCCAGCCCTGGAGGCCAGGCCGGAGACAAGCAGGCACCCGGCTCCTTCCCCCACCCCACCCAGGTACCTGGTGCTGACCGGCGCACCCCCCTTCGTGGCGGCACCCCTGTCGGAGATGTACCAAAACATCCGCGCCGGCCGCTACCCCGAGCCTGCCCACCTGTCGCCTGCCGCGCGCTGCCTCATCGCCCGCCTGCTGGCGCCCGACCCAGCCGAGAGGCCCAGCCTGGAGCAGCTGCTGCAGGACGACTTCTTCACGCAGGTGGGCGTGGGGCCAGCGGGGTGAGGCGGCCCGGGCATCTCGGCTGACCCCCGCGAGGGTCAGGACCCCCAGGGGGCCCAGGCACGCAGGGGCCGGAACCTGAGCCGGCCGCTGACCCCCCGCAGGGCTTCACTCCGGACCGGCTGCCGCCCCACTCCTGCCACAGCCCGCCCATCTTCGCCATCCCCCGGCCTCTGGGCAGGCTCTTCCGGAAGGTGGGCCGGCTGCTGCTGACCCAGGGCCGGCCACCCTGTGAGTACCGCACCTGTCGCCGTCCTCCAGCTACCTGCCCCTCACCTGCCTCACACCTGTCCCACACCTGTCCTACACCTGCCCTGCACCTCACCAGTCCCCCACCTGTCTCACAGCTGCCCCACACCTGTCCCATACCTGTCTCACACCTGCCCTGCACCTGCCTCACACCTGCCCCACATCTGCCCTTCACCTGCCTCACACCTGTCCCACATCTGCCTCACACCTGCCCCATACCTGTCTTGCACCTGCCTCACACCTGCTCTGCATCGCACCTGCCCCACACTTGCCTCACACCTGCCCCGCACCTGCCTCACACCTGTCTCGCACCTGTCTCACACCTGCCCCGCACCTGCTCACACCTGTCCCGCACCTGTCTCACACCTGCCCCGCACCTGCCTCACACCTGTCCCGCACCTGCCTCACACCTGCCCCGCACCTGCCTCACACCTGCCCCGCACCTGCCTCACACCTGTCCCGCATCTGTCTCACACCTGTCCTGCACCTGCCTCACACCTGTCCTGCCTCACACCTGTCCTGCACCTGCCCCTCACCTGCCCCGCACCTGCCTCACACCTGTCTTGCACCTGCTCCTCACCTGCCTCACACCTGCCCCATACCTGCCTCACACCTGTCCTGCACCTGCCTCACACCTGTCTCGCGTCTGCCTCACACCTGCCCCGCACCTGCCTCACACCTGTCCTGCATCTGTCTCACACCTGTCCTGCACCTGCCCCTCACCTGCCTCACACCTGCCCCGCACCTGCCTCACACCTGCCCTGCACCTGCCTCACACCTGTCCTGCACCTGCCCCACTCCTGCCCCATACCTGCCCCCACCTGTCCTGCATCTCACACACCTGCTGTGCAACATCACATCCACAACAGAGGGGGCTGTGGGTGCCTGGTGCTTGGCCCCCTGCGTGGGGCTGGCCTCTGCACCCTCATCTCCTCGTGCCTCCCTCAGGCCCCGTCACTCCTACCGAGGCCTCGGGTCCCGGAGAAGATAGTCCCCACCCTGACTCCATGGACTGGGGCGGAGAGGTGAGCGCTCAGTCGGGGCGTCCCCACAGCAGGCTGGCAGAGGGAGGGGGCGTGGTCTTCAAAGCGGGGAGCGCAGAGCCCTTCCCCAACCTCAGGGCCTCCCCCTGGGGCCTGGGGCGCCCCCACCTGCTCTCCCTCCCCAGGCCTCCCCGTCGGAGAGAGGGTCTCCCCGCCTCGAGGTCCCCGTCCACCTGCTCTCCCAGGGGACGCTCAGGAGTGATGTGGCGGGTGAGCAGACCTCTGTCCTAGGCCGGGGCTGCGGGTGGGGCGTGAGGGTCTGTAAGTGGGGGGCAGAGACCGTGCCTTGCCTGGACCATGGTCCCTCTCCCGGCCTCAACTTCCCCACCTGCAAAAAGGGAGTGATGCACGGTATCCTCCTGCATTTACAAGAAGATGCGGGAGTTGGGGGCGGGCTGGTTGGAGGGGCCCAGGCCTGTCTGCACCCCCCCCCGCAACCCTCCACTTAGATCTGTCTCCCCAGGGCCTGAGGGGAGCCCGAGGCAGGAGGTGGACGCGGCCATCAGAAAGCTGACGCTCTGCCTGGACCCCGGCCCCCCAGGTAGGAGTCCAGGGCAGCCCGTGGGGCCCCCTTCT